CAGATAAAAAAGCCGAATGTGCAGTTTCAAAAGTGGCACAAACAAGAAGGCAAAGTGGCCTGTGTTCGTAGCATTACTAACTACTCGTGGTGCGGCGTCCCTTGTGTCTCCCAATGCCTATAACTGAGAGCACTCTCCGGTAACTTTAAAAGTGCTCACTGCCTCCAACAACAAGCGTGTCTGTGAACTAAAAGAGTTATTGTCGTTTGCATACAAGCGTCGAAAAGCTGCGAAAGAACGTCTGCGTAAGACCTGTTATTGCCCTTGCCCCTTCGGCCGTAGCGCACAAAACTGAACAGTTTCTTTTCGCTAAGTCAGTGTGGACTTAGTCATCTAACGATACATTGTTAGAAGCCCGTGAGGGGCCCTCAAAGAGGGCTATTGTAATGAAGCCCATACCACTAATCTAGCGAATGCATCAAGAATCTCTGCACAACTTTTTGCTCCGCTGACAAGCAAATTCACGTAGAGCCGACAACCCAGGAGATATGAAAGGAATCGGTTTTTTAAGGAACTCGGAGGATTTATTCCAAGGAGTCTGCGCTACTCTACTTGAGCATCTGTGAAAGGCATTATAAAAAAGTTCACAGGGATTGAACAGACACTGGTTTACGCCTAACTAGTCCTTAAAAAGTCTCATTTGGTTACCGAACTTTCCTTTTGGTTATGGTTTTCAGTGAAGTTCCCAACACATCAGAGCTATAGACGGGAGTTAAACTCCCCGCTACATTTCTCAGTTCCTTTAGGACAGTTATAATACCCTTTAAGAGGTTATACAGGTGCACACTTGTGCCCAGAACAAGACCAAAGAGCCAGCACTTAAGTCAACAAAGACAAAGAACTCTCAAGGGCGTATTTCTAACATGGTCTTCTACTACTGCTTCTTTTATATTACAAGTTACAGCTAAGCGCCACTAAGTACAACAATGAATAAATATTTAGAATTAAAACACTTTTCTATAAGGATTTATAAGTGTCAAAAAATGGAGAGTTCCATTTTTCTAAAGATGGGAAACAAAAGTTTATGTACGTAATATGAATAGTTCAGGTTGGGCAATCCTCTCTCGAGAATGCCGTGCATCTGCGATAATAAAATATACGTAAGGATAAATAAATGGATAAATATGTTTCACTACTCTGTTAATTCTTGCAACTCGGTTTATTTAATAACTGCTTTCTACAATTAACTTGATTTTTTCAGTAAAATCTTAAAAATAATTAAAATTTTAAAACGAAGTAATAAAATTTATTTTTTCTTATTTAAAAAGTTCAATAAATATTTTAAGGGATGACACAGTACTCTTTTCATTATACAGAACTTCCAAGGTAAAAAAAAAGGAAGGAGTTGTGTAAAGACTATTACAGTTTTTCTTTATTATTCCATTTTTTATTATAAATATAATAATTATAAATATTACAATAAATATTATGCTTAATGTTATAATTAATAATATTTTATTATATTTTTCATCCTACTCTTGTTTTTCTAAGAAAAAAATTTATTAGTGACGGTGTCTTTTACTTCTTCGTTCTCTTTCTTCTCTTTCTCGCTCTCGTTCTTTTTCTCTCTCTCTTTCTCTCTCTCTTTCTTTCTCTCTTTCTTTCTCTCTTTCTTTCTCTCTTTCTTTTTCTCTTTCCTCTCTTAATGCCTTCCGATTCAGCAAATAACTGTAGAAAACAATAATAATAGTAATAATAATAATAAGAAGAAGAAACCTCGGGAGTCTTCTTCCTCTCCCGTAAAGTCTTTCTGCCAACTCCAATGAAATCTGCTTCACATGCATAAAGTTGCAGGTGCCTCCACGATCGCACTCATTTTTCTGTTATTATTAGAAATAATATTTACATATATAAATAAAAAATAAAGGTATGAACGACAAATATTATAAATTTATAAATTAGAATATAATTATAATTAAAGTAAAATAAATGGCATAAACAACTTCATAGAAAAACAATCCAATAAAAAAAGCAAGACATCCGCTAGAAAGTAGCGATTGGATGGCCAAAGTTGTAACAAAAGCTTCCTTTTATAATAAGACACTATCAAATTATCACAAAAAACATTGCTTAATGCAAGCTATACTGACAACCGATTTTCTTTAGTTAACAATCTTCCAAAAAAAATAATGACAGTTAGATTTATATAAAACTTATATCACGAGTACGACTACTCGATATTATAAATAATAATAAAAATGAAATATTAAACATTAACGTGAATAAATAAGTAAGATATGGATATATAAAAAACTTTTCAGGATTGGCCAGGGCTAGTTATAATGAATAAGCTAATATTTACCAAATTACATAATTCCAAGTTGCAAAATATTTAACGGTTATAACCCTCAAGTAATAAAAAAGATAATTATATAAACTATTTAAATATGAAGGCGTATAATAAAAAACAGTAAACTTCGCACTATTATAGTGTAATAATACTAGTTTAAAATTATTTATATATCATAAAATAAATTTTCCTAAAAATCAAAATCAAAAGTACAAAAATAAAAAAACGTATATATTTAAAGTAAGCATTAAAAACATTACAAAGATTATAAACCTTTTGAATTATATATAACTTAATATTTTTTAAATAATTAATATCAATTGTGTATTCAAAACGCGGAAAAAAAGGGACCTCATACTGGCGACAACAGGCCTCCTGAAAATCCGTAACGGGTGATAATTCCACGTGAATGGGCCTTCCTGGATATTGAAAGAATCATAAATTGAAAAACCCACCAAAATCTAGTTCAATTCGGTAATAAATTTCTACAGTAATAAATTGTATCAGCTGTTAAAAAAAAAAACTGCCCTAATATATAATATTGACACCAAAAAGAGAAAAAAACGTGAAAAATTCCGAAAATAAAAATTTAAGATGGCAAATTATATTTCATATTCACAATCATCATCAGTTGTACAGTTAAATACAAATCACTACAGACAAGCACATGGAGACGAATGCAAGAAGAAATTTTAGCCAGAAACGGTATCTCAATGGCTTATGCGCGCACCGGTACCGCCACTATAATTTGTGGTTCAAGGTCGGTTATGGACAGGCAAGAATGTACTTCAGCAGTGCAAAGGGCACGCGGACCCCCTTACTTCCACATGAAGGGTGAGTTGCCTAATGGTACACGCGCACATAAGCACAGCGCACAGAACCATCTGTTAGCATACAACACAGTACAGATATAACAAAGTGTCTTACCCAAATAATAGTTAAAATGGCACAGATAATATTATAAGTCCTTTTTAGCAATAATTATGCGTGCAAAACTATATAATAACCCAAACAAGATTAGTAAAGACAATAGCAAATAAATTTACTTAATATATTCTATCCAAATAAGTAACAATGCGTGCCAATAAGGCTAAAAAGATGTATAATTCTTACCAATTAATTTTGATTCATGAAAATCATTGAAAACCAATTCTTACCAAATAATACATAAAAACACATTCCCAGGTATAATTCAGACAAAAAGGATCATTTACAACAAAATGGATGCAAATACTTTAATTTTTATTAAATAATTCATCCACTAATTTTGTTTGAAAAAGCAAAAAATACCAATTATTTTCCTCCAACCATATAAAAATGCAGAGTCAATAATAGTTACCAAATAATACGTAAACAATAATAATAACTACCAAAAAGCAAAATATATGTTTTTTAATTCCTACAAGACAATAACATATCACCTAATAACACATAAAATAGTACCCAAAGATAATAATACCATCCAAAAAACACCCAAACTAAACGATACAAATCCTTTAATTGCTACCAAATTAAAGCAAGCAACCAAAGATATGGAACCGAAAAAGAGACCTGCGAACCAACGATTATTAAGATCTTCCATTGCCTTGTTGGCGTCATCGTCATCCCGAAACTTCACATAAACATTTCCAAGGAGATGACCGCAAATCTTTAGAAAAATATTTTATTAGTATTATAACAGTTATAAAAAAGGCTTTTTGTCTAAAAGATAATAAAATCAAATATTTTATAGACAACATTTGAATAAATTTTAAAAAAAAAAATGTAATTAACATTAGCTATTAGTTTACTTGATACAATATTGTTCATTAGTAATACATTATTTACATTTTTAAAAAATCTATAAGAAAAATAAATTTTAATCTAAGAAGTATTAATCTGAATTAATAAAAAATATAAAATAAAATAAAGCAAATAATAATAAAAACCTGAAAGCTTTTATATAAAAATGAGATTTACAAAAAAAACCGAAATAACTAAATTACATAAGAGCATATAATATATATAAATTAAGAAGCAAAGTCTTTTAATACTAATAAAAAAATTTAAAACAACAATAATAATTATAGTCACATATTCATTATAAAGTTATATATATCATAATTTCTAAAAGGAAATTAAAAATGCTTATTAATAAAAATATAGTAGAAATTATATAAATTTTATATAATAAATTGTCTATGTTTATTTATAAATATACAAAATTGGTTCTAATATTTAAAAATAAGCTTACTTATAAAAAAATAGTAATTTTAAAGAAAAAAAAGTTTTTTGACTATATATAAAATTAATAATAAAATAAACAAAGAAGTTTTTAAAGAAATAATAAAAATTAAAAATTAAAACAAAATTATAGAAAACTAAACTTTAGTATCTATTTATATAAAAAAATAAAAATTTAATAAAAATTAAAATTTCAGCATTTATAAAAATAAATAAAAAACTTACAATATAATAAAGGTTAATAAATATATAATAAATAATATAACAAACAAAATTTCTTTAATAAATATTTTAAAAAAAAATAAACTTCCAACAAAAAATTAAAAATTTAATGAAAAAGTAAAAATTCTTATAATGAACGTCGAAGTTTTTAAATAATAAATAATAAGTTAAAAAAACGTTTTCCAATTAAATAAAAAGAGAAAAACTTTAAATAATAAATATGTAATAAATAATATAACAAAGAAAAAGGCTTAAATAAATATTCATAAAAATAATTGTAAAAGTAACCCGTATTTTATAAAAAAATTGTTATATAGAATAAACAGTAATAAAAGTTTTGAAATATGCAAAAATATCTTAAAAAAATTAGTAAGTTTAGTAAATTAGTTTTATAAATTTGTTTTATTTATATATTTATTAATCTAAAAAATAATTAATAGATTAATAAAAATAAAAATTGTTTTCAATATAAAATTAGTTTTTTCAATAGACTAATTATACTATAATTGAACTACAAATAAATTTTTAAAATATGAAAATAAAAATAAATTAATAATAGTTAAAGCTTTAATAATAATAAATAAAACCATTTCGAAGGGTCTAAAAATTAGTTTCTTAGTAAAAAAGATAAACAATTCGATTAATTTAATTTGTTATATGAAATTTTGCTAAAAATTAAAAATAATAAGGGAGATTCATAATTTAAAAAATAAAAGTTAAATAAATCTAAATTTACAATAATAAAGTAAAAATTAGTAAATATAAAATTAAATTCAAGTAAATGTTAACTAAATTTTTTTAAAATAATTAAAAATATTACAAGAAAAAATCATAATATTTGTTAAATGAATTAAGTTTTGTTAACCGATAATATTGAATTGTGATCAAATTTATTGTAAACAATAAAGAAAACGTGGAATCGAGATAAAAAAAAATTTGAAAGAAAAGAGTATTAAAAATAAATTATTAAAGAAACACAAAAGACTTTTTTAACTTCTTTTTCAAAAAAATTTGCTTAATCACATATAATATATAAAATTAAAAAAATAAATTTTTCAATAAATTTAATTTCTAAAAAAATAATTTTCATAAAAAGAGCATAAAGCTTTAAAAAAATTAAAAAAAATTAAAATAAAAATTACTACAACCTACAAAAGAGAAAACAAACAATAAACTTAAATTTAGAGATGTTAAAATTTAAATAAAAATATAAAAAGTAAAAAATTAAAAAGTTATCAATTTACACACAATTTTTTTTTAATTTAACTATAAAGTCCTATATAAACTTAAAAAAATATTTAAATTTTCATTATCTATAAATAAAAAAAAGTATAAATGCGACGATCAATATAAAAATTATAAAAATTAATTACTAATTAAATATAATTCTCACAATTCAAATAAGAAATGTATACAATACGCTCAGCACGGAGAAAAGCAATAATTAAAAAAAATAATATATATAATAAAATTTAGTCTCTAAATAATATTTTTAATATATATATATATAAGGAAAAAATAAACCAAAAACTTTGTAAAAATTAGTTTTGACAAAATATTAGGAAAGTTATTCTAAGTGAAATTAAGATGTGTGTATGAATACAAAATTAGAAAGTATAATACAAAAATTTTAAAAATTACGTTATCACAAATATTCATTTCATCTATTTCTCCATATTTCTCTTGAAGTTCTACAAAAATATCTTCATAAATTTCTTCAAAGTACTAAACATTAAAATAAAATAATTAAATCTTTTAAATAAAAAATTATAATAATTATTAAATTAAATTACTGCTTTTTCTTTTTCTGGAGCAAAAACACTTCCAGTTCCATCCACGCGTTGTGGATTTTGATAGAAGTTTTGTAAAAGAATGGTTTGACTAAAAGGAGGTCGATTGTGAATGCGAGAACAACGATCGCCGTGCCGGCAGGCACCGATTTTATAATAAAAAGGACAATTAACTCTATTTATATATTTTTATAAAAATAACAAAAAACTATTTAGCTCAACCAATAATGTAAATGGTAACAATAATAAATTCTCCCTTAAAAGTACCATAGCAAATTTGTAAAGTTAAAATTAAACTAAACGCAGAATCTTTTGTTAAACTGAAACTTTTTAACTAAAATTTTAAAAAAAAATTGCTTTCTCCAAAGAACACGACACTAATTAAGGTTTAGCTTTTAATGATATTTTATATATAGAATTGGTGTATATTCTAATTGCAAAAGAAGACAAAAGCCATAAGTTATATTACTTGTCCTTTTCAGTCCCGTGAATAGAGGCTAAAAATTCAGCCATGCCAATAAGTCAAGCTTGAAACCTTAATTAATAGATATAATCTACAAATTACTAACCTTACAATAAATTTTAAATAATTAAAATTAAACTATACGAACTGTTCAAGGGAGTTAAAAAACATAAAAACCATGTCTTATTATAATTTATTTATGTATTATTTTCATAAAAAAATATAAGATATAAAAAAATTAGGGAAAACCCCTTGAAACTTAAACGGACTTTCGCCAAAAAGGAAAGTGAGGAAAGTCGAGCAACTGAAGATGCAATCATTATCGCTATTGCTCGATTAGCCACGTGACTACACGCTTGTGTCGTAATATGAACTTTACTAATATTAAAAAAAATTGTTGGTCAGTGTTAAAATCTAAATGTAAATAAAAATGAATTTAACAGTACTCAGTATAATATAAATAAAAAAAAATTGAATATTTATTTTTGTCTACATTATAAAAGGATAAAATTCTATTTAAGTTTATTTTTAATTATACAAAGTCAGTAATATATAGTAACCACACTAGTATAAGTGTCGTTACGCACCAGCGACAAGGTCCAATTCAACCGAAGGAAGAACCAAAGGCAGGAGAGAACCAGTGACCAGCGGACCCAGATTTAGTCTATAGAACTAGATACCATCACTCATTCTACAGATCTTTCAAGCGTGGCTTTCAACGTAACTTTCTTGGATAAAGGTAGCATACGGGATATGCTCGATAACCAAGATTACCTCCTAGTTTGAGGTTACTACCTTTCTTCCTACTTGAGTGAAAGGTGGTTTATAAGTAGGTTGTTTCACCTTGTAATAGTATAAAAGGTCCTACTTTGGTTGAACAAAACTAACTACCACTCTAGAATGATAATTAAATTATTCTATCGGAGTAGAACAAAATAAATAGGACAAATTAAATTAATTCCTTATTTAACTCTGTTAGGCCCTACGGGTGGCTAAATTACTAGCCTTCCCAGAGGCATAGCCTGGCTTACCTGGACCCAAGTGTATTAAAGGTATTAATTTAATTTGTCCTTTTTATTTTGTTCTACTTTGATAGAATAATCTAATTATCATTCTAGAGTGGTAGTTAGTTTTGTTCAACCAAAGTAGGACCTTTTATACTATTATAAGGTGAAACAACCTACTTATAAACCACCTTTGACTCAAGTAGGAAGAAAGGTAGTAACCTCAAACTAGGAAGTAATCTTGGTTACCGAGCATGTCCCGTATGCTACCTTTATCTTTAATCATTTATCTTTGTCTTAATGCCGGATGTGCTCGTCTTTGGCTTTAGAACTGGGCATCCCTCAATGAAATGTTGGGTTGTACCACGCTAAATTGCTAATTTAAGATTCGTGTTCAATGTGGTTAGGTTCGATCGGAAGCAAACATGAAACACTGGCTTAGCAATGAGTGAAGACAGATGGCGCTATTGTTCAAATCCAGAATCAATGTTTTGACACTGAAATCCGCATAGTATATGACTAATTAACTAACTCTCTCTGAGTCAAAATAGAGCCTTTGTCTATAGAAGTAACAAATCTTTAGTGTCTGTAGATGGAGGAATAGTGCTATCTATCCGTACTACATATAAGCCGGCCCCCTTTTTTATTTTGTCCACACTTTTATGGGAACTGACTAATGACACTATTTTTTGTTGGACCTTCAATTTCATTCAATAAAAAAATTTATTTAACGCAAAAAGCTATTTTTATTCAGATAAAAACAAGTAATATACTTAAATCGTTATTAATTAGTAAATAAAAATTAATTTTGTTAAAGGTAAAACTAGACTAGCACGTGTTCCCACCTTGAAACCTTACAAACTTTCGTTTTCTTTTTAATAGTTACTATTGGCTGATCTGTTGCACCAATTTGGATGGGTATTTATAAAGGCGAGCTTTAGTGAGAAATTTTTTTTTTAACTTCCAGTGCTTACCGGCAGTTTTGCAGCATGGTTTTAATTTACTTTAAAAAAATTTTCAAGTTGTTATAAATTTTATCATTATAAGCTAGTGTATTTATTTACTTTTAGTATACGTTATTATTATCTGGTTATCTCTAAATTTTACTTGTGAAATTTTTAAGTAAAGTTTATTATAGATAAGAAGAAGAGGCGTTAAAAACTCCGAGGATCTGGGAGAAGAATGCGACTCAGAGAATATTATAGTAGTATCTGAATCAGAAACTGGTTTTTAATTATTACTCTAATTTTTTTATTTGAGTAAATGTCGTTGAGATTTCGATGTTTAGTAATAATAATTTAATAACTGGAACTTGGAATCTCTATATAAGCTTATATTTCTTTTTACTGAGTATTATCTATTTAGAATCCTTTGAAGACATTTTTACGGAAGAATCTGAAGAGTTTGAAAGTTATACTTCTGAGGATGAAGTAGTACAAGAAGGTTCCGAAGTTGATAAGAATGAAAAAGTATTTGAGAAAACTGAAAGTGTTCCTGTCAGTCATGAAACTGAACTTCAAGTTAATAAAGATTTAAAGGAAAAAAATTCTATTGGCGATCTTCAGAATGACATTCAAAGTTTGACCATCAAAGAAGCCGTTACAAAAAAAGAATTTTCGGCGGAAGTACTCAAAGAAAATTCTTTAGAAAAACCTTTTTCAAGTCGTGAATACCGTAATTATATAATACTTTGTTTAAATTAATAAAATAATTTTCTACAGTTTTTGCTTATATAATTGTAAAAGTCATAATAAATTTTTCGTACTTTAAAAAATAGTTTATATGTATTTTTAACTACTAAAGATTTATCATATGAATTGTATAATTTTAATTAAGGTTTATTTTGATTTTTAATAAGATGAATATCCTGAATCGAACTTTGATCGTGAAGATCCTAACTTTGTGCCCCGATTGGGAAAGTTTTATATGCATGATACTAGAACTTTGGGGACTAATTTTAGAGGGTTGATTTTTATTTTTCATTAAATTTAATTTTACCAATTTTTTTTCAGACAAAAGAGTCATAGAAAATTGTGGAACGATAATCAATCGCAACGGCGTTGGGTTCATGATAAATTCGATGAATTAGCTATTGAGTCACAGTCTATAGAAGTATATAAATATTTTAAAATTCTATTTTAAAAGTTAATATATTCTAAATGTAGCAAGTCCCTTGTGAGTCCAGACGTTATAATTCTACAAGAAAAGATGATTATCATCCCCATCATAACGGCACTTTTAGAAAAAATAGAAGAAATCACTACAGAAATAACTTAAGCTCTTCTCCGCGTGTTGCTGATGAGTTTTCTACTGTTCAAGCTGTGTCCAGTTATGAAAACGTTCCATTAACTTCTGAAGGTGTAAGACTCGTCGGTTACAGAGATGGTTATTTTCCACGTTCGAGAGGTAGAAATAGACGCCCACGAGGTAGAGAGTCTTCCTTTCCAGTGAAAGGAATACCCGAGCTGCGCCTCCCTCGTGGCGACTTCCCTCGTTGTATTGGTGAGGACCCGCCTTACATGCATCGCCCCATCCAGTCATATCACGACTTTGACGATCGTTATAAACCCAAAAGGAAATCTAGAAGAGGCCCAAAAAACCGAATAGCCGATTGTAAATCTGCTAGTTTTGATAAAAATCATTCAGTAAATAAGGAAAGATTCTATACTGTATCTGGTGATAATAAGACTAGCACAGTCGGTAGAGGTTTAGAGGATGCTTCGGGCAATAATAATAGTGATGTTAAAAGTATTAATGAGGACGATAGAGATGATGGTAAAACTCCAGCCATTGTTAGTAGCACTGATCTCTGCGAGCGTGTTGACCAAGGTTTCGTCCCCCATGAAAATAATTCTATTGGAGATGAAACTCAGGTTGAAGTTGTGAATGACGATAATAAAACTGTTAGGAACTTATCTGATCTTAATGTTAATCGCCCAAGCGTAAATGCAAATGTTGAAGTTTCCGAGAAAACTGATTTTGATCCTTCTTCTATCCAAAGCAGCTTATATACTTTTAATTCCAGAAATTCTGCTTCATTTCTCCCGTCACCTTCTCGGGCTTATCGTTCTTTCAAGTATCCTAAGTCCCAAAGGAATAAAGCTTGGTCTAAATATAATGCTACTGTGAATGGTTTTTACGATCAGCAGAATTTATACCAGCTGGGTAGTTGGAAACTCATTCCTTCATCTCTTTTAGATTTGTTTATGAGTTTTATATAAAACTTTTAGGGCATCCGTACGACTCCCAATATTCGGATTATTATATGGGGCTTTATTTAGATTATTCAGGGTCGCCTTATATGGCTGCTTCTTACTCAGCTTATGAAGACCCGTATATTTTATAATATAAACTCTTTTTCCCTCTTATTTATTACTTATAGCTATGGTCTCTACGTGGTTGACCCCTTGTACGCCCAGTATCCTGCAATTCCTTATCAGCCCTATCCTTATATACCAGCTAATAGAGGAAGATCACCCCGTTATAACAATGTTTATTTTATTATTTTTTTAACTGTTAACCCTATTACGCACCTAAAATATTTATTTTTATATGTTAGAGTCGCTCAATACGCAAGAATGCTCCGGGAGAGTTACGACATTATGATGGGAAAGAAGTTTCTTCTGCTCAGTCAAGCGGTTGAATGAAAGGGACTTTCTTTCTTCTTAAGATTTTTGTTGATTGAAAGCGCATACCCTGAAATTCCCTCCAAACAAAGAAAACATCTTTCGTTCTTATAACTGCTCCCATCGCACTTTATTTTGCTGTTATAATAAGAATGTAAAGCAATATTTAAAGGTTTTTAAGGGGGCCTTTGATTCAGCAATTTGCTCGAAGTTAATAAAGTTTTCAACTGACAACTTAATAACGCACTTTTTCTTGACACTCCCAATAATTGAGTTCTTTACTTAAATTGGATTTATAAAAGTTAATTAGGAGCGAAAAAGTGACGCTAGTAATACCTAAGTTTATTATGCAGCTTAATTCAAGGTAATATAGAAAAAGTTGTCATTGTATATTGAAAGCTTTTTCGATTGTATCGAAGGTAATTTATGGTCATTTTTTGTTGAATTGATTTGTTTAGTTTTATAAATAACTTTAAATTAATAATTGGGGTTGTTGGACTAGCAATTATGAATAAGATGTATTTAAGGCCCGTAGCCGTTTATTTGTATAAGTTTTGTTTTTCTTTTTGATTCCTGGAGGTTTAAAACTGCTAAAGAAAAAAAAAGTTAAAAGGCAAAAAAAGGAAGGAAAAGAGTGTATTAAAAGTACTTTCCCTCATTTTAACTAGAAAGGGAGCGAGAGGGAGAATCAAGGCAAACTTCCTTTTTTTACTTGGTTAATTTTATCTTTCCAATTTTTTTCTTCCTGCCCGCAGCGCTTTATTGTATGGAGCATGAATTGCATTTTTAATTCCATTAACTTTGTAATAGTAGCAGATAAGGTGGCTAAACGCTTTTACAAATGGATGGTGCTAAGATTATATGCTCTTTTATTTTTAATTTTTTGTGGTAGTATAATTTTTTTAATGCATTTTAGATTTAAATTTGCAAATTTTATTAAGGTTATAACTTCATAGTAAAAACCAGTGACACTTCCAGATTCTATGATTGTTTACTCTAAATGTATAAGGTTAAGCAAATATTTTAACTATATTTTAACTAAAGTAGCAATGGCACAATAAAAAAGTTAAAAAATTCGTATAAACTTTTGGTTATGTATAAGTTAGTGCTTCCCAACCGCTTGAAGATTAAGAAAGTCATCTTTTAGAAGATTTTAAAACAGAAATAAGGGTATGAAGTGCACGAAAGTAATACCTGCAGTACTGTTTATAACTTCCTACAAATATACTTTTTTATATAAGTCAGGTTGCTTTAAAAAGTCCAATAATAAGTTTAACAAAACTTATTGTCTCAGTGTTATTTCTCTGCTACTGTTAATATAAGCATACAATGTCTAAGTAGGAGTAAATTTATAAAAAAAAGATAGCGGAGTAAAAAAGAGAGAAAAATTGTTTTACGCGCATGTTGTATGTACCTCTCCATTGTCAGTATAGCTTTAAAGTAGTTACGTACTTCACATTGTTCCTGTCTCTTTGCAAGTATGACTACTATGCCCAAATAGAGGAATGACCTAAGTAGGAGGCGCTAACGAAGACAAGAGGAACTTTTAGAGGCACTGAAGGCTCCTTAATAAAATCTAAACCAAAAGATGAGGTGGAAACTATATGCAGTCAACATGTATAAAAATCTTAACACTTAAATGCTAATTGTAAAAGTAAATACAATACCAATTTTTTTTTTTAATAGCCTAGTACAGTTTTATAAAGCTTCAACTTAACTTTAAATATAAACTTCTTAATTAAATATTTTTAAACTACAGCTTAAATATCCTTACATATTATCACCTTCATTTATATTATACTACTTTCAAAGGTAAAGGATTTTTAACAAGTATAGGCGCTAAAAAAGTAACGATCTACTAGCAATAATTGTTGTATAATTATTTAAAAACATTAAGATATTTATTAATGCAATGTAACAAAACTTTCGTTAACAGGTCACGTGCTAAGGAAGGGCGGTAACAATGAGCATCCACGTGGTTATAAAAACATTTTGAAAAAGTATATATAAATTTTATAGTAGCGTTCCGAAGGTTCTCTTTTTCGCCTTGACTGTTTGTGTTCTCGTTTTTATTTTGAGCTAAGAGACTTTCCGTCTGACCTCACAGAGGCGATTAAGGTTTTTAAAATTTAGCATTGTTATTTTATTTTATTTATGATTCTTCATATTATCATTCATGTAGAAAAAAGGAGAAATAAGCATCTACCATGAAATACGTCGCTGCTTATCTACTTGCATCTCTTTCCGGTAAAGAGCCAAGCGCTGAAGTTATAAAAGCTATTTTTGGCTCTGTGGGAATCGATTATGATGAAAGTTTATTATCTCATGTTTTTTCTCAATTGAAGGTCTCTTCTGTTATTTCTGAAAAAAACTCCGTTTTATCTTGATGAGTTTTTGTTATCCCTGTCTTAGTAGGCAAATTTGGGCTGATAAATTTTTTCTGATTCTTACAATAAATATTTTAGACTGGTTTTATAATTTTTATCATTAATGCAGTTATTTTAGGGTAAAGCAATAAATGACGTTATAGCTGAAGGTTCGTTAAGGCTTGCTTCATTTTCCGTAGGCGCTTCTAGTACAGGTACTTTTTTTATTTTTTTAATTACAGGATTTCTTTTGATAAAATAAATTAATAATAGGTGCTGAGAAAGCAGCTAGTTCGCCTGCTTCAGCGGAGGCCGCTGTAGAAGAAAAAGAAGAAGAAACTAAGAAATCTGAAGATGAATTTGAAGGTGGCCTTTCACTATTCGGCGATGACGATGATGATTTGTTTTAACTTGATTTAATTGTATAGAATAATAAAACATCCTCTATCCGTGTTAAGTTAAGCTTTTTGGAAATTTATGGCATTTTTATTTTTTTATTAAATAGTATTGTTGGATAACACTTTAAAGCCTTGAAACCTTTTTAACTTTAATTTACCTTGCAAATATTAATCCTACAAAACTTGTTTCGGTATGCGTTATTGAAAAGCGGTTTAAGATAAATTAAAAAAAATTAATTCGTCTTTGAGGTTCTAGTATTTATACATAAAAAATAAAGACTTAATTTGTTGCACGGGGAAGAGTATTTATAAGACTTTTACATTACTTAAAGATGTACTTCGTAGAATTAATTATATTTACAATTTATAATAAAGATAATCTGTTTATGTCAACATGTATAAAAGCTTCACTGTCCATTTACTAAGTTTTCCTTTACGTGGTCGTTATTCGCAAACTGATATAAAATTTACACTTAAAGTTTTTAAACGTAATACACGTATTATTATTTTTTCCTATATAATTATTTAAAAAATTACTATTTGGTAGTTTTTAATAACTTAATTAACTTCTTTTACTACAATTGGTGAAAGAAAGGCCCGACCTTTGTACATTATAAAATATCATATCAACTAAATTTAGTCTCCTTTTTATTCGGCAAGGTTAGTTGAAAATTTTTGAATTGTACCCGGGAGGGTATGCACGCCTAATTTAGGAAGTTTTTTATATCAATAGCATAAAATTTTTATCCAAAAGATTGTATCTTCACTCATTTTTCTAGCATAAAAGCTACTTTTAGTTTAATAGCGGGAAAGTGGCAAAACTGACAAATGTATATACAACTTTCTTATTGCATAACTTGTTTATTGATCACGAAAATGTAAAAGCGCTGTAAACGGCAGAAAAAGTTATAACTTGTTAAGCTTGAAGCGGTTATCGCGTTTTCAAAATAATTTATATTTTTGATAGAAATTAAGTTTCAGGGGTTTCCTCGTATTATTAGAAGTTCGCATACAGTTAATATCTCTCTTGCAAGGCAGTTACGGTCGCGGGGTTGTAGTGGACTCAAAGAAAACAGTACTACTACCCGAATTATTAAAACGAATTCATTACAAGTTTTAAATAATTTACTATCAGTGGGTTTACCATATTGAGAAAGTTAATTTATATTAGTTTAACTTCGAGTTAAGCTTTTAGTCCGTTATTAATAATCGCAGTAAAATATTGCTGCTAATCATTTACTAAAGTTAGATTTTAAAGTCATCCGCCGAAAATCTGTTAGCGACACTATATGATATTTGAAGGTAGCCAAAAGTAAAGTAATTTCGTAGTGTGAATTAAATATATATAAACTAATTTCCGGTCACTTTATCAAAATGCCACCATTATAAAGTATGTTAGCTAATGAAAACCGTAAAACTAATTTTTTTAGCTATTAATTAGTTTAAAGTTTACCTTTATAACGTTTCTTTTTTATAACAAGCCATCATGGATGGAAGACAATTTCAAAGTCACAGTATAAAGAAGTCATTAAAAAAACCTTGTTAACGGGTTTATACAAAGTTTCACCATTTTAGGATGGAAGTTTTGGTGGGTTTAGAATGTGTCTACTCTCTACACGCGCTAGCTGGTTGCTTTTTGGCTATTGAAGTTAGCTCCAAATGGTAAATATCAAGCTATTATTGAGTAGTTCTAAAATTCGGAGCCCCAAGTCTTCTAAATGCATAATCACCATCTTGGCAGTATAAGAGAAAAGAAGGCTAGTGAGATACTACTGTTATCCTTTAAATGTTTTTGGTGGTTATTTAATTTGTAAATAAGCTTGTAAGTTATACGAATAGTGAAAACCGCGTCGGTTCTCATTTAACCGCATGGAAACGAAAGTGGTGGCGCCGTATCTGCAAACAAAAAAGAGTTTTGTAAAGATTATTAAAAAAAGTATTATACTTGCCTTTTTATAATACGAACTAACTTTAATAAATGTTAAAGCTCTGGTGGTTTGAGTTTTTTTTGGGTCATTTAGTGACTATTAAATAATGAATTGTACGTTTGGTAAAGAAGTCAAATTTTTGGCGGAAAGTTAAAACAAATAGTGAATTTTACTACAAAAAGGTAAATGAGAGACAACTTAGATGGTCATTTTCAGCTTCATTTTTCTAATGGAGAAGTTAAAATTATGTCTACTGAATGAGGCTCTGAGTAATTAATATATTTACTTCTATTCACTTCGTTATTTACTTATACTTTGTAAACATTAACAGGTTGCTATATAATACTACATTGACTTTTTTTTTGTAAAAAAAAATAATATATTTTTTACGTTTAGCCCTATTTTAAAGCTGAAAAAACTAAGTGGTTTTCATAAAACTTTTTTTTACCTTTACTCCCAGTGCGGTACCCAAGTAGTCAAAATGAGAGCTTATTTGGTTTATCACCTAATATAGGGCCTCCTGTATAAATCAGAAAATGTTCTCTAGTAAATTCCTAGTATCATTACACAGTTTATTATTAATAGTGCTTCTGTGTTGACCAATTGGTTAAGCTTAAATATGCTATTTCTTATTTTTTTTTAAAATTTTATAATTAGGCTCTCATCCTATGGCAGGATTTTTAAAAAAATTCTTTTATTTAAAAAGTATTTTTTGTGGGTTTAGATTTTTAGGCGTTTCTCTCACTTATCGTGCATACAGTTAAACGATCGATTCCAGATAATCTGATAATAATTACATCGAGCAAAACGAAGTTTTTATTTTTGGACGTAACTACTACTATAAATTCTGTTACATTAAGGGATTACGTTACAATTGAAAAACTTTACAATAAGTAAGCATAACAATTATTTACATTTCATACCTATTTATTGAAAATTTCAGCATATGTGAAAATCAAAACATTTATGGCAAAAATTTTTTTGTGATTGCCGTTTGTCTTTCCAAAGATGATTTAAAAGTTGTGGAAAGCATTCAAAAAAGGTGCAACGCTACAAGATAATCGAGTAAAAATATTTTAATGGATTATGAATAAAAACTAGACTCATTCAAGAAGAAATATATTCAAAAATATGCATCTCTATGAACTATGAAACAAGCGTGCATGTTATAGCAACCATTTCTAAAGTACTAGAGCCCACTTATAAGCAGGCTATTTCTTTAAACCTGGAGCTAAGCGCTGTAGTAAGATTGCCACCCTTTGAGAATCGCTTTTTTTCTTCTTCAAACAATAAATTGTTAATAAAAAAATTTTATAATTTCTAACTTGTAGCAAACCACGGGAGATCTAGAAACTCAGCTCTACAGTACCCTTGCTTACATCCCTATCATAGACAGTAACTCTAACGAAATAACGAGGCTGAGAGAGATCGGAAGTTTAGCGTGTATAGTAAATAGTAACTGGTCAGTTTTACAACACGTCTTCTCTAAAGGTTAGCATTTTATTCTATAATGGATAAAAGCGTCCATAAAATTAGGTCACTACCTTTGTAGAGCTGATGTAAAAAAAAAGTAATATTTTTAATTTGTTTCATCACAGATGGCCGTCACCCTTGGACTCTTCCCGAAAAAGAAAGAGTAGAGAACCAAGCTAAAAACTTACAAGATTTTTTCGAAAACGACTATTTTCTTGAACAAATAAATTAAAATTTGTAAAGAAAAAAATTAACGCTTTCCCAGCGTTTAACCAGGCATGAGTAAACAATAGAGAAGATTAAAATAACCATAAAAGCATAAAGCAGTTCTCATTATAGTTTAAACAGCATCCCTCTTCTAGATATTACTTATAGACTGCTGTACTTTTCTTATCTTTTAATAGGGCGTTCATAATTTGGAAAGGTTAATTAAGTAAGCATAACAGACAGATATTTAATATTATCAATGTAATTATTGCAATAACCTTATAGCTTTCAACAAAAATTAAAGCAATTTTTATATACCTTACATTTTTCAAAAAAAAAATTTTTAGTGTCAAACGTTGCTAAGGCTTTAACTGATGTTACTTACTCTTTATTAACTACGCAACAAGGTATAATTACTCGGTAAATTCTATATTTAAAAAATTAAATATAATCCAACAAGTAAAATTTTATTTTGGAGTTTTTATAGTGGTAAAAGCTAGCACAATTCCAGCGAACGTTAAGAGGTTTGAAAGCAACCATGTATTAGCGTAAGGGTTAAAAAAAGAGCAAGCAAGAAAAAGTTTATTAGCTCCCCAGCGTCGACTACTATAAAGGTTTACTTAAAGCATTTATTAAAAAAATGGTAACTCCCCTTTACTACCTTTATATTATTTTTTAAATTTTTCGTTTTGGATTATAATAGTAAAATTTTTTAATTATGCAGGCTGCCTCCAATGTTATAAGCAGATCATCCAAGAAGTCGGCGCCCTCAAAGAAGTAATTTTCTACTTTACAATTTGGTTAATAGTTCAACTATTTTTTTTGACTAATAAGCAAAAAAAGTAGTTCATCAGAGAAATCAAAACAGTCTACTTCTACAGCAAACTCGGGCAGGATGCTCCGTTACTATTACGAAGACTCCCCCAGTTTAAAGATGTTTTAAAATTTTTTTTAAAAAATTTTAAGCTTAATTAAATCTGTATTCGTTTCTAGAGGCCCCATTCCAGTCTTGTTAGCTAGTTTGTTACTTATAGCTTCAGTATTTGTTCTTCACATATGGGGTAAGATAGTTCGCACTCTTCAAGCTTAGGTTATTAAGTAACTTACTTAAATAAAAAAATTATTGCAATCTACCTATATCTGGTCTTAAATTAAAAATTACCATCTAATAAAAATTCAAAATATAATGAGTGTATTAATTAAACACTTTATTTCTCCAATTCGGGTTTATCCAGTAATTCGTTAAAAAAATTTACTACTTCTCTTCTTTTAAAGTTTATTTTTGCAGTTATATCTTCCCTTCTTGCAAAATTAAAGTTATTACTTATTAAATTGCGTAAAAATATTTTTTTTTCAAGGACGCGACCCAAATAATCCTCCATAGTAATATTTTTAAGTAGTATTTGATATGCAAATAAGGTTGAAATCAATCCAACAAAATTCACCTTCTTCACAAAAAATTTCCAGTAATGGTTTAGAAAGATTTCAGGGGAGAGTGTAGGATTGTAAAGGGAGTTTACCAATATTATAGGAGCATCTTCGCTGCCAAGCAATTGATTACTTTTTTCAATAATTAATTCGTAAATAGCTATTGTCGGTGTTTCTTTCATAACATTCAACGCTTTAAACATATCCTTTAAATTTTGATCCTCCGCAAGAGCGTGGAAGGTGAACAGCGCTAAGAAATGATCGTATGGGAGATTATCAAAAAGATTGATCAACCAGAAAAGCTGCTGGCCAAGCTCTTTCAGTTTCTTCTTAAAGTGACTTACATTAAAAAAAAAATAATTTTCTTTAAAAAATTTTAACAGAAAGTTAAAGTCTAGACTGGCTTGTTCAGGATGCTTTTCAATGATAAGCGAAAGACATGAAAAGTCGCTTCGAAGTAGAGCTAAACGTAATTGATGCTGTACAACTGGAGTTTCTATAGAGACCCCTAAAAAGCAGAACAACTCGAAAGTCAACCTACCAAGAGTGGGATCCGCCTGTTTCATTGGTAATAAAAGTTAAAACAGAAAAAAAATTAAAACAGAAAAACCTGATTTAAAACTTTGTACATTTTATGATAAAATTCCTTATTAAAGGTTATCCCCATGGAGTGTGTTTTCAATAAAAAAGGCAAAACCTTCACCCAACCCCGATGTCCAAGACGGTCCATATTCAAAATTAGTATGCGAGAAAAGTGGTGAAAATAAGATTCATAGATCTTCGGATAGAGTCCAAGCCTCTCAAAGATCTATTCATTATATTTATGTAAAATTATTTAATAAAAAAATTAAGAAACCTCTAAAGTGAAGTCAACGTGGCCAGAGTTTATTAGATTTTCAATTAAAAATTCAACAGCTTCGGTCGTCAAACTTTGAATAGAAAGCCTTTTAATGAAGTTACGCGCTTCTGAAGGCCTCACTTGTGCGTAGGCTTGAAAAACTTTTGCCAGAAGAAAGCCGTTGCGTTCTTTAAGGGTAACACTTTAAAAATTTATTATTTTCTGTATAAATTTCAGCTAATTAGTAAACTACCTTCGGGGTTAATAGCATCAAGTAGTAGGAGGAGCCGTTGCCTGTGCTCGGAGTGTGGTAGAAGAGTTGTAATTACAGTGAAGTAGGTTAAAGATGACGGCGCAAATACGCTTTTCTCGTGAAATTTGTCAAGCTTTGTTTTATAAAAAACTTTGGATAAAATTTGATCCAAACTACGGGAATTGCTTGAAGTTACACTTTCTTCGATAAACAGCATATAATATTTATTGACAAGCTTTTTCAGCTTCAAATGTGAAATTTCTTGTAATCTTTTAGAAAATGTAGAGAAGAGAGTGTGGATGCGATCTATAAATTGCGTAAATAATTGGAAATCGCAAAGTATGCATCTATGTTTGTGGCTACAGGAAGATGAAGTTTTAAAATTCTCCGGTTTGGTGAAAAAAGTCAACTGCTCGTGAAAAAAAGAAGAGATGCGATCGAATTTATAGACTAACAACAATACGACTGTATAATGAGCAGTGGAATTATGAGACGGCGAGGGCCATCTCATACGCAGAAGGCTGGCTAGATGGAACAACTCCACATCGTTAAAATTAACTTTTTTTATTTCCTCGCATTTTTCAACTTGAACAACGTTTATATATTTAGTTAAGTCTCTATTACTTTTATTATTTGTTGTTATTAATCGAGTAAACAGAATTCTTTTAAGCACTTGACCATCTCCAACGAAGTTTAGTAATTTTTTATCATAAATTTTAAATGTGTAGCAAAGGTTTAGCATTTCTACAACGTTAAGTAAAATGCCTCTTTTCTAATTGGTAAATTTCTTAAAGATTGCTAAAAGAAATTAAAAGAAAATAAAAGTTTACGAAAATAATGGAGATGAGTATTTCGCAGTTTTCATAGTTGCGTGCAAAATAATTTTGAAAAATATTTCTTAAATAAAATTCCTTCGGAAGTTTTATATTTAGTTTATCAAAAAAAATTATCAAATCGAAAAGGTCCCTTGTATAAACGCTTAACTCGTAACTATCAAAACTAATTTAATGTCAAAAAAGTTAAAAAAGAAAAAAGGAAAAGTAAAAAAAAACTTACTGTACAGAGTTATAATAAGAATAAAAATATTTAGTTGGAAATCTGGATTCAAAACTATCAGAACTATAATAAAGAAAAATGTTAAAAAGAAAAAAATAAAAGAGGTAAAAAAAACTTACTGTTTAAAGTTATAATAAGAATAAAAACATTCAGTTGAAAGAAATAATTTTTCTACCAATTGCAGAAACTCTTCGGAAGATACTTTATAGTAAGCCAAAGAAAAAAGTCTTTTTATACTTACTATACTTTTATGTTTAACGCAAATCTTAAATAAAGTTTGTAACGTTATTTAAGACAAGAAATACGATGAAATTAATACTCTTAAAAGAACTTCCACGGCTTCGGTGCTATAATGACCATAACTCGAATTTAATTCTATAAATAACTATACAGTTTTTGTAATATTATATAAAATGCTTATATATCTCTAATTAACTACCATCGTTGCGGCATCTGGCCCTTTTAAAAATGAGCACATTTGTATCAACTCTATGAAATGGATATTGGTTAGAATTGCACCCGCCTTATGGAGTCTTATAAAATATTGAACGGCAAGTTCATTTCTCAATGAAGGAGATATATCCTGTAATAATGCAGAATTAAAGGTAAATAAAAGTTTTTTTACAAAAAGGATTAAAAGTATAACCCATAAATAGCGGCAGAAATTAAAAATTGTATTGGCAATTCGAGGAGTAGTTTTTTTGTTGTACTTACATCCAATAATTTGGAATTCCATAGCTAATTCGATTATAATACTTGGATGTTTAAAAAATAAGTAACGAAAAAAATTATCTTCAGGTAAAGCTGCTTCGTTATGTGGTTGCGAAGATGAGCGGTTATTAGACAAGGTGTAATGAATTACACGAAGAGGTAGTTGAAATTTTATAAGATAAGGTGAAAGACAAAAACAGCAGTTTACTTTTTTTAACTGCGATATCACATTAGTCTTTAATAACATTTATAACAAAACTGCTTTTTGTTAACTGCCTTTGAATTACTTTATATAAAAAACACTAAAACTTCACGTACTTTTGTATAGTTTAAATATTTGAAAAGAGTTTTTTTAGGGGTAAAACATTAGACTAAATTTACTAATATATATGGAGGTTCCTGTTCTTGATCAAGTTTAAAAACTTCAAAAATGAACTGGTAGCTTAAAATGCGTCACGTGGACGAGGCAGTAGGAAAGCTATTGCCAATTAATCAATCTCAGGCAGCTAATGCACAATACATACGGCTTTCGTTTACTGCGCAACGAAAGCTTGTCTTTCCCTCATATTTACATGAGTATAATGCCTGGCTTAACCTTCGACACCAATTAACTACATGCGGTTTTAATAATGTAATCAAAAATAACTTAGATACCTCGCCTGTCCACGAAATTTCCTAGTCGTTAAAGACAACGGTTTTCAAGATAGTAGCTACCGAGTGAAACTCAAACAGCAACATCAACAAAAAGTAACTGGTCGGTCTAACCGTTAGTAATAAGATCAGCCCACTGCATTCACATTAGGGGTTTTCCTTTAAGGAGCAAGCAGATTAGTATAATTAATATTAGATGGAACTTTTTAAATGGGTACTTGGTTTTATGTAAAATAGTACCAACTCCTAAGATTAATATTGAGATGTAACACACTCGAGCAACGAATTGAGTAATTGCATGAATAACTTGCAAATTTCGATGGTAATTAATACGATGGATCAACTAGTAAGTTACGCACGGGTTATCTTAAATATTCTCCGATTTAAAGTCAGGCGGACTTGATTTGTTATCTAAAGAGAAAATGGTCCAACTTTAACTAACTTTTTATCAATGATTTGACTTGAGATAACTTTGGCACAGAATAAAAATGATGGTCAACATGCTTTTTAAACCGAATTAGACTTAACAGGTTTTCTTCCCTGTAAACAGCAATTTAAATAGTAATTTAGTGGTGGTGTTAAATCGAGTACTCGAATGGACTTTTAATCTTTGGTGCGATGTACTCTTTTCTATTAGTTTGACTACTGCAAGGTACGCGTCGGTGATCCTTTAAAAATACATACGCATCAGCAGTGCGGGTCGGCTTAGGAGAGGAGAATCATGTAGCATTGGTTGTATTTGTCGGTAACCTGTAGGTTGACGCTTTCATAATAGGGAAGATACTATTAGCGAAGTAAAACTTGCTTTCTGTCGCCAGGTCGCTATCCGTGCCTATAGTAAAACACAGTTTTGTAAGGTGGTTTCTAGTGAACTGAATGGAGTAGTCATTTAACTACCTGCTTCCCTGGTCTTGATCCGACACGCTATATATTCATCCTAGGACTAATTTTGCAGTGTAGCGTAGTGTTCGGACGCCCGATTGCGGTTTAATCACCCTCTACTATCCTTACCGGTCTTTGTCTTCAGCTAAATAGATTAAAGTAATCTATCGTATATTATTATCTTCACTTTAAAGGTATTATTTCACAACAAGGATCATGACTATGGTTATCGTTATCAGAGTAAACTTGAACCTAGGAGAGCCCTAAAGTAGCTTTTGACGCTCGATTGAAAACAACTGCTCTTGACCTTGGGTGGACGAGATACCTTTGGGAAGCCCTATATTCCCTAGGATCTTTACAAGTAGTACCTTATAGAACTAGCTCCATTGCTCGCGCTTTCATCCAAATGCTTAAGAGTCCCTCTATGTCGCGAGTCTGGGATAAACCTTCATTGTATCTACCTTATCTTAAATGTCTTATTCTTGAAAAGAGGTATCATGGCCCTAGATGAGTTATGTAAAGTTCGCATCTTAACTTGAATAATTGCAGCGAAACGAGGGGTGTCCTTTATCTTTGTATAACTTTATAAGTACTCTTTAGCGAAGGTACCTTGGCGGAAGTAAAAAGCGCTCATTTCTCATAAAGAAAATCCTTTCCCAAGGGAGTATTATTAGAGCATTAAACACATAGAGTTAGTTACTAGTATATTTATATATAAGGGGCGTTGGTCAAATATAGAAATAAAAAGTATAGTAGTCATGCAGGGGCAAGCACGAGCAACGAGAGTATGAGCACAAAAGCACCTGGCTCTTATACATCATTTTTCAAAGTTTAACTAGTAAAATGCTAGGGTCTAACTCGCATGTTGTCTCCAGTGGCTGGCTTCAGACTTCACCTGATGACGTTGTAACACTAATCGTATAGTGCCCAGTCGCCTTGTTCTTTGCTGTGTTGATAGTAAAATAAAATCAGTGACGAAAGAGCTTGGAGATAAGGCACCTGACCCGTGTACAAGGGTTGACTGGCGTGGACGTTGCTCGTAATAGCAGTGAGAGCGGAGGAGCCCATCCTGTTTAGTAGGGCGTGCAGCTTGTTATGGGTAAGAAATATCTTTACACCAAAAAAGAGGGACGCCAGTCTTAGAAACGCAGGAAATCATAATATAAGGTATCTATTCCTAAAAAACTCCTTATCTTTTTAAAAATGTTCATTATAATTTTCATTTTATTATATTTATTCAAGAGAAAATACTTTGCTTCATATAAATTAAAAATAAACTAATTTTTCTTCTAGGCGACGGTCTCTAGCCAGAGCAAGCGGTAGAGCGTCGGAATCTTAATCTGTTAAATTTTTTATCACGCTAAAAAGTGTATACCACATTAAGGACGAAAGAAGTTAATTAATAACTGTTAAACTCCGATATGAGGCGGAAGCGCCAGCCATCCTATTGAAAGTCCTGGGGACCCACGTGCTTTAACAAAAAGCTGCAGCATCTAAAATGTTATTGTAAATATTGAAACTGGAAGTCCTGTAGGGGGTCATCAACGCCCTTCTATAAACGTTTAAATAGCTTGCTTTAACCAGTTTGCTGACTGAAGGCTAATGAGTCAGTAGTTACTAGGCGCCGATGCGTCTGCCGCATTTTTATAAATCGTGACAATCGCCATCTCAGTATCAACTTGAAGTTTTTAAAGGAGTGTAAATCTTTATAATTTGACCAAATTTTGTTTAAAGTCGAACAAAACAAAAATAGGAAAGAGATAAATAGAACTTTTTGAAACCGGCAAGAGGCAGAGGGCAAACCGAATTAACAATGCGGTATAGGGCATCTATAGCCAATGCTGGCATTTATTTTTTCAGCTAGTTAAAGATGTCGACGGTGCTTGGCATCTTTCACCTCGGTACTTGACTCCCCGATTTCTGTATAGCTTTGCTTTCAGTTTTTCCTATTGTGTCCATGTACTTACAGCTTGCGAATTAGCTCTTTTAGCTTCTCAAATTATGTTCACGTGAAGTCATTACGATAGTGTTGCTTCTTTGGTTACCAATGCTAATAAATTAACAGCTCCACAGCTTATCTATTCAGGGGTCTTTATGTGCTAACTACCGTATAAAATAAAATGAAACAATCAAACATAAGCTGTCAAGCCACAGAGTACAATTTTAAAAACATCTTGCTTTATTATTTACTAATTTATTGGAGTTCATGGAGCTCGATCGAGTCAAAAAACTTCGAATACTCGAGCTCAATTTGGAGTGAACACAGACATGCTACATAATAGATTTTAACCGAACTGCTCTCGTTATTTTCTTGACATTAGCAAAAAAAAATATGGGCTTCCGCGCTTCACAAGGTAGAAAATATCATACCCCATTACATAGCTTGTAAATAAGCTCGCTCACCAGCAGGCGATAAGTGTGCCTGGGTATTCTGTCGTAATGGACTGGTATTGCGTTTGGGAGAGAACGTTAATTTTACATTAATAAAAAAGTTAAACAACAAATATAATTTAATTTTAAAACAAATGAAAAACTATCTGCTAATAGCAATAATAAAATAAAAATGATAAATAAAAATTAATTTTTACAAAAAAGTACTATTACTAGGAATATCTAAGGAGCTCAAAACTCCGTATATAGAGTACGGACTGTAACCGTCTCGTTGCTCCCGCACGTCCTGTGCACTCATTTAACTTACACATTTTACCTTGGCGCGGGACGTGTTGAAGCAACCTTTCTAGCGCTGTGACCACAGTAGGTAAGGCCTTTGTTGTTTTATAGTCAGACACCTTGGCAACTGTGTAGGCCGGCTACTTAGCGGGTAGACTAGGCGCGTTCAGTGACTTGTGTCTTGGATTGTTAGTCATATCTCAAGATTTTCGTGCTAGATTGTACGCTCTTTGACGGAGCGAGGTTGGCGACTTTTAGACTTAATTTTGACCTAGACTGTCATCGTAAAGCGGCCAAAAAAGATTGGCCCATATAGTACGTAGTTGATACGTTTGTTATTCCTTGCGTCTCCTGGTACGTGTTTCCACAGATGGATTAGTATTTATATGTAAAGGATCGGAACCTCGGTAGTGTCTAGTATCTATGAGTCCAGCTGAAGGTCCCTGTGAAGAGCTTCATTCGCAAAAACCATGGCACGTTTGTCACCACGCAACAAGTTGTTCAGTCGAAGGCTATTGCAGTGGAGTTGTAGGCCCAGGCAGCAGACGCGTACGTCATTATTGCCTGGATATAAGACTTATACAATTGCCATTTGTTTTTTCAGAGAAAGCTTTCTCTTGACGCATAGGAATGGGTAAAGCGCCTTAGTTGCTGCCTTGGTCTTCGTCACTAGATAGTACACGTGCGGATGCCAGGAAAGTCTGCTGTCAATGATGACTACCAAGTATTTCGTTTGAGAGCACCACTGAAAGGTTAAGGCGTCAACAAGGGGAAGCGTTTCTTAGTAATTAAAAGGCGCTTTTACTTTCCGTCACAATTATAGAAACTTTCCAATTACGGCACCGGCCAGGAAGGGCGTTAAGATAACGCTGTAGATGCTTGCAAGCAAGGCAAGGGACTTGACGACGAGTAAACGGCCACATCATCTGCGTAGAGGGCGATTCGTGTGTGTGAATTTGATGGCAAGGGCTTGCTATATTTCAAGAATCTTACACTATATACAAGAATTAAGATTAAATAGATTCTTATGAATATTATCCTCCTGTAGACCTCTAAATTTTAAACCACCCAATTTCCATCTGAGGTCATTTGGACTCATGTAACCGGCGCTCTTTTAACGGCAATAGAATTGATAAATAAGGTGAACGTTGCTGTCAGGGAGGTGGAATGTGCTTTCCAAATAATTTGGTAAATTATATATTTATATTTCACCTAAACGACTGCTGGAAGGCATAACCCTTTATAACGGGGGTTATAGCACGTCCGTTGTTTGTACTCCTCACCACGTCTGTCAGTAGTTGTGATCTTATGTTAGACGGTGTAGGCCCTAAAGAATGAAAAAAAAAAAATTGGGTGTGCGACCCAGTTGCTTAATGCAGGGTGTTTGCGGCTAATAAATTACATCTTTTGACCGAAGAACAGTTTTTTTTCAGGGAGAACGTAAATGTTCGGTTGCTGAAGCGCTTATTAATAGCAATCGCAGCCACGAGCCCTTGCCTGCCTGAATTAAGGGTAAGTTCTACTTGCTTTACGCTCTACAGAGCTAACCGCTACAATCGGTTCTGTAAGAACACTACGTTTAAGCAGGATAGCAGCGTCCATAAACGCTAGTAAATGCTGGTCATAGTAGCCGGCTGTCGTATTAGAAAAAAGCTGCGTTTTATTGACCACAGTTTTTTAATCTCTTTCGCCTACTAAAAGTTTTCTGCTCTTATTTTCTCTACAATTCAAAACAGTAATCGTATATGGCGACTGGGCTGTAATTTTAAGCCATTACAATTGGATTTCTCGCAGGCTGTAGCATACTTGAAGAGATTCCAGTTGCCACTGCTTCAGTTGTGACCGTTGCTCTTCCTCTTGTCGCTCTAGCTGAGCAGCTGGCATCATGGTTACCTAGTGAGTGGCTTATAAGGTTTGTAAGGAGGTTAACAGGTTTAGTAGGTAAAACCATCAAACCGGGATCAAGAGCTGTCGTCGTAGCTCAGTCGATGCGACTCACTTTTTCTGTCTTTGATGGTCCCGTATTTAACCTTCCTCATAAATTCCAGTAGAGTTCTTCTTTTTTCGTTTTTTGATAAAGGAGAGATATTCAAAATCGTGGCGCGTGAATTGAATGGTCGTCGGAGAAGTGAAGAGGTGTCGTCCCACCATTCGAGTTTGGCAGGTGTGTCTCATACTTTGATGTACTGTGCTAGAACTTTTATACCTTAATAAATTATTTCCTGCCCTTCCGGGAGGGGCGCCCACTTTTTACCGTAATGATATTTTTAACGTTTTTTATAGGTGACTGGCTCATCCACTTGACGCATCGTAAGGTTGCAGCGGAGAAACTCGCGCTGTGCTCAAAATAGGCAACGATGACGCTTCTCCCGTAGTTTTTTTTTCCTGCTAATTTGAAGCTTTTACCGTTGGTATTTTGGGTTTATGCACCCTCAAATAGGAAATGGTTGCTCCTTGCGTTTAGCGCTGGCAAAATATTCTGCGGAGGGTGCATGCTTTAGAGTGGTGGGGTTGCCGGGCTCGCAATTAGATTCCGTAAGTGGACAAACTTCTATTCTTTTATAAAAAAATATGTGCTAAAAATTATTTCATTTGCTTTCGTTTGAGTTAAATAGAGAAAACTTTACGATTATCGTAAACAACTAATATAGCGTAATTTAGTGAAGAAAAAAGGTTAAATTTTAATGCCGTGTTTGAGCCGGCAACTTCTTGGCAGTTGTTTAGCTTTTTTGCCTGCCTTCGTTATAAGGCGTCAATATTTATAAAGTTCGAATATTCTTTTTTATCATCTCATCAACTGTTTTTTTTGTCCGTAACACCTTTAAATTTGTTACAAAGATAATTATAGCTTAACTTATAGGGTAATATGTAAAGAGAAACTTTTTAACTCGAAAATAAAAATGGCGAAACGTATTTCTATACCTACGATGGAAGAAGTTTGTGGTGATTATCCCAAAAAAATGAATCCTCTTCTATTTAATGAGATAAAAGAAGCTAATATTGCTACCGAGCATGTTGAGATTGTTAATAAAATAGATGAAGTCAACTTTAAAAGGAGAACTGAAAACTATAATACTAAAGATGCCAGCATTTCTGAGAAGACGATAAACAACCAGTTAGTAGTAAAATTATTCGTTCTTTTACTTAACATAACAAAGTTTTTTTTTAGACCTTCGTTTTTCCCCGGTACTTCCAACTCAATTATTGTTAATACTCGACAAGTTAACATTTATACTAACCAATATTATAGGATATAGTTTACATTGTTGTAGTCGTCTTCCGCCTTCCTTTTGAGTTAATAATTAGCTTTTAGTATATAATATTTTTTTTAATTGTGTAACGCCTTTTAGAATGGGAATCCAGTGTTGAAGTGCATTCGTAATATTGCTTGGGAGTTTGGCGTAATAGTGCCTGACTTTGTATTTAATTCTTCTTCCTGTGCTTTATTTCTTAGGTGAGTATATTAAAGATTTTATAGAATATAAAAGTTTAATATGGAATATAACTATATAATAAAGCTGAAAAAAATAAGAGAAAGTTCAATAATAAATAATTAAAATTTACACTATTGTACTATATAATATTTTATCTAATATAATTGAGATTTAAAAATTATTAAATACTTGGAGAAATTATTTTTTATATATCTAAAAGTGTATTTTATTATTATTTACGTTAACGCTACAGTATTTAAAATAAATAATAAAAGCCCAAATATTATTAAATTTGTTAAATGGAAAAGTTTATATATTAATAGTTAGAAATAAAACTTTTTCTCACTTCAATACTTTTAGTTCTTTCTAGTTTTTATAGGTAAATAGGGATTTTTTATAATAATTTAAATCGTATAATTTTTTTTAATAATTTAATAGTTTTGCTTATAAGTTATTGTTTTTTATTATATTTTTTAGTTTAGTAAATTTAATCGAATAAATTTATAAAAGTCTCAGATATCATCTTCTCCATAAAGAATATATTTACCAGCGCGTGCGTGAATTAGCTAAACAATATAAACTTCGAGTACTTCTGTGTTTGGTGGATGTCGTAAGTTTTTTTTTGGTTTACTATATATAGCACACATAGGAAGGATAAAAAAGTAATAATTTGAAAAGATCTTTATTATATTTAAACTGTATTTATACTTTATTATTATAGTCAAATCTTTTTATATATTTGGCCTTCAATTTTATCCTTATAAATTAATTATTTTTTAATTTGCATTTGTAAGTATATAATTATTTATGTATTACTTATATACTTGATTTATGTTTTATTAATTTATAACTGTAAATGCTAAATTGAATAAAAAGTTGTTAATTAATTTTGCTATCCTTATAAATCTAGAAAGTTATCAACCTTTATAAACTTTTGTAATATATTCTGATTATTTATTTTTATTTAATTTTTTAAAAATAATTTTACTTTAGATGTTTTTATACAATTTTTTTAAACTAAATTTGACTTTTACTTGCCTTAGATTTAGTTACTGTAGTGATTCTTCAGTTATTAAAAGTGTTTAAAGAATAATTAAAATTTAAACTTTTCTTGTTTAATAATTATAAGTTAGTAAATTATTTATTATAGAATTTTAAAATAATTTAATTAAAATCATTTATGCTATAATTTTCTTTTTTTTTTTCAACTTTACCTTTGCAACATAATTTACAGTTTTTATGAGTAATAATTAAAATTTTTAATGAAAAAAATTTATTAAACATTTGAAAAATTTTAAGATTAATGAAATAATATAAACGTTTTTTCTTAAAAAGTTTTTCATTTTAATTTTTTTTTTAATTTCAATTTTTTCATGCTAATTTTTTCTTGATTGATTATTGGTGCAATTTTATAATATTCTAAGTAACTGGAAAAAAATTATTTACGACTTTTTCTAAGAATTAATACTTTTTTTATCTTTTAAAATTAAAGTTCGTACTTAACTTAATTTATAGTTATTAAAATTATATTTATTTTGCTCGAAAAGGTAATTAAACGATTTTAGTTTTAATATAAATTTATAATAAATTTCAAACTTCAATTTTGCCTTTTTTTTTTTACAATACAAATTTTACTTTTTGTTTTTTAGATAAATTTATAATTTAGATAAAAACTTTTTTAATTTGCTTTTTGAAAATAATTATTATCTTTTTATAATTAATATAACTACAAAAAAAATTAATCTTTAATTTCTATAGCAATTTTACTTTAAAATTTATAAAGTAAATTTTAATTTAAGCAAATCGCTGAATTTTTTTGTATTTCATATTATATATAATTACAACTTTAAAGTAATTAATAAAAGAAATTTTTATTTGATTTTTATTAATTTAACATTTTTAAAAGTTGATTATTTTTTTATAAAAAAATTTGATTTTAATTTTATTAAAAAAACTTTGGCATCTATAAGATTTTAATTCTTTTTATTTTTTTTCACTCTATATACTTATGTTCAAAAAGTTTTCGAAAATAATATTTATAACATATTTATTTTAATGAAAAACTATTACTCGTCTCGATTGCTATAAAATAAATTTCAGTATAATTCTAATTAATAATTTGTATTACTTTTATACTTTCCAATTTTTTTAGTATTTTTCCAAAGGAACGACTTTTCAATGCTTTTATAGATCTCAACTATTTTATGAATTTTTAAATGAAATTTGCTTTTTTAGTTATTTTAAAAATTCTTTCAAGTTTAATTATAATTTTTACTTTAAATTTTTAATTAGATTTTCTATAAAATAATTTTTTTTGGAAACGTCCTTTTTCTTCTAACTATTTCATACTATTTACGACTTTCTTAAAAAATTATTTCTACAATTATTTTTAAAAATTAAGTTATATTATTTCTACCGTCCACTTAAAGTTTCATAATTAATTTTTTTTAAAGACAAATTTTTCTTGCATTTTGAGTCTTATAAAATTACGTCTAATAAAAACTTTAAAATTTTTTATTTATTACAATTTTTTTGTTTTTAATTATTTTTCAAAACTTTATAAATGGAAATTTGTAAATCGCTATAAACTTTTTATATTAGTTTTTTAATAGTTTTTTTTTAATTTGATAATAATTAAATGTTAAAGTTTTTACTAATTTGTTATAAAATAACATTTGCCTGTTAAAAAATGTTTTTATAATTTCCGGCGCCAAATAAAAACTTAAAATTTATTTTGTATATTTAATTTTTTTGTTAATTTCTTATAAATTTAAAATTAAACTTTTAATTTTTACTTTAAATTAATAATTTTTTATTTTTTCCTTAAATATTATATAAATTTTCAGGTACAAACAAAAACATTTAAGATTTTTACTATATTTAATTATAATTTTTTTATTAATTTTTTATTAATTTATAGTTAAAATTTTATTTCGCTCTATTTAATAATTGTTAAAATTTTAATTTTCTTTAAAATTCGCAGTTGCCTACTTAAAATTATTTTGTATCACCAAACAAAAACTTGATTTATTTTACTTTTACTCTTACTTTTTATTAATTTTTTTTAAAATTTATATTTAATTTTCTAATTTTTACTTATTTATTAATTTTTAAATTTTTATTTTTTCTTATTTTTTTTGTTAGAAACAACATTCGCCTGCTTTAGATGATCTATCAAAACTTGCAGCATTGAGCGGCTTGACGCTCATTTTAGCTTTCAGGCTATTACCTTTATTAAAAAATAATATCATATCGTTTTATTTATATTTTACTTGGTTTTTAAATTTTAATTTTTTTTTATCTTTTAAAAATAATTATAACGTTTTGAATAAATTTTTGAATAAATTTTATTTTTTTAAATTTATTTATTTGATATCAATTCCTTTTAAGAATTGACATCTTTATTTAAAAAATTATTATTTCGGTTTAATTATTTTTATATTAATTATAATTAATTTAATTTCTTTTAAATTATAATTTTTTATATTTAAATTCCAAACTTCTCTTTAAATTTTAATTTTATCTTAATTTATTATTTTTTTATAGAATTTTTAAAATTTTCTAAACTTTTTTTAAAAATAAATTTCTTTTGAATAGTAATTATTATTACGTTTTTAATATATTTTTTAATTTATAAATTTTTATTATTTTTATTTTTTTTAGAAATTAATTTTTATAGGATTATATTAATATTTTAAGAAAAGTAATTCAAATTTAATACAATTTTTATATAGTAATTTAATTTTTTTTAAGGATTTAAATTTTTTAAGTAAAAGTAATTAAACAAGATTTTTACTTTTAAATAAATTGTTTTTCATTATAATAAAGATGAAAGCATTTTACTTTTACAAATTAAAAATAAAAAGTGTAGTAAACCTAATATTAAAGGAGATTCTTTACTTTTTAACAAAATTTACTTTTGGTATTAATCAAGATTAATATTATTTTTAATACTTTAATATTTTTTACTAATAACAATATAATAAATAGCGGTTATATATTTTAATTGTAGATGAAAGTAATAATATTTTTTTTTAAGTGATAATAATAATCTATAATTAAACAGATTATACATTTTTTAAAATTTTTTATTTAAATAATAATAATAAAAAATAGATTTATTTGTATTGTTAAAGATGAAAGCACTTGTTGTTGACAAGTTTACACTTTATTAATAATGATAATAATAAAATAAATTTCTTTTATTAATTGAACGCAATTGCTTTTCACAACTTTTTTTTTAGATTTTATAATAATTAAATAAATTTTAAAAGAAGAAGTTTATAAAAGTAATTTATAAAAATTAGAATTTGGATATTTTTAAGATCTTTGAAATTTATTGAACTAAAGCACTTTAAAGTAGTCTTTTTTTTACTATTTAGTATTAAAATCATAAAAAAAAAACTTTAAATCTGAATCCTTTTTTATGCGGATCTGCTCTGTTAGTCCTTTATACTTTTCAGCAATCTCGAAAATTTTTTCAGAATTCGCTTAAAAAAAAATTTATTTTAGTTTTATGGAAAAACTTTTTTTTATGATTTATTATAACTTTGCGAATAATTTTTTTATAAATAATAATTTAATTTTTTAATAATAAATTTATTTTTAAATTTTAGCTAAATCTTCGTTTAAGCTTTTCTTATATAAATTGCAAATCTTTTTTCCATTCTCCGTTATTATTTTTTTCATATTTTTTTACTTTAACTTTGCGGAAATTTATTTTTGTTGATACTAATAAAAATTGTTTCTTAATACATTTAAGTTTTAATTGTAATTTCTTCACTTAGTATTGCGCATCTTTATATAATTATTATTATATAGAAATATAAACAAATTTTCAAATTTTTCTTTAAAATATGCTTTATAAGTTTTTATATATCCTTTAAGAAATAAAGTTTTCATAGATTTACTTAAACTTTGCGAGTCGTTTTACCCAATTTTTACTAATAGAAATTAAATATTTAGTATGAATACTATTTTGTAGTAAAACTATTATTTTTTACCTTGTTTTTAAAATTGCGAGTCTTTATTATTATTAGTCTACTTTTGGCCAAATTCTCGATTTTCTTTTACTGATTTGTTTAAGTTTAAGATTTTTTTATTAAAAAAAACTGATTTTTATGATTTACTTAAACATTGCGAATTATTTTTACAAATTAACACTAATAAAAATTATTTATAAGTATATATATATTGTTACTTTTATAAATTGCTAGTCTTTTGATTATTATTATTTTTTACTTATAAACTTATTCTCGAAATTTCCCTTATGATTTCTTTTAAAAAATATTTATTTATAATATACCTTTACTTTGCGAATCATTATTACTATTGTATTATAAATATAAATAAACTTTTATTATTCTTGTGAATTTTTCCCCCACGTTCAAATTTTACTACTATTTTCAGTAAAGTGTATATTTTATTAACTTCATTTCTACAGTGCGAGTCTTATTTTTATTTCTTTACAAATTTTACTTAATATTATTTTTTTTTCTTTTAAAACAATTCTCGATTTTTTTAAAAAAACTTAATTTTTTTAATTTCTTACAATAAATTTAATTTTTTTACGTTAGCTTTGCGAATCATTTTTTTATTTATTACAAAAAGTCAAACTTTTTTTATAACGACTGATTCATCTTGTGAACTTTTCCTTGAGAATTGCGCTTAATTATAAAGCGGATTTATTTTTATTACTATTATTAAGTATTGCTTTTGAATTTTTAAATCAAAAAAAAGGTGGTCCCTTTCGTTTTTATTTTTCCTTTATTCCGCGAGGTTTTGATGAAACTTTTCTCAAAAGTTGTACACGAAATAATAGCTAAGCGTATTTGATCCTTCAGTTTTTCCTTTTTTCTTAACTTTTCCACTATTTATATTTTTTCTGATCCAACTCGCGAAACTTCCTTCAGATTTACTATTAGTATTTATAAATTAATAGTAAATACTTTTTTTAGTCCTCTAGTTATTTTTTATTTTTTTATTTTATCAAGTTACTAATATTTTTGCTTGCCCTTTTTCTCAATTTGTAGATAAATTTATAGTAAAATAAATTTTTTTTGCAAAAAAGGTTGTGCTTTGTAGATTATGTAGGGTTTAAGTGATATACAAAATAAAAATTCGATGCAATAACAATAAGTAAATAATTAATAGAGCGACTTTACTAACATTATCGGTTTTTTCATATCATTTTTAAATTTTTATGTAAACTTATTTTTCATATTATTTATAAAATTTATTTTTATCGTTAATTTTTTTTTTTATAAATTTTTGAAAATTAGTAAATTTATTTTATATAAATTTTTTGAAATTAATATTTTATGAAACTTATATAAATTTATAATTATTATTTAATGGTTTATTATTTATTAATTAATTTTTTTTAATAAATTTTTTATCTAAATTTACAAGTTTGCTATTAAATATTTTATTAATTTTTAATTTTAAGATTTTTTTTCTAAATTTAAAAATTTATTAATAACTTTTTTAAATATTTCTTTACTCTTATTTTATTATTTATTATTTTTTAAATAATATTAAAAATTTTAATTAATTAATTTTTGAATTTTATAAAAAAAACTTTAAATTTATAATTTTTGTTTTTTATTTTATTAGTTATAATTTATAATTAACCTTTTTTTCGAAAATTTTTTATTATATACTTTTTTTTTATTCATTTATTATTCTTATTTTATTATTTATTATTATTAATTAATTTTTTCAAAAAAACCTCTTTAAATTTATAAATTCATTATTTACTTTATTATTTATTTTTGAAAAAAATATTATTTTGTGTTTATTTTAACATCAAAAAAATTTATTATTAACTTTTTTATAGATTTTATAAAAAAAACGTCAATTTATATTATTTTATTATTTGTTACTATTAGCTATTTTTTTCAAAAACTTTTATACAAATTTACAAATTTTTTTTAAATTTTTTTTTTTAGAAATTTTTGAAAAAATATTGAATTTACAATTCTTAATTCTTATTTTATTATTTTAAATAATTTTATAAGACATTTTATTAAATTTACAATTTTATTATTAAGTTCTTTATTTATTTTTTTTGGAAAAATTATATGTTTATTATTTCTTGTTCTTATTTTATTATTAATTATTTTTAAATTAATTTTTTTTTACAATTTTCTTATTAACTTTTCTAATTACTTTTTAAAAAAATTTAATTTTTTTTATACTTATTGTTTATTTATTATTAAAATAATAATTTTTAATAAAAATTTTAACTGAATTTACAAAGTTTATTATTTACTCTTTTACTTATTATTTATTTGTTATATAACTTTTTTAAAATTCCAACTAAAAATTATAACTTTTTTATTTATATTTTTTTTGCGTATAGTTTTATTATTTATTTATCATTATTATTTTTTTTAATATTTAATATAATTTTGCAAATTTTTTAAAAATATTATTATATATAAATTTATTATATAATATTCAAACTAATATATAAAATAATTATAGAACAATAAAAAGTAGCACGTTTTTTTATTTATATTTATTATTCATTTACTATTTAATTAGTTTTTTATAAAAATTAATTCTTTTTTTACTCATATTTTTATTTACGAATAAATTTAATAGATTTTATATATATATGAACAGTACCTTTTTATTAATTTTTAATATTATGATATTTTATAGATGTATATGTACTTATTCCTGTATTTACTATATTTTTTTATCAGTTTTGAGGAGGCTGGTCGGTACTTAGAAACTTATAAGTCTTACGAAAATAAATCTGCCGAATTTTTAATGGAACAAACCAAAGATTCCCAGATCGGAAGAGTACTTAATTATTATTATTATTACTATTTATTATAATTGTTATTATTACTATTATTATTGTTATTCTTATTACTATTAATATTATTGTTATTATTATAATTATTGTTTTTTTGAGCTTGCGGACTTTTTAACGAACGTCAAATCTATTAATAAAACTGATATTGTTACATTACTTTCGGTGTTTGGGGTATAATTTTTGCGTATTTTTTATATATTTATTATTATTTTATAAAAGTTTTTTTATTATTAAAATATTAGTTATTATTATGATGATTTTATTATTTATTATTTACTAAATAATATATTTTATATAATTATATTTTTATTAATCTTAAAAAAATATTATTTATTTTATTTATATTAATTTATTATTTTCTTTATTTTATTACATTTATATTATTTATTTTTTTACTATTAATTATTTATAAATAATATTTTATATTTATATAATTAATATTATTATAAAATAACAAAAATATATTTTTATAAAATATTTATATTATTTTTTTATTTTTATTATTTATTTCTATTTTTTGTATTATTTTATTATTATTACTATAAAGTTGTATTATATTTTATAATATTATTTCTATTATTATTGCAATTTTTTAATATTTTTAATATTTTATATTATTGTTTATATATTATAAGTTTATTATTATTGTATTATTATTAAGACTCTCAAAAATATTGTGAATGCAAGTTCAGAAGAACTCGCACGATGTCCAGGTTTTGGAGATCAGAAAGTATATTTTATATATATATATATATATATATATATATATTAAGTTATATAAAAAAATATTTTTGTATAGAAAAATATTATAAAAAAAAGTATATAAAAATTATTTTAATAAATATAGTAAACAGTATAATAAAAATTAAAAAATATTAATATAATTAGAATTTATTAATAACTTTTTATTTACTTATAGAAATTAATACTAATAAAAATATTAATACTAAATTATTTTATATAAACTAAATAAAAGTTTATATATTGTATTAAATATTTATGTTATTATAAATATATATTTATATTTAGTGTGTGTTATAATAAAACTCAACACAATGTATAAAGTATATAAATTTTATAGATATTAATAAATAATTTATAATAACGAAAATATTTATAATATAATATATAATATTAATAATAATATTTATATAAAAGTAAATAATGTTAAATGTATTGTATAGATTTTATATAAAATAAATAAAAATATATAATATAAAAAATATAATAAGATTCCATAAATAATAATTATTACGGAAATGAAACAAGTAGATAATTGTATAATTATAAAATTATATTATAGAAAACTAAAATAATAATAAAAAAATAAAATAAATTTTTTTAGTCAATAATAAAAAATTAAAATAATAAAAATAAAATATTAATGAATAATAAACCAATTATCATTCTGGAAACCCTCGGGGCAGGTGCGTCGGCTGCTTGAGGCGTTTAACGAACCTTTCCGGCTTGCAAAAGAGGGTTCACCTAAATCCTCCTCATCTTGACGCTGATTCACTAAAATTTCATCTTTTTTAGTGGATTTTTTAAAAATAAATAATTGTTATATGCTTTTCTTATTGCTACTGTTATTAATATATATTAAAGAACGATTGAAAGGCGAAGTTTTAGCGGTATTTTTCATTATATTTTATATTTTCTTTAATATAAGTAACTTATCCGTGTTAAATTAATTTCTATTATTCGTTTATATTTATTATAAGTAATAGACTTAATTTATATATATATTTTTTTTCCACTTTTTATAAAATTCTTTGTAGAAAAACATTGATAAAACAACATTTATAGCTAGACTTACAATATATAGTTTTTGCCGTATCTTACAGAATTTCTTTTGAAGAATTTTACTTTTTAAAAATTATATTCTTGTAGTTTTGCTCTAATGCAAGTTCTATTAGTGGGTATGACCTATAAACGTAAGAAAGGAGTATAAAATGCCTTCATTCGATTAATTTTCGAAAAAAATACCACTTGCAGCAGTCACTACTAAAAGAATTTTTACCAAGTTTTGACAAAAACAGAATCACTAAGGAACCAAAACATTTAGGGCTTTAGCAAAATTTGTAGCAACTACCATCTTGAAAAAAAATGAATAGTAAAAAAATTAAAAAAGTTTGCGTTAAATAGTGTAAAATCTGTAAGAAATGCGTATTTTCTAAGTATGTGCGAAGACGTTGGTATATATGTTTCTAGAATTTACCGCAGTTTTTTTTTGCTAAGTACTAGCTATTTGCTTTAATATTAAAGAAAAACTTATATTTGCACTGAATATTAAACTATTATTCGTTAATATTGGCGAAGTGCTTGCAAAAACTTAAGCAAGGATTGAGCGATGCTAATAAAAGTAAATCCTTAGACTACACCGAACATGGCTTAGGTTATTATTTATATATCACCATTTACAGCTGACTTATACCTTATGATCGAGCTCACTTATAATAATAAAGAAATATATGCAAGGTGATCCCCAAGAAAATTGATGAAATAAAGCACTGAGGATGCCGTTAAGCAGAATTTACTAGCAGCGTTTGCCTTCTTTGTAAGATTGTTTCCACTATATGGTTTATACAATTTCCCGTTTCTTACTATGTTATATTTTTTCTAAAGAATTTTAGTTTTTTTTATCAATAAACACTAAAATATTTTCAAGGATAGTAAAAAGGCCAACCATAATAACATCAAGGACAGCTGCTAACTCTTTATTCTTGTTTAACCTTTCGAGATCAAAGCTTGTTAACCATATGAGAACACTCAATAAACGATTATTTTAATAACTATAAATATATATATCCGTAAATGGTATTTTTAATAGTTTAAGTAATTTATACTATTTTATTTAATAAACTGCAACTAGTGTTTTCTTTATATTTGATAAAAATATTATTCCTTTCTCTTGAGAGGCTTTTACCCTTCCACCTCTTACTACAGAAAGAGCAAAGTATAGGCAGTAAAAAGGAAGTTTATCCTTGAGTGTAGCATGCCAATTTTATAAGTAGATTAAGAAGAGCAAAATCCAATTATGATCATATCGTATAACACGTTTTTCTAATTTTTTTATCTTACAAGTCAAGCTTTAAAGTGGAGGGAGCAGAAGAGCTGGGTATATAAAAAAAAAATTTATAAAAAAATTTTTTTTGGCAGAATTTTTAGTAAAATTTTATAAACTATTCTGTTACTTTGAAAATAACAAGCACAAATAGAAGAAACGTTAAGGTTAAAGGACTTCAAATTCCCAAAAGTTTTTGTAAAACTATAGTGTGCGTGCAGCATGAGAAAGCCTGGCCTAGTTAGTAACTTACAATATTATAAAAAATTATTTCAAGTTTGAGAAAATTAGTGCATTCTGATAAAGAGGAAATAAAACTATTTTTTAATAAGATTAATCATCATTGTTGGTGCCAAAATTAGTTAAAGGGTGTTTATTGCTCTACGCACATGATGTTTAACAAAAGAGTGTAATAGAAGCAGTTTTCAAGGTCGAGAATTAGTAATTAGTCAAAAAGAGCTTACTATAGATAAACTAAACTATAAGCATGTTATTAATTTAAAATTTAGTTTTTCATACTATTAATTTGCAAATCTTCTGTAATGCAAGAGCAAAGTTGGTTTTTAATAGGAATTACTAAAAACAAGAAAACATCCAAAAGTGTAACAGTTTTTACAAATAAAAATAAACAGAAAATAATTTACTTAAATAGATTACTAAAACAATCAATTTTTTCTGAGGCGTAACTCTTTTGCGTTTTCTAACCCTCGAGTATTTCTTAGTTCTTTGTATATACCTTTTTTCTAACTGCTAAGTTTGCGTATATGAATTGAAAGAAGAACATATACTTATACCTCAAACTAATAAGAATAGAACCCACAAAATTTTAGTACTATGAAGAAATCCCACATATAAATTAGTTATTACGAAATTATTATGAAATAGCTCTTCTTTGCATACCAACTTATATCTGACTTATATATTTCAAACTTCTAAATATAAGTTTGTTAGTTTCTATAGCTTCCAGTACTTTATAGCTAAAAGCAAGTAGAAAGCGTGCCTACGCTAACCACGCTTTTTTATTTTTATTTAACCTCTTTTTCTACTAGATAATGATAAACTACTCTGTGGTTATTGTATAAAGCTTCATATAAAGCTGTGACTTTAGCATTATTCAAGGTCTGAAAATATAAAAAGCAAAGTTAGAAACTCGACATGGTTAAAAGTTCTTTATCAATAAACTTAAATATGTAAATATAAAGTGAACTATTTAAAAAAAAACCTGTATATCGGCACCAACTTCACACGAAGTCTTACAACAACGACATGTCCGTTATAAGCAGCCTAGTGTAAAGGTGAATTACCAAAAAAGTTGAAGTAGTTAATAACTTTCGAAGGAGACAACCATAAAAGATAATTAACTACATTTCATTCTTTTTAAAAAATATATATTTTTTTGATAATATAGATAAGTTAAAAACTAAAATAATTTTTACATCGCATTAAGTACTACAAAAAGCACTTTAAAAAAATATGTATTTAAGGCGAAGCACTCAGATGCTCAGGTGACCATTCGCTGCCGCCACATGCAATGCAGTGTTACTTTGCTCATCTACCAAGTCTACCAGAAGAGTCCCCTTTCAATATGTGCTTTTACTCCGTCTAGACCACCACCGCGAGCATTATTTTTATATAAACAGATGTTTCTTCGTCTATATGGCATATGAAAAAGAAGATGTGAATATAATAATATTACAAATGATGGTTATTTATGATGGCTTACCCGTCATGAAATAAAAACCTGAATTACTTGCCTACGAAGCAAGTAAAAACGCGTGATAAATGGTACTAGCCCAAGTGCTATATATGCACATTGCAGGGTTTATTACGAAAATTAACAGTAAATGAACCTCCGGGATGGGAGTGGTCTGCGCACCTCGACTTCTCTTACTTAGACTTTCCCCTGAAGAAAGGCTTAGAGCACTCATTGCTAACTTACTGCTATAAATGAAGAACTCAGAAAAGAGTTAGATTCTACAAAGGCAAAACTTCTTGAATCTACTAAAATCACTCAAGCACGAAAATAAGTCTAAAAGGCGAAGGGAACCTTTTTTGATAATATATCTAACATTAATAACTTATTTTTGGCTCGGCCTTAAAAATTCTATATCCACCAGATGCTTCTGAAGTGATACTAGAAGCGGGATTGTAAAGGTTACCGGAAAACTATTTACGGTGAAACAGCTAATATTAAGAGTAACGTAGTAGTAGCAATAATCTTATAACTAATAGTTCCCGTAATAGCATCATTAATGATAGTATTACTATTAGCAACAACAGTAATAGCAAGAAAAAAATTCTTACAGTAGTAAAAATAGAAATATTAGTAATAGTAATAATTTAAATAATAATAGCTTTAATATGTGTAACGTTAACCTGAAAGTCATTAGAGACTCAGAGTAGCCCCTAAGAGCTATACACGACACCGCTCACATAGAGTTGGGCAGCGCGTCTAAGACTGCCCCTATTTTTAATGAACCACCCTCTACTGCGACACCCCCCCCCCCTGCGAACTCGTAAAGAGAAAATCCCACCTATTATTCTTTGTGAAAAACAAAAGTGGACCTTGCACAACTTTTGCAATCCAACGGCGCCATAATCACGAGGCCAAGAGCTACGCGTTTTAGAATTAAACTTTTTCCTACACTTTGAAGACAGCGTTATTACAGCGATAACGCTGAGCGGAAGAAGCGTCCGTTACCATTAGTGCTGGTGCGGACTCTGAACCGAACGGCAAATGCTATTAGAGATGAACTATTTCTCCCATCTAATCAAAAAAATAGAATAACTTTGAAAAAGCAATCGCGTTGTCTAGCTTTTGCGCTGAGGCACTCGATGCTTTAAATGCGGTGAAGGTGACTTGTCCGCGGAGTGTCCAATACACGAAACTCTTCTGCTAGATTTGCGAATTGTGGCGAGGTACTTATCGCCAACTACCGGGCTGCCAATGTTACCCATGGAGACCTTTCGCAACCGAACACTCTGTGCGACAGAGACTTCCATTTACCTCCGGATGCTACCTTTGCCCCATCTATATCCTATGCTTCCCGCCTGAGAGCGAGTTCTTACCAAGCGCCCCCTGCGAACAATTTACTAACATTGATAACACTGACACAGTTATCCAACAACAACAAGAACAGCGATTGCAAACCGACTCCAAGACAGCTCTTAGCTATTTTGACGACGAATCTCTCGAGCATGCTGGAGACCGTAGAAAGCTTAGAATTTGTTTGCAATGGCTTTTAAAATTCAAACGCTTAATCACCCAATTACTGTTTTGGACCGTGGAGGGCATCCAAAAGAAAAAACACGAGTGGCAGGAGTTAATGCAACGTGAAAGAATAGATATCTGTGCTGTCAACGAAACACAGCCCTCCCCTAGTGCACCATTTACCAACTGCAACTTTGCGACGTATCGCTAGGATCATTTGTACACCAGTGGTGAAGGGGTGGCTGTTCTTATCAAGCGAGACCTCCTACACCATTTAATGGCATCCTCGAGGGACCGAGGCAGTTGGTAATACCTTAACCTGGCTAGACAGGGGCCCGTTGCTGTCTATAAACCGCCCAATCAGCCGCTCAAATTCAATCTTGACGTTCTTCTAGTGCAGGACTTTCCTGCCATTCTATGTGGGGATTTTAACTGTAAACATCCTGTGTGGAACAGCCCGGGTTGCAAATCGGAACGACTACATCTTTGAGACTTACGCTGAGGAACGCGGGTTGAGGAAACCACATTGCCAACGCACATGGCGAGGAAGACAGGCACAAGGACGTGTTGGATATCACCGTTTTAACAATATATGCCTTCCAACGGCTATTGTGGCGCTGAATGAAAAATTGTCGTCAGGTCATCTGCCTGTCCCGCTCGAATTGGGCGATGATGGGAAGCAATAAGAACATTCTTCCGATCTAACACGAACTGGAACAAATTCATCGAATCACTTGAGAAGGCGCTCCCAACGTTTACGACACCACCCGAAAGTCCCGCTGGACTAAAAACAATGCTGTTGTTAATTTTGAACGCTCGGTGACAGAAGCCCACAGCAAAGTAACGACTACAAGTAAGGTTGTGTAACCGCCTTAAACGCCTTCCTGAGGTACTAAAGGCATTATTATGCGATTGTCGGCGACTATTCCGAGTAGTCAAGGTCTTCCAACGCAGAAGACAAACTAATGCTAAACCACTTTCACTGGGACATCAGGAAAAAGCTAGTGGCGCATATAAAATGCCGGTGGGATAACGAATTAAACGAAGTATCGTAAGCTGATGATATCGGTCGCGCCTCTTTTTGAAAATTTGTTAAGCGAGTTAGAAATCGCGGGCATTTGACTCAATTACCACTTCACAACGGCGATATTGTAGCCTAAAGCGATGAAGACAAAGCAAAACTTGTTGCGGATCACCTAGCTGACTAGTGTTCGCCTTCTACCCCTTTAAACTTAATTTAACAAAAGGTTACTAATATCGCGGGTAAATACCGCCCTGTGAGCAACAGATATTTGATAACAATCTTTCCTAGTGCTACCAGGCTAAACACTTAAAGTAAAGTAGTTATGACCACAAGTACAAGTGGGACGCTCCCCTTGGACTACTTAACTAACAAGCTAGAAGCACTAGCAATGTTTTAAACCTTTTTTATTCAAAAATAGCTAGTTAAGTATTAGTAATAAGCTGCTTCTATATAAGATACTCCATATGCTACTCCGCATAAATCTACTCTACTATGAGACAAATAAGCAACAAATTTATAAAATCATTTTCTTCGACTGAGTACCAAAGCTCCGTGGTTTTTAAAAAACTAGGATCGACTGTAAGATTGAAACAGGGATGCTATTAAAATAACGTAGTAAAATGCTTTCAGCAGGCCAATGCTAACAAATTTCTATCCACAATAACATGCGACTGTGGTTACCAAATAGGGAGGCCATTGCGCCTTTGGCCCAATCAGCTGGTAAACTGAATAATTATTAAGAATTCTTCCCCCTACTACTGCCAATAATAATAATGTTAATAATAACAGTAAAAATATTAATATATGATAACTTAATAAGTACTAAATAAAAAAAATGGAATTAATTTGTGTTTGTGCTCTACTTCTTACTTCTGGAGTTTACTCTTCACCCCTTTACTAGAAGTAAAAAGGGCCTATATCCTTGACTATAGCGCGCCAACTACATAATTGATAAAAATTGAGGAAAGTCTAGATTTCTATTTTTATTTTTCTTTACATATACAATTTTGTATTTTTATTATTTACTTTGTTTTTTGACTATACTTAATACTTTTTATTCATTCTAGATTTGTTCTTCTGTTTTATTTCTGTCTAACTTTAGATCCTGTTACCTTCTACGCGTAGATTTAGATTGCAAACACTCTGCGAGGAGCGGGTTGCAAATAGGAACGGCTACATCCTTGTGGTGAGGATGTCGAACAGCATGGCTCTCGTCTAAAGGATGTATGCCTTACAACGGCTATTGAGTTGCTGGAGGAACTCTTCGTTGGATCATTGCCTACCCTGCTCAATTTGAGGCACGAAAAAAAGTATTAAAATATTTGGATTAATAAATGGGGCCTTATAACCCTTCACTATATGTCATACACTATTAAATGAACATAAAGATTACTGTAAAATCTAAAAATACCTGTGGGCTTAAATAAAAAGTTCTCCTAAGGTTAACCCCCCCCCCCCCCCCCCCCCCGTTGTAAGGCGTGTTCAATTAAAATTTATACACCAAATTACTCTAGAAAGCATTCCTGCCGTTCCCGACACTGCTGAAAACTCCTGCTTTACTGAACATCGACTTTAAACGTGCGGTAACAGAGGCTCATATCACTGCAACGCCTAAGCGTAAAGTTGCTTATGGCCCTATTTGCCTTCCTGAAAAGCTAAAGGCTCTGGTATGCTAGCGGCAGCGCCTCCTATGGGTGGTTAATACAGTTCCGCTTACTTAAATTTATTTACAGCAAAAATGACCCTTCCGTACATGCCAGCTACTAACGCCGTTTTGTCGCAAATTAAAAAAATGATTAATATTCGGTATAGAAACTGAATTAGTAATTTGTGTTGCATTATAGAAGAAAAATATAATTTATCATCTGTATATAACTAATTAAAACTAAAAGTTATCAAAAAAGGCATATTTTATTAATAATTTAAACTGTAAGTGGTTATTTGGACTCGGATGTCAGACTCTTAAAAAAAATTAGTTTCAGAAAGAAATCGAATGCATTGGATTAATAGACTGTGCTCTTTGCGAATATCTTTTTCTAAAAGTTTAGGCAGAAGAGGAGTAGTTGCATTTTTGTTTTTCGTTTCCTTTTTAAACTTTCTTTTTTTTATAAATTTAGTTGAGGTCTACAAATTTTATATAAATAAAAAAACAAAGTAACAAAAGTATTAATAATAAAAATCTTTTAAAAATATCTAAATAAAAAAAAGGAATGTGTTAACTGTTTTATGGGGTTCTGAGGATACTCCAACTTGCTCAGAAATTTTCAAATTCTATAAGGCGAGTAATTATGAAAAAGTTAAACTACAAAAAAGAGGAAACCTTTTTCTCAATGTTTTCTTTAGTGGGATAGTTACGCTTACGCTCGGCAATCCACTTCTCTACATCCTCGGTATCCTCAACCCTTAAATAATTAGTCAATGGGACGAGAAATAACTTTTTTAAAAAAGGAAATGACCTAAATTTTGTAGAGGAAAGGGCTTTACGACGACTGGAATAGGATGTATAATCTTTTCTTATAGAAGTTTTAAAGTTCTTAGAATTATTTGTGTCCACTCTAGACTGAGAAAATTTCTAGTACACAAGTAAATTATTGTATAACAAAAGCCAATAGTTGTAATTATTAGATTATATAGTTCTATATAGTAACATTTCGGGTTTTTTAATAAAAAAGGGCACTAGGAGGTTTGCAGCCGAACAATTACCTTAAAAGATTGGCCGGTTTTCCCCTGACTTCGTTGCGACAAACTATTATCTGGAACAAAATTATGATTAAAATTTAAATTATAGGGTTGCTGAAAATTGCTGTAGTAGTACTGAAAAGATGGTGGGCTATAGTGAAAAGGATAATTGTTATGTGGTGTAAAAAAATTTGGTCTAATAGAAGTAGGCGTGGAGCCAGGTACTTTGTTTATTCCAATGTTTTGATAATATTGAGAGTTGGGAGGACACTGATTCACAGCAGGACGATAAAGTAGTGGGTCATGTATCCTATAAGTTGGCGGATAGCTTGAAAAGCTACTACAAAGATTGTTTCCGAGCCCTGTAAAAGGAGCCGGAGGCACAATGTTACCTTCCTTTGTAACAGAAAAAGTAAACAATCTAAATAAAAATGAGAAAACGTAAGAAACACCTTTGGTAAATTATCATCCCAAATTGGTGGAGGAAGGGCCATGGTAGATCCACGCTGCCTAATATACTAATGAAAATAAAACTAAATATAATATAACGTTTGCTTATTTTTATAGGGGCGAGGGTTTTAGCGTTGCCACCTGAATAAGCTTTTGAAACTAATCTAGCTAATAATAGCGATCGGATGAAGTTTCATGAAAAACATTTTCAGCCTCTTGGCATTTTCACGCATATTTTAATATATTTTTAAATATTTTTTTTAATGAAATTGAAGAATGTCTTATTATTTAAGAATGTATTAACTTTACTTCAATATTAGTTAAAAACTAATTCTACCTCAACTGTCTATAGACTTTGGCTATGTATAATTTATTAGGACAGTTGTTTGCACTTACTGAAGTTATATAAAAGTCCAGTTATTAAATAACTCTTGACTTTGCCTCCTTTTTTTGTATTTTAGTAAAATAGATGAAGGTACAACTAAATGTTTACTTATCTGTTGAATTAGTACAATTCTTTTATGCGTTTATTAGAACGTAGCCTTTAATAATTAAAAAAATTAAAATCAGGTGTAGTGGCATAAAAGATGTATAATCCCAATGAGTTATATTAAAATGAATGCTTCTTCTGTGGACATCAATAACAAATTTATACTTTTAATACAAGTCTTTATAAGTATCTACCTGATTTATAATTTATATTTATTATTCGAGTGTATGTTAAAGAAAATTTGTTATAAAAACATGATTTCTTTGAAAAATTCATAAGAACTAATTCATAATGTTTAGTACGCTGCTTATAAATATACATTTTTGTTATAGACGATAAAAACTAAAAAAACTTAATGAAAACTGAAGGCAAAGATACTATGTGGGCAACCTGCAACCTAAATAACTTAGTTTACAAGACTTTGCGATGATATGTGCTTTAAAAAATTATCAAAACACTCAAAAAGGTTGGTAGAGTGTTAAGTTTTAAAAAGAAGGAAAGTAAAGCACGTTACTTTAAAAACAAAACTTGTTATAGTAAATTACTATTATATTAAGTCATAAGTAAATTATATAATGTTTTATTAAATCAATATGAACCAAATTTCTCGAAAGCTAGTAATTCTAAGCTAGCAATAAGTAAGTTGCAGAAGAAAGTCAGGTGTGCTAAAAAGGGTTGAGTAGCAAAGCCTCCTACATTTTCCCCTCATGTTTTTCTTTAGCAGGCTAAGCCGTTTTTATTATTTAAGAGCTGGACAAACTCTGCGTCTATATGGTAATAAACCTGGATTAGAAGATAGAAGGCAAGAATCGGACGTGGCCATATTCTATCTCAAAAATAATGAGTTTTTAATTATAATCTATTAATTTTTTCTTTTGCTAATTACTTTTAACAGTGGATTAAGGGGTGGCTATATTGCTTATCACCCTCGTAAACTGCCGTCTATTGAGGAAGGGGTTTTATGTGGTAAGCAACCTAAACCAAAAGAACCATGGAAGTTGCTTACAGTAGAGGAGAGCACTGTACCATAATTAAATCTTTGTTTTTAAAATGGTGTTTTAGTCTTTATTATTTGTACAGAAAATTTCTCAACTGCGTTTATCCAACCCTTCATTTTACTCAATTTCGGTTCTCTCAAAATTGTTTAAGATTCCTAAAGCACAAGTTGCCCGAATTCAACCTATCGGTTTTTTTAAATTTACTAAAGTAAACTTTTACGTTGACTTCATAAATTAAGGTGGGAAGACCATTTCTGAGGAAGATGAGCGTAAAGTACTTAAAAATGCCACTCGAAAAGAAAAAAGGCAGCTTTATTTAAAAAAATTTAATAGCGTGCAAAGGCGTGTAGAGAGGGCTAAACCACTTTTAGGTGATTGCAGAAGAGATCAAATTTTAATTTCTTGTTATTATTAATATACCCAATTTACCAGACAATACTCGTGAATCTCAGAATTAAGATTCTTCAGCAAAATTAAAGCAGCTTTTATTATTCAATAGCGTTTGTATTTATTATTGCAACTTATCTGTTTCGTGAATAAATTTAAAGTATTCTTCCTCATTCATGTGACCTTTTAGCTCTTCTTCATTATTCAAGTTAACTTTTAAGAGCCACTCTATAAATTAAATGGCGTAATATTATTTTTGGTAATCTATTTTTTTTTTATCCACCTTTCGAGCCATACGCCAGGCCCGCTGGATTTTGAAGCACTTTTTCGTTTACTTCTGTAATTTCGCCTGTTACAGGAGAAATTATGTCAGTTGCAGCCTTTGAACTTTCGACAAAGCCCAAGCATTCTGTTAAAAAAGTATTAGTAATAGAAATTTCCCACAAGCGGTTTTTTATAAGAGTTACCTCCTTTTTTAATATGTTTGCCAACACCGCCCAGTTCGATGTAAGATAACTCACCTATAAATTGCTTAAAAATAGTATTAAAAAGCTCGTCCTAATTTAAATTTGCAATTTAATTATATATCACAACAAACCTGAGCGTGCTCAGTTAGTCCAATAAAGCCGGTGTTATTTTTTACTTTTATCCACTGATGATTATCGGTATACCAGGTATTGTATAACCGGCCCCAAATCGAAAAAAATTTGACTTAAATTTATGTAAGAAAATAGTAATTATGCACTTTATTATAGTAAGTATTAAAATATACCGTACCGCTTTTATAGAAAAGTAACTTATTTAAAACAATGCCACGCGAAAGATTTTGAGCAGGCAGAAGATTCATTAGGTTTCTGTACCAAGTTTTTATTTTTGGTAGACAAAGGTGTTGCAAATATAAAGTTCATACCCCAAACTCAAACAACTTTAATATTTTGCTAACCCCTGAATTTGAAAAAGACACTAAAAGGCGAGTTCAGCTTCGTCACTTAACTCTAACAAATTACTTATTACCCCCGCATCTCGACTTTTTTGTTCTAAACACTTAAGTTACAGTCCTGCACTTCCTAAACTCAGGATTGGCAAGTTTTCTTTTAGTATGCGAGAAAAGATTGCATGCGCATTACTAATAACTTTTTAATTGATAAGCAGGAATTAAAACCAATTACTCCTTTCGAATTCAAAATTTATTCAATTAATAGCTGGATCATAGTAAGAAGTTATTCGATGTATAGCCGAGAAACATTTAAATATACAATTTTTTTCGCTACTTTTTTCTGGTATATACACTTTTTAATCGAACCTATTAAGTACTTATGCTATGACTTATAACTACCTAAGAACAGATTTCACTTTAGGTGTGCTTATTTAACTAAACCTTTGCTTAACTGTAAAAGCTCCCCTCTTTCTGGTTTTTTTAAAATAATGTGAGCCGAAAAGTAATATAAACAGTGATGCTAATTATTTAAGAATTTAGCGTTATTACTTCTCTGGTCAATTATTTTTTTAAAACGAAGTACAAATATCGTCTATGAGGTAAACCGGAAAAGTAATACTTTTCTTAAGGCTGACTTTACATATCAGTAGATCATTTAGTTAAAGTGTTATCAAATACTTTTGCTAAACCACCTAGAGATTTTTTAATTCTTTTGGTAAATTTACACTACTGTTTAAACCTTTTTGAAGTTTGAATCTTATGCGTTTGTACAATGTATTTTATAATATTATATCATATTCACCTCTTTATTTTAGTGATTAATTAAGGTATTTACAACCTACTGTATTTTTAAAAATCGAATATCTTCAAATTTTTACGTTGGTAGACCTAATCAGAACTGAATGCAAACTTGGTTTCAGGTTAAGGATTCAGAATAAGGGTCAGTATCAAAGGTTTTTAAGCACGTTAATTGAGTAATTCGTGTTTCTTCATCACCATTTGGTTTGTATCAAAATAAAAGAGGCATTCATTTCGGGCGTTACTTCATCTTAAAGTCGTTTGTAGTCGTAGTTTTTGTTATTATGTTGACTCCGTGATCTTTTTTTTAAACGCGTTGTATATTAGAAACCCAACTAAACTTGCACCTTTTTTCGTATATTAATTTTTTCTAAAAGGTGTTAAGTAAAAAATTAATTTTAAATAATAAATTTCATAACTTTACTTTAACTAAAGGTGGGAATCCTATCAACTGTTTTGATAAAACAATATTATTTCTGGTTATAAACAATCTATTTATATATATTGCGTAAAAAGTTCGGGTTTAAGCAGCTAGATTTGTTGGTTCTAAAAGTTTTTTACACGTAATACGTTTTTAAACTTAAAGATGTAAAGCTTATTTCGGCAACTATGCAGCGCCGTTTATAGCCAAGAAATAATTTGAAAAGCGTGCTTGTAGGCAGTCAAGGTTAACTCCTAACTGACCTATAATTTGTATATTTAAAGTTTTTGTAAAAACCTTTAAACTTGTAAGTTTAGATGAAACTAGCTGATATATGCGCCTGCTCTGGTGTGCGCTGCTGTGCTATCTGTCGACCTCATTTATTTAAAAAGGTCCTCTTATACTAGCATTTAGAGAATAAATTCATATTTATAAATAAGAAATGTAGGAAACACCCGCTAATTCTATAACAACAAGCGTTTATTATTTCTGCAACATATGCAAAGCGGCAAATATTAAAAAACATTGTCTTCATGGACTTAATAACTCTAATATAGTAAACCTTCTGTTTTTTTTTTAAGGGTTTAAAATTTAAAAACATTTAGTAGCTCAAGTCTTTTCCCGTTCCTTGTATTAATGTGTTTCCTGATTTTGTAAGCACGGAAGAGGAAAAGAATTTAATAGAACAACTTCATTGCCAGGAGTGGACTTTATCACAGTCAGGTCTCTTTCATTTAAAAAATATAGAAGTCTATTTTCATTATTCTTATAAAATGAAGGCCGGTTGAAGCAGGACTTTTCTCCTCAAGTAAATTATAAGCGTAGAAAGGTTTTTCTTCCTAATAGCAGCAGTGTTATTCCATCTAATTCAAAGCAATAGATCAAGTTTGATAACTACAAGGGCTTACCGGCATACTCAAAAGCTCTTATTAAGCGTATGAGAGAGCTAGAAATTTTAAAAGATTTTATACCAGTGGCACAAACTAACTTAGAATACGACCCTTTAAGAGGCGCTGGTTCGCTTTTTTTACTTGAGAAGCATTAAATTTAAAATATCCATCCAGGCATCGACCGTCATAAAGACGATGATTGGATTTGGGGGGATAGAATTTCTGTGTTAAGTTTGCGTTCGGACACTGTTATTCGATTTTATAATAGCGAAAGATCGATTCACGATTCTTTTGTTCTCCTTGTTCCTTTGCCCTCGCGGTCACTGCTAGTCTTTAGCGGCTTAGCTCGTTATGATTGGGAGCACGCAATCTTCTACTCCGACATAATCCAAAAACGGATCTCCATCACTTGGTTTATATACGCCAAATATTCGTGTAGTTTTAACGATCTCATTTATTATTTGTGTACAATTCAGGAGAGAACTGGGACCTCTGTTTAAAAATGGGGGCCCCGAAGAACACATCGGTTCTATTCTAAAACATAAAGTATTACCTACTTTGGACCTAAGCTAGAAATGAATATAATAATTTAGCTAAATGTAAAAATAAATAAATATACTTATATGTGAAGTATTGTATTATATTTAATTTAAATGAAAGACTGACAAATTTATGTTTTGGAATTAGCAATTATTTTCTGAAATTTTATTTAAAAAAAGTCTTCTCTTCTCAAGTAATTTAAAACTACAGCGCCTTAGAAAGGTTGCGAAGGTTGACCGTAGTTGCGCCGCTCGCCAGATATCTATAGAGATATATAATAACTAAAAACTCCACCTTTCCATCACGCAAGCCCAAGCACACATCAAACTCCCTTGTAGGGCCTCAGCAGAAAGTTATTTATACTTATTTACAAAGCATCTTAAACATTCGGGAATCTTCCGTGAACGTACAGTTTTGATAATCCTACCATTAAAATTTTTGTCTATTATCTATAATTTTAACGACTAAAGGAAACACAATCAGGCGGCCAGACTCTAAAGATTTGGATGTAAGCAGAGTTTTCGTATTAACGATTTAATGTCAATTAGTTTTTTTTTAAAAAAATATTTACTGGTTAATTCTTACCGTGGGTGAAAGTCTAAGTCCTCTCACTTTGTGTAGAGTTCAATATTTAAACTAACAAGTAACAATAAAATAGGCAGAAAAACTAAATAATATAATTATTTGCATGTAAACCAAAGTGTAATAGAACAAGTAATTTATACACATAAAAAAAGTATTTCAGGACACCAACAACGCTAATTAATAAAAAATTTAACTATGAAAAACGCTTACGAAACGTTAAAAATTAAAGTTAAATAGCTATAAAAGGACATGATTAATTAGTCAACTTTTTGTCGTCAAAGTTTTACAATAATCACTCAAACGAACTTAATTGAGGCCAAAATAGTATTTTGGTAGTGTAGAACGTATTTTACATAATCAATTCTCTCCATTCTTTAAGCTGTTTTGCTTAAATAAGTAATAATGAAATGGTGTAAATCATCCTATTTTTTTTTAGTTCTGCAAAAAGCCTTTCTTTCGAATACTGTGGTTTTTCAAGCACTTTATAAACAAACATTGATAACAAGTCAAAAGATCATCCTCATACACCGCAAAAAAAAATTTATGCTTTCAGCTATTTTAGTTTGAAAGTTCAGTTTTTATCTAATTTCTCTTAAGGAAGAAAGCTTTTATTCGCCCACAGCTGAAAACTATTAAATTCCATTAACGGGAGATCAAAATTTTTAATATACCGAAATGATTATTAGCTAACGGTGTTTTTTTCCTCTAAGATTAAATAAACACGCTGAAAATTTTATAAAAGTATTTGCTTAGTCACAATATTTAAAATTTGCTGGAAACCTCGAACATACTGTAATAGTGTGATCCACCAAATATAAAAAAAAGGAAATTTACGTTACGGCTATAATAAAAATCCACCTTTAATTTCTTTTTTAACTAATTTCAATAGTAAAAAACAACCTTGATGATATCTAATACTGTCTTGTAAAAAGTGTAAAGATTCAGATAGCTGGAAAACTTTTTTTTCAATGTTTATACTAATCGCTGACCATCGGGATTAAATAAGGCGGGCGAGGCTTGATAAGAAGTGTTAGAGGATCTCTATCAGAGCATTTTTAAAAATACAATACTATAGCAGCGATTTCACGAGTTGCCATACTTCTACAACTAGTCCTTACTAGACTGAAAAAGTGGGCATATACTGTACATGTATGTAATAGTTTACAAAATTACAAAATTATAGCTAACCAAAAAATATAAGAATAGGAGGATTTTATAAATATGCAAATAAAAATTTTACAACACTCAATGACTCACCCAGTGGTCATTATGCGGACTAACTTTTTGATTTAATAAATATTTTTATACAAAAAGCTCTAAGTTATGTTACCTTGTCACTACCATAAAATATAACCCACATGTTATTATGAAACACCAAAGTTTGCTTGATAAATTCAGTAGAAAATAGTGCGATCGTTTTATATTTTTAAAATATACATCATCTTAAAAGCAAAATTTTAAATTGGACAATTAAAAAATTAGAAATTAATTCATTTAACAAAATTAAAATATTTAAAACTTTATAATAGTCTACAGTAATATTTTATTAATTATGGGGGTTCTTTAAACACTATTAATTTTAGTAAATGTATATGTATCTTTTTATGGTAGACAAGTTATTCCATACAATCTAATAGTACAGAACCAAGATGTGAAAAGGCTACTGTTTATTGGTTATCTCTTAATGCTTTTATAGATGACTAGGCTTGCTTTCTTCTTCTCATTACTGCAACATCTAAATTAGTAAAAGTTAAATCGTTACTCAATATCACGTAAACTAAAAAAAATGAGTAGAAAGTTCTTTCACCCTTTTAGTAGTAAATATGAAAACAACAAGTCAATGACAAGTATTATTGACCTTCATGATAGTTCAGAATTAGAAAATGAAAAAGACTATGAGGAAAAGAAGATGAGCAACGGAAATAACAATTCAGGTTAATGTATTTAGTGGTGGCTGATAATAGTTTTTATAATAATTTAAGTCTTGTCTTTTTGAATGGATTATAATAGATATCACAATTTCTATTAATGGTTATGAAAAAACTTTTGAAGCTTACAAAATTTTATTTTTATTAATTGAAGCACTTTTCACGTATGGGATGCCAGCACACCTTCTAAAACAATATCTTAAAAGCATTAGTGATGTACTTGGTTAACATTAAGTTTATAATAAGTTCAAGTTATTTGGTTAGTTATATCTACATTAAGGTGTTCAAGAAGCCAAACTTATAATTTATCCTAACGGATTCTGGATAAGGTTTGAATATGGTGGCTATCCTAATAGTGATTTCGTTTGTATCCAGAAAAGCGGTAATATGGAGAAACTATCAAGGGTGATGACCTTAGGCAAGAAAAAATTAATACATACTGTTATAAGAAGAAAATTGATAAAACCTCCTTTCTTAATTTATTTCTACATGTATAGTAAAAAATGTTATCAAGCAACATGAAAATAAAAGTTATGAAAACATATATACTAAAATTCAGAATATATACCAAAAAGAGGACTATTATCCTTGGTATTACGTTGAAAAAAGAACTTAAATTTTTAGTAACCCTTTTAATATACAGGTACTATCAGGTTATTGCTAGTGTTATACTCAACGCGGGGTTCACCGGATTTTTTAATAAGGGAAATACGAATGCTATTTTGATAGCTATGGCAATAGGCCTTGCTGTAGGTAAACACAGTGCAGTAAAGTGTATTGAAAGAAAATAAGTACTTAAAGAAATTTTACAATGTTTACATATATTAGGTCTTTTACAACTTATAAACTTTAGAGAAGATACTTATCAAATACTTTGGTCAAACTTCTCCGTCTTATTAATTACTTTCTTTATTGGTTGGTTTGTAGGGTATACCTTTCTTAAATAATTATGTTATTTAACTAAGATTCTTATTTTTTTGCCATAAGCATTTTTATGATTTATGGCATGATTGATAGCAACTGTGCCACTGCTGCATCTTTCGGCTCTGCTTCCAATTGTAAAAAGTTAAATTTTTAAAATTAAAAGCACTTTAAAAACAACGAGCAGACTTTCCCGGTACCATGCTAGTGTTTTCAGTTATGGAAATGTTTGATGGATTATTAATTGTGGGTATATAACAGTTGTTATCTTGTAAATTTTTTTTTCGTTGTGTTCATATAAATATTTAACTCGTCATTAATCGTTTACTCGCTTAAAGGGGCTGTTCGATATGTTTATGCTATATTTATCGGGAGCGTTATTGCAATCGGTTTGACGACAGGTAACACACATCGCAATGCAAATAGCTCCTCTACATACTTTTAGGGTTTAGGTCGGAACTCATGGTTTTATCTGGCCCCTGAAAAATTCAAACTGCTAGAAAACGTTACTGGCCCTTGCGAGTCGATTAAAGGACTCCATCCGGACTTAACGGCTTTTATTTTTTACTTAGTAACGTATTTGGGTATGTAGCAAAACTACAACTATGAGAGGTTACGGCTAATAATTATTCTTTATATATATATAAAAGGTTCCTTAATAGCCTTTCAAATACCCATACGTTTGGCCCTCCCTTTCTTTATGTGCCAGTTTCTAGCATTCTTAGTACAATACAACTTAAGTGCTAAAACAAATATAGGATCGTCGTTAAGCGCTTTCCTTACGGTTACACATTGCTATTATATTTAACAATAACAGCCACAATTATTCAAAATCAATGCTTCAAAATGTAGACTTTTGCAATTTGTTTTTTATCAACACTCGTTTCACATCCAAAAGTCAAAAAACTTTTTCATCACATGACGCCTTTAGTTGGTATTATCCCTTCAATATCTTTACTGGTGCCTGGTTCGGCTGTGGTTAGACAAGAATTAGGAAGAGTTTCAGGAATCAATAATTTAACAACGGAGTCCTCTACATACACCGTGATTTCCCTTTCAATAGCGATCGCCTTATTCATAGGTTAAATTTTGTCCATTATCATGCTTAAAGGCATAATTAATTTCCTCCCTCCCCCATTACATAAAGGAAACGTTGTCCCAAAAATAATATTCCCCTTCTTGCGAGACGTTTTTTATATCCCAAGCTACGAAGGCCCTGTAAACTTGGTAACAGGTAGAATCTTAGTAATAAAAAATTAAAATTTTTTTTAAAAAAAATTGGTAAGAGGGCGACTTAGCCGATTTCTTGGCAAGCAACAAAGTAAGAGACCTCCTACCACCAAGTGGCCTTTTTTTAAAAGACAATAACTTAAGTCTCATTCTACTTTTTTACTTTATCAGGATGTTCAGAATGCGTAGTAATCACCATAAAAAAAGGTAAACACTTGCTAAGCCTGAATTGGAGTGGAAAACCTGATCCGTACGTAAAAATTAAACATGAAGGGAAAACCGTAGCGAGAACAAGTACACTAATTGAGACGATGGTAGCTTCAATGACTCTTACAAATTTCATAATCAAACGATTTAAACTATCGCAGAACCCATTTTGGGATCAACTCTTTGTGATCCCCATGCACAACAGTGACTCTATTATGAATATTCTCGTTCGGAATTTTAAAAAAGAGGCTGTGCACAAACATCTGGGTAACAATTTAAATTTTTTTAATCTAAATTTACATAATAAGTTTATTTTTCTTTTACACAAGGTTCTATTAAACTCAAATTTGTGACTGTTAAAAAATCTAGTTCCACAGGGAAAAAATCAGGAAGACACTTGTATGTTGGCGAACAGCTCATAGCATCTTACAGCGATCTAAAAGATGATGCACCTGACAAAGACACGAGCGTCTGCTTCGACGGCTGGCTAGATTTAGACGAGGGGACGGGTAAACTTTGCCCGTACACCATAAAAATCGCAACGCAAAGTTTTTTGTTGATATTAAACGCACGGCCTGCACTATAAAAAAAATTTAAAAATTCAAGATGACTTAACAGCATAGCTTAAAGGGTTCTTAGGGCGTAAAAGATTTAAATTTTTAATTATACAATATAATTTTTTTTTTTAGCCCGAACTCAAATATAATTAATAACATTAATAAATCTCTAAACAAAATCTACTAAGCAATACTTAATCAACGTAATGAGCCTCGCAAGTAAAACTTTAAAACTAATTAAATCTCTAATTGTTAACTATAGGAAAAATCCTTGTCAGCGTGATATGGAAAAAAATCAGCGAGCCGGAAAGGTCGGAGACTGAAATGGCAACGGGTCACATAAAGCGCAAAGGCAGTACAAAGGAAAACAATCCAAATGCAAAATACAGCAGAAAATCAATTTCATATATAAATAATATAAGAATGTAAGAAAAAATGAAATTCAAAATAAATTTAAAAATAAAAATAAAATGTTTCTAATTTGTATAACATAAATTAAGGTAACATATAATTATAATTAAAATTTCTATCTAAGAATACAATTAAAAAAATTATCTGTAAAAATGATTAATTCCAATTAATAACTTGATTACAATTAGAAAATTTTTAATTTATTATCGTAATTAAAAAATTTCTAGTTGATAAATTTAAAATAAATTTAATTAATTTTCTATTCATCCGAAAACAAACGGCAGAGGGAGGCCCTATACGAGGGCAAGCGCTGCGCCTGAGCAAGATCTGGTTATAATGCAAAAGCTTCAAAGCAAATTAATAAAAAAATTAAAAAATGATGGAAACCAAATCGCATATTATCGAATGCGACAAACACGTTGGCTGGAAAATCCCTGAGATCTATTAAATTTTTGATTCTGCCGAATTCAGTGAAGCGCAAGAAAAAGAGAACTAAGCAGAATCCCGCTTACCGTTGGCTAAAATGGCTGAGCATAACTACTTTAGCGTGCATATCTTGTCCAACCTTTACTGCCTCCAAAGTAGTGCTACAGAAAAATTGGAAAAAAAAATTAAAAATAATTCTGAAACAAAATGAAAATGTCAAGTACCTGTGCTTTTTCTCCTTGGCATCTTCCACAAGCCTGATGGTAAGAGGAATTAATATATATAAAAAATTAAGTATGAAAAAAATACTCAGGCAAAAAAGTTGCTTCGTGGATCAAGAGATCAGCATTTTTTCCATTCACAACTAAATTTATATAATTAAAAAAAGGAATAAAAGAGAATAAAAAAAATTAAAAAATTTAAAGGCACCCAAGGAGTGGCAGGGGCGCGTGTCTCCGGAATAAACTATTTTCCATCCGCTTTTGTGCGACACTACACATCCTTTATAGAAAAAAAACTGCAGTAGCAAATGGCTTAAATTAAGATGACGAGTAAAAAAGTTTCATTATGAAAAGTTAAGATAAGCAAAAAAATTATGTTCATTAAAAATTAATTATTTATAAAAAGGTTTTGTACAAGTAAAAATTGAATGTAAAATTGAAAGCAAACACTTACCAGTTGCTTTAGAAGAATGCACAACAGGAACACAAAGAAAATTCAGATGGGGCAAGCCCTTCAAAAAATTAAAAATTCAAAATTACCGAAATGCTCAAAAAATTAATAAAAATTTTAACGAGAGGAGTGAGCTCCACTACTTCGCAAGATTCAAAATTGGGACTAAACACGAAATCAAAATCGTAAAAATGCTTCATCTCGTCTAAATAAACGTGCAGTGCTTTCGGGCCGACCACTTGCACGGCAGGCGAAAGACAACTGCGGCGCGGCCGCATTAAATTTAATTATTGAAAAAATCGTATCGCAGCAACCCGCAATCGGACTGGCTGACGTGAGCCTTTTTTTTTTCGATCAAAATTCTTAACAGACCCAGGTGATGGTCAGCGTGCATGTGCGAAACATAACAACATTGCACAGATCGCAGCATCTGCGGTAGCCTCGCGGAGCCATAGTGGCGTAGCATTTGCCCGTACGAGCCCTCTCCGCAGTCGAGAATCAAAAGATCACCCTGAAATTAAATTATGAATAGCGTTAACAGAGATTGTAGAGCAGAATGGACCATAATTTCAAGCACATAGCAGCTGACATTTCTTAATTTTCCTGGCAAAGAAGAGCCTGTGCCTACGCAAAAGAAAAAGGAAATTAAAAAATAAATTGTTGACTGTGACCAGCAAAAACGATGCTAAGTAAGACCTAATGCTACAGCTACCACAGAATCTTTAGGCGAAGAGTCCATAGACGACACTGAAGAATCAGCTGAAAAATTATTAGTAATTATAAATTAATTCGAATTTTCTTTCGTACTCAAGCCCAGTGCATCACGTGCGGAATCTTTTTCCTTTTGAACATCGACGGGTTTAGGGATGGCGCTTTTTTGAAGGCCTGTGCGATTATTTTAAACATTCAAGCAAAAAAACGGCTCAGTAAGGGCCCTAATGAACCTTTTCGGCGCACAGGAACTAAAGTAAAGGAAAGCAAAGGCTCGCCGATGCAACAATCCCAATTTCCATACTGCAGTAAAAGAAAAATATTAACTATAAAAGATATCAAGAAGAAATAATCGGCGCATTATACAAGTTTCTTTACTGCATCAAGAGAATTTTCAACAGAGACAATCCCGTCTCGTAGGGGAATTTTATACACCTATAACGCCCGACGCATGCATTTTTATTAACAATGAAAAAAAAATAAAAAAAAGAACCAACGCTCTCGTCCAGAACAGAAAGTTTGCACTGAATGCGCAGTAATTTGTTAAAAATAATCCGATCATCACAGAAAGTTTCGTTAATAAATATGTGCTGGCCTCTACCGGGCGTGTCTGTCAGCCGCTGCATGATCTCAACGTAACGGGAGTCTAACTAGCGCAGTTTTACTCGGATGTTGCCAGATTGATTATATATTTATAGCAAAGATACAATAATTCCCCTCGGGCTTAAATGAATAATACACTCAACCGGGCCTCCCGTCTCAAGGCTGCTAAAAATAAAATAAGATAAAAAAACGAGGCGAAAGAGGTGTAAATACCCTTCAAAATAATTTCTATCAACAAACGTGTTTAAATGCAGAAAGTTTTTTTTCTTTACTAACTCCTCGAGATGCGCTTCTATACAATAATATAAACGCTTCGCATACATATATATATAATATTAACAAAAATACTTGTGGGGCAATCAATAACAAGAAAAACGTGGCCTGGATGCCCGGGAGACACGCACTGATCAGGAGTTACGACTATCATAATACAAACTGAGAAAACTTTAAATGAAAAAAAAATAATAATACCAGTGCCATTTGCTAGTGTGATGGAATCACCGTTAGCAAGACGCCCCCTACAAACTGAAAGAATCAAATTTTCATAAAATTCATATAAAAATATATTTTTAAGGTAATAAACCGCCGCGAGGGATAGAGAGTGCATCTGCCTTGCTGTTGTCTAGATTTCCGCGATGGGATTTGGTCTTTACAATGTAGCAGAGCGAAGGAAGCGAGCCGTTAAAAGGGACAACTGTGCTCGGTGAGAAGATCTTAGAAACTCGCTTTTCAAAACTATGACACTGCCTTCGCGCTGCATTGGGTAGCACAGCGGCCTCTTGCAGTGACGATCGAGTTGGGTCAAGGAGATGAGATAAATGCATTCTCCTCTCTTCTAGCGGCGTAGTATATACAATATTTTCATTAAGAGTATTGGAAAGAGGCGCGAGGATAAGAGGGACAACTGTAATGTTTTCATCTTTGTAGAATCCCAATTGCTCATGGGGCGTAACTAAATCGTGAGCGCTGTCTAAAGAAAGTTGTTTAGGAGGCGAGAGTGATTCTCCAAACTCCGTAACATTTAGATGAACGACTTCTCGTTCCATATAGTATCTAGACGAGTAAAACCACCTACTTAAACCGGGTGGGCCAAGTACATCAAAATTTTTTTCTAGTTGATAAAAAACTTTAAGTAATGAAAAATATATATAGAGGAAAAGTTACCAGTGGTAAGCTGTGCGCAAGTCTGGCTAAAAGTTAAAAAAAGGCCTAGTAATAACAAAAATAAAGCCTACCGGCTTGAACATTACTGTCGTACAAGTCAAAAAGGTACCAGGAATTCCCCCCACGGAATCCCAGTTGAGCGAATTAAGAAATATTGCTTTAATATTCATAAATTTTTTCTACTCACGATAATAAAAATGAGAACTACTTGTTAAAGAAAATGAGTTTAATATAAAAAAATAACAGGTAAGAAAAGTAGTACATCACTTTCAGATAAAAATCTTTGCATTCCTTCCCCACAGTTAAATAAATATGAAGCAGAGGTCGAAACCAATACGAAAGAAGGAGTAATTTCGCCTAAAGGTTTATGAAAAACACGTAAAAGCTTAAGTGTTAAAAATTAACCTCCTGTACCCAAAACTTCGATCTTAAAACTATCTATGTTATAGCTAACCATTGTTGCTCTCCATCTGTATAAAAAAAAACCAGAGAGAAAGCGAAAAGTGCTGGCAGAGAAAGTGCCGGCAAACTTAAGCATACGCTAATAACGCTATGGCTCCTACTCTAAGCGGGGGACCCTACATTTGGACTTTTAGTCACGTGAAACAATTGGTTCCCGGAATCGCCTTTAGTTTTGTAGAGGGAATGTTTAGTTATATATACTGAGCACTTTAGTATTAATGTAAATACGTATTTTTATAAGAAAGTCATTAATTTATAATACAATGCGGCATGAGATGTGTTCCGTTGCTACGTATAAAGTGAATATTTCGATAATTTTTATATTTATTGTTCTTAAACCTTAAACAGTTCAATAATTTCATATTTTAGTGGCTATTAAAACTAACTTTATTTCATAAAGTTATTTGAGAAGCTTTATTTAAGTTCTCATCAATAATACTTGTTGTTACGTATAAGAAAGTGATGAGGTTCTTGGCCTTAGCAGTGTAGTCATCAATGTAGATAACGGAGCGCATAGTGTCTATATTTTTGTTATTAAATATGTTTGAGTTGAGTAGAACAGCCTTACTTAAGCTATAAGGTTATCAAACTATTATATTATTAACTACCGGCGCTTAGCCCGGTATTCAAAGCTGTCTGTAGCTCCTTATAATTGCTACCGGCACCACTTTAAAGTAACTCCAGGAAAATTAGTGATAAGTTTGAACCCTTTTTAGCTCCTATTTTGGTTAGAAGTTGACATCCAACAAAAGCGTCAACAATAATATTTTTAATAATTTTTAAATTTATTTAATTTTTGGTTTATTCTATTCTATAGTTTATGACCTTATCTGCTAAGTACCGAGAACGCGAACATATTAGTAAAAAATGTGTCTACACTAAAAGTATTATTTGTTCATAATGATCCTTAATCCTACACTAAAACTAAGCTGGTCTTAACCTTAATATTGCTTTCTCAAATTAAACTTAAACTGCTTAGCCAATTATCCACCCCAAAATGGGGTTTAAGGCTGACCTAGACTCGCAGAAAGAGTTCCGCCTTTCTCCTTAATTGTTTCTAGTCTGACTTCGCGTAGTCTTTAACCTTTAAAGTTAAAACTCTGGAGCTTAAAATGAATTGGTATTTTTCTGCGAAATTACTAAATTGAACCTAGACGACAAGTGGTAAACATAGTAAGCAGTAACTGTAAAGGTTTAAGGTTATATCATAGCGCTTATAGTTAAATGTAAAACCCAAGCTGAAGGATACTCTCTATAGAGTAGTTTCATACCTGCACCTGGAAAGTTAGCCTGGACTGAGAAGCCTTGATTTACCAGAAAACTAGATTTTGACATCACTGCCTTTTTATATGTGTAACCATGTAGACTGAGGCATTTCACTACCTTACTTTAAATAATGGTTACCATTGATTAAAATTTGTAGTATATACTTCAACTTGTCGAACTATAACCATGTTAACAATAATGCTTTTTAATTTTATAGCTCAAACAACCTTATATTGTATAACCCAACTTTAATGCAGTACTGTATTAACCAAACTAAGAAGACTACATAATAATATTTAATAAAAACAAGACTTTATGAGGTAGTTAACTATTAGTAACGCTATAGCTCTTGAGTCACCCTTAAAAAGTAGTAAAGTGGAACTTTAGTGCTGGCCTACTGTTGCTCGCAGTTTCGGCCTTAATAATAGACCCCCAAGGAATCCTCAAAACTTTATACAACTTTAAAACCGACATGAAATATTCTTTTTTAAAGCTCAAAATAACTTTTTACAGTTTTAGTTTGAAAACGTTTTTTTAGGTAGGCCTAAAGGAAAAAGAAACGACGTTGAAATATATTCTGCCTTTTTTTTTTGAAGATACATCAATACCTTACACAAATTCTATTTATTAGAGACGCCGTAAAAAAGGATGCAAGAGGCGCTTGGTGGTATTTTAGAATATAAAAACTGAGCCCACAATTACATCACCCTACCATGCTCCGAACCAGCAAGGAAACAACCCTATTAACAGAAGAAATTGGTTCGGAACATAACAGCGTCGAATTTGAAACTGAAACAAATTATTTAAGGAAGCCTCAGCTTTGTACTGTTATGGCACCCTCTTAAGAGCCATCGAGAAAAATAATCTATAGAATAAGGAAGAAGCGGTTGATAAAACGCGGCAAATCCTAACAACAATCACAAAGTGGACACTACTGAACGATGAAGGAAAACAGAATAAAGGGAAATTTTCTGTTGTTAGAAACAGGTCGAAAATTGGTCTTCAGTACTTGTAAAAAAAAAACTTTGATTTATTAAATAAGGTTTTCACTGGACTACGGATGGAACATTCAAGACTTTGCGTACTCAAAACTTTTAAAGGATCAAAATGAAGTAGAACAACCTTAAATCCTTCTATAGCTGTCGTTAAATTAAAAGTTGCGTTGATAAATGCAGTTAAAAGAGTTTTTATCGAAAACAGGCTTTCGGTTGTGCATTTCGTTTAGTTCCAACTGCATCCGACGCAAAACTATAGAGGATTAAAACTTTATAGAATCCGGTGCAAAATGCTTTTTGCTTTCTCCTACTTCCCGAAGAGAAATGTACAGTTCTCTCTAGAAATCGTTGCTGAACAAAGGGCACCACCTCGTAGAGCACTAGGAAAGGAAGTATGTTGGCCGAGGGACATAGGTACCTTTTACAATCTCTATCTATTAAATCTACCAAAAACCATAATCCTTCACGCCTATTTTATACTGTCATCATCTACCACATATCTATTAATTTCTAAATCAGCAGAAAAGAGAACGGAGTTTATGTTAAATATATATAACCTGCTAATAATGGTGGCGTAATGCGCTTAGAAACCAGAAATTCCTAGTTGCGTACACGTGAGTCTTGCTTAGTAATATAAGGACTCTTTTCGGTCCTTTCGCTAGAATGAAAACCAAGATCATTGGAGATTACCTGCTTTTTGGTCGAAAAATGTAAACAAATTAACGTCCTCTGTTTCCAACGGTTAATAAAGAAGAATACTTAAAGGCTGTTGCACTCAGTTCATTACCTTAAGCGTTGTGTTTTTTTGTTTTAATTAGTAGAATTTTCTGTTTGGTAGTGTTAAATAAGGATCCTAATAAAGAACAAGTTACACAATAGTGTACTTGTAGTATATATCTGTGTTCAATTATTACGTCGCAGGCTGCTCTGTTGCCGCGCTGATATTGTGTAAAATTCTTGAGTCTTGTGATATCATGTCGTGCGCTACATTTTTTTTTCCATCGCGATTCCTTAACGGATCCCATTAACCTAGCTTAATCAGAACCTGTAATCACGAACCATGAATGGCTTTGTAAGCTTTTTAGACTTAATATACTAATAGTCAACAACACTAAGTTATCAGATATTCAATAATTTTTAATTATTATGGTATTTGTACATAACTAAAAAAGTTACAAAAGCTCTAAAACTAGAAATTAAGCACAAATGAAGCAGCGTTGGCATTCCCTTGAAAATGCCCTTAAAGAAAGGTTGCGCAATCCCTTGGTGGCTACCACACGGCGTTTTCTTGGACTTTGTTCTGGGTGTATAACGTTATTAACGTATTCAGTTTGTTCATTAGGGGGAAAAAAAGTCTCTTGCCCCTTTAAATAATTAATGAGACCTGAAAGTGAAAATCCTAAATCTTATAACGATTTAATTTCGTTAGAACCAAACCAAAGCATCTCTTTATTATCTCAAAAAGGCTCCTACCTTACATATGTTTTATTTATAGTCGCCTTAAGGTTTCATTTATTAACATTATAAAAAACGTTCAAATATTATATAAACTCTCACTTTTTCTAAGCAATTATTTTATATTAGAATTATTGTGGGAGTCTTCGAGGATGACCCAGGAAACGCTTGGACCATAACCAATTCCGTTCACAATCTGGTTAAATGTTTGATTTGCCTTTTTTTCATCTCTATTTATTATATTAGACTTTATTGTTTAAAAATTCAATAATTTTTTTAACAGGTGACTTATATTGTCTTTCACTGGATCAAAGGCGTACCCAATGACAATCAGCAGAGTAGTCTGGCGCTACTAACTTTATGGGAGCAACTGGATAACGGAAAGCAAAACACTATAACTAGGAAATTTTACACTCTCGTGCCGATTTTCTTGTAATTTTTTTAATAATCGTTTAAATTTTTTATTATATGAACTATAAAACAATTAAACTTTAAGCCTAATTTAACCTTTAAACCTTACTCAGTCGAATTTTCTATATAATTTATATTGGCTTTAAGTTATATAGCATTTTTATGTAAGCAAAATTTTCACTAAACTATTTATACAACTAATAGAATACTTATAGCTAACCACTACTGCGTTGGAAAACAGTTCTGGTTCAATTTTGCTCAGTTTTGTATTATTTTGGTAGCTAAATTTCCGTTGATGCATAAAAAGAGAATATTTGGGATTGGTAAATATTAAAATGGTATTTTTTTTAATTTTTTTTTTGTAATATAAATACTTTAAAAGAAGAGTTACTAAAAATACATTTAATTTTTTTTTTTTACTTTAAAAAGTTAGGCTTACCAAGGCTTGGTCTTACATAATAGCTCCACCCCTTGCAGCAGCTATTATTCTCATTAAGCTTTTATAAATAATAAAGGCGTAGATTAGTATACTTCACAAACGCTTGGACGGAGATTCGCTTTTACTCTGAGCTTGTGGTTAATCTTTATATTGCTCCGGTTAGGGAAACTATTAAAGAGCAGGGAAAATTAAGGCCTTACAGAAGAAAACGAAGTAATTATTTATGGAGTTGCCGAGGAAAAATTAAAAGTTACCTTTAACCAGCTTTTATTTACACCGCCACCTTTAAAATTTTACCGCCAATTTGAAAATGCAGGAAATTAAATATAAATATTATTGACCTTTTTCAGCAACGTGCGCCTTTCAAAAGGTGATATATAGTAGGCATGCTTATCATACTCCTTTAAGTTAATTATGGATTACACGTAACAGTAAGAAAGATTTTCCTTAATGTGTAAAAGTTAACCCATTGGCAGATTCTTAGCAACAAAGAGCTAATTAAACATTGATAACATTTTTATTTACCAAAAATATATAAAAAAACGTTCAGAAACCCGGGCCGTACTCATCTATTATCGAGTCGATTTGCACTTTCAGAAGTTCAGGAGCTCTGTAAGTCAAGAAAGACTTTGTTGTTATGTCTTTTGCAAAATTCGTAAAAAAATTATTCTACAATATATAAACAATAAAAATGGGAGAGGAGGTGCATTAAAGTTGCCTGTAGACCGTTGCTTTGCATCTATTTAGTTAATTTTAACTCTTATTTTTAAAACTGAATTAAAGTCTATCGCAACAGGTTCGTTGTGTTCGGTCAACGTTATGTTTTCAGTGTTTACATCGGGTATATAATAGGCGTAACTTCCCTTCCATTATGTTGGTAAAGTGCGGTTCTTTGTAATTTTCTAGCCACGAAGAGATCTATAAAGCAATAAGTTATACCTTAAAGCGCTTAAAATCCCTTTAAAGTTAGTCAAAAAATCTTTTATAGAAAAATGTTTGCTAGATGCTTTAGAGAACCTCTCTACGATGGCCAAAAAAAAATTATATGTTTAGCCTATTTTTTTGCATTTTATTAAAATAGAAGTGCTATTCTATATAAAGGAAAGGCTACATAAACAACTTCACAAGCTTTTGTTTTAACAGAAAAGTGCAGCTGCCGACTAGTTTTTTTTAATTCTTTGTAAGTAATTTTACCGCATGCTTTTACCTCCGTTAAAGTCTTAAAATAGTACTTTGGCAAAGACTGAAAACTTTACAAGAGAAACATTACTTTTTCTTAAACTTTAGTTTAATATTACTTACAGCCTCCCAGCAAAGAACTTTTTCACTGCCTGCCGACCCTCAGCTAATCCGAATGTTTTGTAAATTTATTAGTTACACGTAAATATTTGGAGAATTATTTATCAAAACCGAATAATAGTAAACTTAAAGTTAACTGTTAGTATAGAACTTAGAAAACTTATCCTCTTTATATATTTTTTAATTGTAACGTTCGTTCTTTCAATAACAAAGCAAACTAAGTAAAAGAGTCAATTTTAAGAAAACCAGTGGTATGAAGAAAAATATCAGGAAACATATCGTATTTTGAGGAAAAGGAGTTAAATTTATATATATTGAGTTAAATCTAAATAGGATAACTAAAAATTTTTCTTAGAAGGAGAATAAGTCAATTATAAAACAGTCTACACTTTACTTTATTAGGTAATACCTCTCGTCTGTACAATCACTGAAAATTTTGTACGGAAACAAAGAAAAACATCTTAAAAAAACCCTATAAAGTAACAGCATATTCGAATATTGTTTAATAAATAAATGGCTAACTATGCGTACAAAGTAATTGTAGTCTTGCTTGGCTTATTATAAGCAAACTCAAATAAAAAGATGCGGCCAGCTAAGGCCTGTGAAGGAATTGAGGTTGGTGTTTACTTGGATCTTTTCTAAAGAGAGAGCAAATTCTGACTAGCTACCGGTTTGGAGTGTAATAAAAACTATTTATTAACCTATGCAAGTGCCTACATAGATTTAACTAATCTTTAATAAACTTAGTTTGTAATCTGATTTAGGGTAACAACATTGTTTTCTAGTTTAGGGTCGTATTTTGTGCATATTGAACACTTTTAAATTATAGGGGCTCTTTCTAAGTAATATCGTTTCTATCTCCAAGGTGAAAGCAACACATACTTGTAAAGTGTAGAAACCCTACTTCTGAGTTCATCAGGAATGATTTTTTACGATAAAAAAAGGAAAAATCGCACATGCCACTTCTATTAACACCATCAGAACAAATAACCACAAAGCCTTCTTATATCTTTGGAATAGGATAACGTTGGCATTAAAAACCTTTTCAATGAGAAAGAGCAGAAGATAAATGGAATAGGTCTACATATCTTAAATAGCTGGAAATGTTTGATTATACAATTAACAAGAGTATTATCCATCTTGATTTAATAAACTTTAGTTGAATGTTAGGGTATATGTTAATTTTCTATATAGAAGTTAATTTTCACTCTTTAATACATTTAGCTTATCTCACATATTAGTAAGTATTTTTATGTCGAAATTTTTATGTAGCTGGATACGGAGTTTTAACGGAAGACTATCTCTTTATCTTTGGTTAACTCAAGAGTAGCGCCTCAGTCGTTATTGTTTAGAAAATAGATAAGCACTTAATTTAAGGGTCTCGCCAGTTCATCCATATTGTAAACTCTAGAAGTTAAGCCGAAAGGCAAAAAAGTTTAAGTTAAACCAATATTGGAAATTCCCCAATTAAAGAGAGGAATAGCTAGTTATTAAGAATGTACCTACGAAGCCTGCACTGCCATAGCAATAAAAATATAATGGTTATAGAGCTCTGGCTGTTAAAAATAGAATACTTTAATTAACTATAGTTTTTTCTATTGACCAACATGTAAAACTTATTCCTACTTTAGATGAAGGAATCTGTAAGTTAATGATAAGCTGGCTCCCTTCTCCGCTTATAGAAAGAGTTATAGATGGTATCCAAAAAAGGTATGTTCTGGTAGTAAGCATAAATAAGCTTCACCACATTACTTTCTTTATCTCTTCAAATACTTTAATCTTAAATTTGTAAAGGGTAAAGTTTTTAAAAAACTTAAAGTGACAAAGCTGTTCTTTACATGTAAGATATCTATGGCTACGGCAGGATTGTATACTTTAGTTTAATAATTATTCTAGCGAATGTTTTTCTTATATCGACATTTTAAATCAAAAGAAAGCTTCAGAGAAAAAAAACTTGAACTTGTAAAAATGTTTTATGTAGGCTGCCTTCAGTTTTAACTAATCTTTCTCTTTAGTACACGATATTCAACAAGTTTTTAAAAATAAAAATATGAATAAAAAAAAATCACTTGTTTTTGAAGTATCATGGGAAGTAGCTAATAAAAGTTATTTTTTTAACCCATTGTTTGAAAAAAATTATTAAATCATTTATAAAAGTTGGTGGAATTTATACAGTACTTCGTTCAAAAGCGGCTTCTAGCGTAAAGTTTATAGGAGCTGAAAACTACTACTGCCTAGGCATTTGGAATAAAAACTTTGCCTCCCAGGAAGTAGAATTTATAAAACCGGTTGAGCCTGCCATAGAAAAAGGTTTTGACGGCAAAGCGATGTATTATTATAGTAATTCAATCTTTCATAAACTAAGTTCTCGACAAAATGAAACAGCATGGAGCGATATCTGTGTATGGAAACTGGCTAGTGGAGGGTAAAATAAGAAAAAATTTAATTATGAAAGTAATTAAGTTTATATTAAAAAAACAGGAAATCCAAATATCATATTATTTGATTTACTCTCTCAGGAACACAAGCTGAATGAGTGGAAATACGATCTTTATGAGAAAACTCACATAAGTTTACCTTTTAATGTTATTTCCAATATGTTTCGTATATTAAGTATTACAAATTAATATTTATTTCATTAATATTATTTGGAGCTTACAATTTTAGGATTTAGAAGTAAATAACCCAGTTCTCTTCGGATACGTAGTAGCTTGGTTCTTTGAATTGGTAGGCCTTTATTTATGTATTGTACTGAGCGGAATCCTCCCGAAGATTTTATAATATCCCATCTTGCTTATCTTCTAAAAGTTATCTCTATAGCTAGTAAAGGAACTGTCTACTGCTTTTATCGTTGCGCACTTTCACGAATGGCTTACCGGAATAGGATTAATTCTTTTGCGAACAAGGTACCTTAAATGCAGAAGTTTAGTTGATTTATAAAAATAAACATCAGCTAACTAAGAGCGTAAAGACAGATCAATATCGCTACTGTATTTACCACCCACGCAACGGTCTTGGGAAGGCGAATTTGCGCAAAGGGGGGGGATTTTTATAATAATTTAAAATGTATTAACAGTGACAAAGAGTCAGGTACAAAAAAGTAAAAAAGTAAAATACTGTTCATGCTCATAATTAAATCTTAGGAGATTTAAACATATTTCATCTTTTCTGTATTGAACGTGCTGCTGTTCACTCAGCGCATGTTTTTACTACAGTAAGCCACGTTACCGGTATCTTCGTGGTATCTTTAATAAAATATGAGCTAAGAAGTCGTCCAATAGGACTGGAGACTCAATATTTATTAGGGAGAATTCCAGAGGTTATTTTGCCCAATGGTTTGAACTTATCGAAGTTTTGGTTGGTTTCAGTAAATAGTTTCGTATAAAAAAATTAGCAAATTAATAAAATTTGACTATCGTTAAGCGCTTTGCACGAATTTCAAAATCTTCATTCTCAGTACAAGGCCGTGTTAAATAAATTTACACAGGGTCATTTCTACGGGTAACAATTACTAATATTATTCAATTTAAGAAACTCACTGCTTGTGTAAAAGTCACTTGAATTTTGATTTGAATGAAACGCTGTACTTTTTTATAGCCGGGCGGAATGAATACTCCAATAAGGCTTGTTATAGGACATGTGAGTTTTTAAACTAACCATAAAAAATAGGGGGTCGATCTTTATCTTGAAGCGCTTGCACGCTTGAATTACCGACTGAAGAAAGAGGAAAGTGAGAAAACTGTTATAGCCTTTATCATAATGCCAGGTACTTCATTATAACAGCTCTTAAAAATTTAATTCTTTTTCTCATAATGTATAGGAACTACAGAAAACTTCAACGTGGAGGCGCTTCACGGGCAAGCAATTATTAAACAAATCACGTAATTTACTAACCATACTGGTAACAATTCTCAAAGGCAAATAAAAATTGTTATTTACATAATAGAGACACCGTCGCAGAGGTAAAAGAGAGTATTGGGAAGAAAATTTATAATGACGTCTGCTGGTAAAAATCCAGCAATAAAGTATCTCACGGCCATAAACCCAAGTACTTTAGCGGACTTGTGCCCAAAAGCGAAGAGTTGCTTTCCGGCGAAGACATCCGCAGGTTGAAGCAAATGCTATATCGCTCACAGCGCACCAATCTGCCGCCCGTCTGCACCCACAATCTGAGTAATTCAGAAGAGGATAAGATAATCCTGAGCATCCGGGAAAAACAGGTACATCGCGTATCACGTGGTATCGACAAGAGGCCGTCACCCTCGCTACAGCTGTTCAATAACGAGTGCGACAGAGTCAAAGTAGTCTACCATCCGGAGTTTCTGTGCTCTGCGTCCCCGCTGTTACCACTGGAATACGAACACTTTGTTCGGGGCTGCCACTTGGGCGTCTTTCCCTCGTACTATGAGCCGTGGGGGTACACGCCAGGTATACTGAATCCTGACAACCTCAACAGCAGGAAATTTTAAAACAGCGTGACCTTTTTTTTTTAACCCAGCCGAGTGCACAGTGCTCGGAGTCCCTTCAGTTACTTCCAACCTGTCTGGCTTTGGTTGCTTTATTGAGGAAATCGTCAAAAGCAAAAATGTGGATCCAGCAGATTTCGGTATATATATCGTGGACAGAAGATTTAAGGCCCTTGATGAAAGCCTCGAGCAGCTCGTTGGTGCTGCTCTTGTAGTTCATATTCAACTTTTTACTCAAAACTTAGTATTTTTTTAGATTACATGCACCGCTTTACTAAGCTCAATCGAAGAGAAAGAATAAACTTAAGATATAGAAACGAGGTTGAGTCATACAAAATGACAGGTTTTACAAAGATTTACTTCTATTAAATAGAGATTGTCGCAGCTGCTTAGCTGGACAAAACTTTGTAAGTACTATAAAAAGGCACGAGATTTAGCTCTTCGAAGAACATTCAGCGATTACCAACCTGATAAGGAGCAAAAAGAGGACTCAAAAATAACAAATCTCAATGATGCACTGAGCCCGAAACACACACCCTTGTACAACTCAATCGAACGCAGGGCACCGAAAAGTTGTTCGTCTAAAATAAAGGCGGACCATTAAATACTATAACAATGGTCTTAAACAAAATCCTATTTTAAAATTACCTTCAATAAAAAGTAGCTCAAAAGGATTGTGAAATTAAATCCTTAATCTGCCTTCTAGACTCTTCTAAGTTGGCACAATTTTTATTTACAACTTTTTTATCTTAAAAAATTAATTTACAGTAATAAAAACATGAATTTTTACCAACAAAAATAAAGACAGCAACAACTTTAATGTTAATTAGTTACTAATTTTAATATAAATTGTTATAAAAATTTTACAGAGCAACCTAAATTTTTCGGTTCTTTTGGTAATTGAAAGTTAATTTCTTTCAAAGCAAGAGTTTTTGCTTTTTCAAAAGAGCCTATTTAAGTAAAATAAATTACATTCTAATATAAAAAAAAACTTTAAAAAAAAAACCTGAAACACCAATAACAGAAACAACACAATCACACTTGGTAAGTCGATTAAGTAAAGTTAAGGCACTTCTGGTTTCTTTATGAAAATTCCGTGCACATCGAAGTAAGCAGATTTTTGCAGCATTTGAATCTATAAACTTAGCTATGAAGGTTAACTTTTATATGTGTTTATAATAAATAAGATATAAGGCCTAAAAAAATGTATAATGCTCTAATTTTAACCTTGAAGCGACGACCCCAGCTTAACTAACTTTACTTCACCGTGTAAAACCAGAAAAGCTTCTCGCAATACCTTAAGGAATTCCTTAGCGTCACAAGATTCTGCAAATTTCGTACTGGATAACCTTGCCACTAAATATCTATTCTTAAATCGAGGCATATTTATTTTTGAAGCTAAAGCGCATTTAACGGCTGCGTTTTTTCTTCTATGAAGAATATTCGCAAAAAATATAAAGTTAGAGGTGCAAATAGTTTACTGAACGTATAAATAAAAATCTGAAAGAGTTAAAAATGCTAAATGAAATACCGATAGATGCTTGATATGCTGATATCGACGGCATGGTAAAGTTTTAATAAGGTAACGCGGACGGGCCTTAAATTTAATGTTCAAAATAGCCTTCGCCTTATTGGCAATAACGTCCTCGCTTCAAGTGCGACAAAATAAACTGATGCGCCTTTTAACAAATACGCCGTGGTTTGCGCGCAATGATACACTTCACCACGAACTACGGTCGAGCTGCTGACCACACTCTAAAAATGATGCCGTCGCCCTCTACGAACGGATAGCTGGGCGCGCTAACCGCCTACTAGGGGAAGGAACTTCCTTAGGAGTTGGGGAACGGCGCACAATACTGCCGTCCCCTCGACACACTCTTAGCAGGACAAATGCAAGCTAAGTTTGGTGGTCTAAAATGAATTTGAAGGACACATGTTAAGATAATATTTTTACTTGCGCTCGTGGGTAACTAAAAACCTCTTTGAGTGCTCGTGTATTCGAAGTTGTTAACTCGACCAAGCACCAGGAAACGCCATTAATAAATAAATAAATATAGGGAGGCATGGACTCCAGTTTTTCGCCATCGCAGCGAAAGTCAAGTCCGGTATGTCCACGCTACCTCTTGGGATAGTCATGACATTCCTTTAATATAAGTAGCATTAAATAACACTTGAGGTGCTTATGCTCCAACTAAACAGTCTGTATAAATTCCTCGAAAACTGAAAAAGACAGTTGCGTTGGTAGAATTCGGACCCACGGCGACGCTTCATCCCGGGGGTTTGTCTTTAAGCCGTTTAAAAAAATTCACTGGTGCGGCTCTCATTACGATTTTTTAAAGGATTTATTTTTTAATCTGTTGGTCGGCGCTTGTAGAAACCGAGAAGAGCATCTGTAAGAGTCAATAAATAAAATTAGCAATTTTTTCCCTTCTCTCGACCGTTTCCTAAGTTATAGGTTTTGTATGCCTAACTAGTTGGATAAAAATGTATACATAACAGTTATTTGAGAACAGCTCTATGATAATTTTTATTTAAATATATTTTAGTGACTAAGAAATCTTTCGTATGGGTATACTAGTTTACCAAGTCGTCTATTATTGATCAAAGATAGCTTGCATACTGAGAGCAGATTTAAGCCATATATTTAATAAAAATTGTCTTTTTTGTTTTTTTCTTCTCTTTGTTATTACAAGCATAAATTATCATAAGCTCATTCTTAGTTTTCAAAGTCGCGAGACAGTGTTTATTCGATTCAAGTAACTGTAAGTAACTACGAGCAACAACTTATCCTTACATAACGTTATTAATTTTGTAAGGTTCTAAAAATACTTTAAAGGATTCTTCCTATTTTTGCTATAATTACTGGGTAGAGGGAGGAAGAGATGGAATAAAAAAAAATTAAATAAAATTACTGTATATCATCAAAAATTTTATGTTGTTTAAATAATGGTACAAGGGGGAAGATAATGATCTTTTTTTTCCAGTTTAATTATAAAGTTGAATGATTTGGTCGTAATTATATAAAAAGTTATCTCTAATACTATTAATATAACTATTACTATTATATGTATTATTATACTTACTAGAGGTGACCATTTTCATATCTAGAATTTGTAAGGTAGAGTAAGTAATAGCGTTTGTAGAGCCCAGAATAGTCTTTAGTCCTTGGGAATTTTTTAAAATTATTTTTTCTTTTCAGGAAATTAACTTTCGATTTTAATATCTCTAACTCCTTTTTAAAGCGGCGTCCGTTGTTCTGAAGTAGCAGAAGAAATAACCATAACCACCTTAGAAATAATATAGGGAATAGAGAGGTTTATGTAAAAAAGATATATATATATTTTTATATTCCTCAGTAAATTAAGTAAATTAACAAACAAAATAAATTAGTAAAAGTGATATAAGTACTGATAGTAAATTGTTCAAAACAAGAAAAAAATTAAACAAGAAATATATTTATGCCAAGTCCTTTTTATATAACCTTTCCTTCTCCTTTGAAAAAAAAAATTGTGGGTTTCCAATAAGCTAGTTACAATTATTTATTTATAACTCGTTTATCTCATATAACTTAAACTGCTTATTCTAAATTTCCTCGCTGATTCTGGAGAAGGTTGAGCCCCTTGATTCCCTCAATATAGTTTTGTTATATAAAGCTTACACTGTAGATATATACACTAAGGTTATAATTAATTAGGTTTTTATGATTATCTTTTCCTTGTAAGACCTTGAGTTAAATACTCCGGCCTCCATCATCAATCTCTTTTTCTTTTTTTCTCATGGATTATCAATGTGAAGTATCTATATGAACTGATTTAACTAGGTTTAACAAACCACCAATATTAATGATTATTTTAACATATATATGCTGGTATTGCATTAACTATTAATCAGTAATAAATTCTAAAATAATAAAACCTGTTAACCAGTAACCATGGAGGTTTATTGAGCTTAGTTAAACTACCTACTGCATTGGTAAACTCCGAGAAAAAGGGCCCAATGAACTCTTATATGGGGCGGTTCAACTTAGAGGTCTTAAAGATAATAATCATAAAAATCCAATTAATCTTAATTCTTGTATAGCTTTATAGTGTAAGGTTCTTATAGTAAAAGGACATGATTTTAGAAATTGTACTTTATTGTCTGATAGCCTGTTTTCATTGGTTTATTTTACCTTGAACTGTAATTAGTATATAATGGTCCCTGAACAGATAAACTGTTAAACTGTTATTCATGAGCATAGATAACTCAGTCTCAGAATTATTACAAAACCTTTAAAAACAAAAATTTTATTATTAAGTAAATTTGATAGCACAAGGATTCCACTTAATTAAAAGCCTTTTTGGGTATAATACCATATATCCATCCTATACTTAATCATATACATATAAATTAAACTGAATACATATTTTAATTTAAAAGTTTGTAATTCTTTATTTATTTCTCGTGAGAACTAAATTTATGTAGAGTAGCCTAACAATTACCGAATATGAAAGAAATTTGAGAAAATTACCTTACGCATACGTAGTTTTATTAACTAATTATCCTACTGTTTTTGGTTTCCCGTTTCTTTGTTAAATGAGCTGCTTAAATTTCTAATTTACTTTAAAAAATAATTTTTTTGGAATTTTAAAGCAAAAATTTGGGTTAAGGACTTTTGCATGTGTTATATACTTAGTTCCATCACACTCATGACTTTTTTGAACTGCTGATCTCGTAAATTTGATAACTTTATGTTGAATTTAGCCTCTATTACTGTGACCTCACTGCTTAGTCCACTCTTTAATTATATATATTTGTTAATAAAATAACGTTAATTATAAGGTCAATGCTCCTTTAAATTTTATCAACTACTTAAATGTATTTTATGATTTATCAAGATAGAGCACCATCTAAATTTGCAGTGCAATGCTCTTCTACAATAAAAAGTAAGTTATGAACCATGTAGTTCTATGCATTCACATGTGTATCTTATTTACAAAATAAGTGTTTGTTTAACATTAAAAAAAAAGTAAATTTTATAGGAATGATTCACCTATACCTGACCATACTGAAGTTAAAAGGTTAATAAATGTGCTGGTAAACCCTCTTCAAACAAAATGACACAAGTCAAAGGTTAGGAAGGAAAATAATAATACATATATGACAAGGTTGATTAAAATTATGCGCAAGGGCTACGCCCCTATCAGCCTGGTTGCTATATAGCAATTTTGGCATAAGTAATGAATTATTCCACCCTTTGTTTTACACCCAACTTCCATAACTTATCAAAACATGCAACTAAACTTGCATAAACTAAGAAATCTTAGAACTCGCCTTTTTAATGATATAAAAAAATAGTTGACTACCATTGAAACCGAAGAATTCTGCTAAGTCCTTCACATAATACTGTGAAGACTGCTGAAAACTTTACAATACTACGGTTTATAAGCTGGTAAATTTTGGACTCTTCTAAGAATGCGATGCACAAGATACAGCTAACAGCAACAATACCGCGGCGAACCTCAAGATTACACTTCATTATGTTGCACCAACCAAAGTACCCTGAGTTAAATAACAGAAAATTCACTAACGCAAATAAAATTTCCGAAAAAATAAAAACGTGAAAACAAAATCAAGGTACCAATTTTAGTTTTCAGTCTACAACATATCAAGCAATTGTTATCGGGCACCTTAATAAAGTTAAAGAAACCTCGACAATGTAAGATTTGAATATATAGGAGTCCTAATCGACTTCAAATTAATGAAAACCGATAACCTCTACTGAAAGGAAATGCGTCCCTTATAATGTATATATAACGATGCATGAAGAGAAACTTCTGTAGTTAAGCTCGCAAAATACGTGGATTATAGTAAAAGCATTAATCAACAAAATCTAAGGAACACAGTTCAACCGTTTCAAAGTAAAAACGGGCGTTCCGAGCCTGAAGCAGATTATAGGGCTATCAACAGCGTCCTGTCCGACTGTTATTAAGCTTTAAACTTCGTTATTTTTAAAAAAATAGCCAGACTTACGATGTCCTCAGACTAAAAACGGGTTGAATTAGTTACAAAATGTTTTTAAAAAGTGCCTGATAATTAGTGATTATCGTCCCCTCAGTTGGTTGTCATTTCTTAAGAAAAATTTTAAAATTCTAAAATAATTTGTGCTTCAAGAAATGTGATAGCTCTTGACCAAAATGGCTTTTAGGGACAAATTTTCTACAACACTACAAATACTACGTGTACTAAAAAAGCTACCAAATTCTATAATCAAAAAAAAGGACCTCATACTACTTGATATAGCAAAGGCCTCTATTAACGTATGTCATGGCAACCTTTTTACAAACACACTCTTTTTAACTGTCCCCCAGCTATAATTAAGATTTTATTAGTTTTCTTGATATAGAAAAGTTATGAACAAAACGCAATGACTCACTACTATGCGTGCATGAATTTTAAGGAGAGCCCCTAAGGCTTCTTGTTGTTTTCCTATACTTTTTTCCATATTTATGGAATACCTTTTAGTCACTAAAGGCCAAGTATAGCACTTTTTGCGGGTAATGTGAATCATACATTCTATTAAAATTATACACAATACACAACTACACATAAAGAACATACACATAATCAAATCACAGGCTAATAGAAAATTTTCACACTTTATTCTAGCATTAACCACTAATATTTTAATGTTTAAAATCCACAGATGAAATAATAATTACAATATAAACATAAGGATGACCTAGTTGTTAGTTAAAAATATTTTACGTTGTCCTTTTTTTGTTTTGGTTTGATTTTTTATAAATTCAGGGCATCGAGTTCTATACCTAAGTTCTTTGTTTCTTTAACCATTGTAACTAGACTTTTTCAACTTCTTCATACTTGTAAGACCTTCATGCATTCAACATTTTTTTTTGATTAAGTGACGCTTGATTACTTTGATTTTTATAAAAGGATCCGTGAATTCTGGTTTTCAAGGGAGAAATTAGAGTGATTTTTTACGTTTTTAATGCTTTCTATCAAAGCTAATTTTACATTGATAGTAATAGTCTCCCATTTTGCCATTTCGACCTGAGTTATGAAAAGAAACCAACGCAAAGGTGTTTTTCGAAAATGAAGATTCGAACAGTTGGGAGGGGGAAGAAACTTGTTTAAGGTGTACATCATATAAGTTTGTTGTTCGATTTAGAGTCAAATCCTATCACTGCAATTTTTTTTTTAGAAAAATGCAATATTGTATTCTCGAATTTTATGTCATAAATAAAGCTTTTCTAAACTTATTTTTAAAATATTGACCGCGTTATAACCGGACTCGTTATATTGGAGGTTGACTGTATTTAACTTAATAGTACTGACTCCCTCCTGATCTCGGTAGCATTAATGAAGAAGAGCGGGTTGGTTGGTCAATGCTTTCCATGCAAATTTTTGACGTAAAATCTATGTACCTTAAAACATACGTAAATGTATTAAATGTAAATAAGATCTCGACTTTAAATTAATCCCCAGCATATTATAGAGACTGTAAAAACGCTCTTTAAAGAAGAGCCGCTGATTACGCAAAACTGAAGACAAGGTTAAACCTGCTGTTTCGTATGCTCAAAGTATACTGTAAATTCCTCTGATAAAATTTAACAAACTCAAGTAAACTCGACTACTATTGAACTTACAATGGGCCTACTAACTAATACGCTAATTTCTCTCATATGTGTGATATATTTGATAAATTGGCAACGGACCTAGGCCCTTATGGTACTAGTTGAAGTAGACTTGGTGGGTACAAAGTTCTGTACTCTATCTTTGAAGCGGATTCGCTATAATAAGAGAGTGTTATCTACTCCCAATCTCTAAGCTGGAACTGGTTAGCGTAGAATAGCGCTGTTACAATGCTATTTTCTAGTAGTACCATCTTCAAGCATAATTTTCAAGATTGTAAGGTTTACTCGTACGAGAGCAATTTAAAAGGCGCTAAATATACTAATATAGAGTTGTTAGATGCTTAGACTAGTTTCGAGGCTAGATTGAGCAGTTCTTTAGCTCTAGGATTAGTATCTGGGAAAGGCCTCGATGTACTTATAGCAAAGTGCACATGACGACCGCTTCTATATTATTCGTTAAGTAGAGATACAAAAATAAATATACTTCAGGATCCTAATTTTATTATAATCGCTGTTTTATTACTTCTGTTTAGCTGGTGGCTGCTTGAATCAAAACTATAAACTGTCTGATCATTAATGTCTTCTCAAATATTTCTTATCCCAAGTTGCTTGTACTTAGAGGGTAAATCTTCCCTAGCCGTCATTTTCACTGAAGGCGGCATCGTGGAATCACTTGTAGTACTGAAAAGTTGTTGTCCCTGTAAAAAAATTTATTATACTTCAAGAGAGATTGGAGGAGGTAATAAGCAAGAGTAAAGGAAAAGTTGTCTTCAAAACATACTATCTCTCTAGATTTCACAATTCTCCCCGTTGTCAAATTAAGTATAGTGTTCTCAATAGAATCTGTCGGTTTGGAAAAAAGAATGCCCTAAAGTGGTCGATCTTCAGCAATTCTTTTTAAATCTAGGATCATGAAATATGCTTTCACAACCCAGAGGTTTAAAGTAATCAAAGTCCGCTCGATGTAAATCCAAAAACTTCATTAGGCGATTTTAGTTAATTTTTTTTTTCATGTTAATTAACATGTTGACCGCGTCGCGTAAAGCCTTACTTTATCAATACTTCTGGTAATTTAGGCTGTCTAGTATACATAGAGTCATGTACACATTTTCTGAATACTTCTTTCACTTAGCATGTATTGTGGTATATCTTAAGATATGTTAATTATATAACATCCGCATTTTCTCAGTTTTTGGACGTTTGTCATCATGTATTTACTGCCCTTATCGGTTCTAATTTCCTCAATTATAGCAGCTGTGGTAGTTATATTAAGTTTTTATATATTTATTGTATCCTTTAACCCATTGAACGATTAAATTTTTTAATAACTTTACATAGTTAACTTATGGCTTTGTTAATTGTTATTATGGCTGCTAAAGAGAGTATTCCAGTGTTTTAAAGGCACTTTAAAAAAAAAGATAAAGGTGAGACAAAATATACGGCTTATGGAGTTAACAAGTTATCCAAAGGTTAACTTAATTATCTATAATGTGATAATTTTTATGCTCTTTACTGAGAAAAGGAGGAGAGAGAGATCAATTTATTATCCCAAAAAAGAAAGGGTATTCATATCTTTAAGGAAGTAAGCAAAAATGTGGAACAGGAAAACAACGTATTACACGTGCAGTAACAGCTTTAACTCAAAGAGGGTAAATAGGTAAAAGCCTACCGGGATAGGGAGTTGTCGCCGTAGCTCAGCGGTTAAAAGCATATGAAACGCACACTTAAGGTAGTGGTTATGATTCCCACCGTCGCGGTTTTCTTGGATTAGCCTACGCTGGCCGTCCAGTCTCCAAAATTGGTTTCTTATTTAAAAGATTACTTGTATAGATCAGGGCTCTATCATATTAAACAAAATAATTCTCTAGAAATGCTAGTTAATTAATGTGCCCTACTGAGGTCAAACGAAAGAAGAGAGAAGGTTTTCTTTTCTTCGACTAATTCTCTCACCCACACTGTGGACGACTTAGGTGGCAATTTTCATACAAAATGACGAAAAATTCTACGCCAGCGGGCCCTTTTACTTAGGCAGCAACTTTGGAACCGGTGACTAGCGGCTCTAACCGGAGTTTTCATAGTAAAGCATCTATTTGCAGAATTAAGTTGTGCAAAAGCTTGTTTTGTCGAACGTGAAGTAAGAACACTACTGCTGACGAGTTGTAGGCCATGGAAGCAAACGCACATTTTTGATGGGTCGGATACCATACTGTACCGCAAAGAGAGTTTGTTCTTAGCATAAACTAGATCTTGACCTTCGTGCAGTCGCCATTAGAGGCTGTTTACCTCACTAGAGTACTTTGATTTTTCGCTGAATCTCTAGTTAAGCTACGAGTTGTACTAATGGGCACGAGCGTAAAACAGAACTGCCGATACTTGTCGGGGGGTGGCGGCCGTGCTTTGATCACACGCGTTCCAATGAGGCAGCCCTTTACATGATTTTTACCGACGAGGTGGCCACGAGAGAAGCCTTTGAAGTACAGCCTGCGAAGCAAACTTTGTGGCAAACTCAGTCAGTGCCTTTGGAATTTCAAGAAAACAGTATTCATTGCCTTCTTGAAATTAAAGCTGGACATTGAATATCGCCCATCCAATACGGGGTTTCTGGGAAGAACGCATTGGGAGCCACGTGGTAAGATTGGGGCTCCAGGGAACGCCTTTGCAAACATAGCTATAATTGATTATTTGAAGCTACTCACTCTGCAGAGAGAATGTCAGTTTATGAGATTTGTGAGCAAGTTACCTCCTTGCCGTATTACGATGATGAGTACAATCATCCTGATGTTGCTGAGGCGGTTGATGCTTTAATCACCGCGGAAATGGCAACTTTTGCTCCAAGTTCAAACTATCTCGCTTACTTACCTTCAATCAACAATTTGGGACAGAACGTTTTTAACTTATAAATATTTAAAACTTTATTTGTTAAATAAATTTTTATAACTTTTTCTAGATAACTGAGTTGCTTGCTAATGAACTGTCTAGAATAGAACAAGGGATTCCTCAAGTCTGTTAATATTTGTCCCTCCTTTCCTTTAGTCTTTATCATTTCTACTGACTCTTTGTTTTCTTATAGGAAACCTTTGATTTTGGTCGTTACAAAACAGTTAAGTTAGAAAAAAATAGAAATATAGAAGCTATCAAGAAAAATATTACACTAACAGAGATTTTTTATGAACACAAGTTGAATAAGTAAGAGGTTTATTTATAATAAATATCAATATGTTATAATTATAAATTTTAGAGTTCTTAATCTTGAGCTTCTATTACGTTTCGGAAAAGCTTCGTGGTTATCTTACATTGGCCAACTCGAAGAGATTTCACAGGGGCTTAGCTCTAAATTAGAGTCCCTTCAAGAGGAAATCCGTTTAGTAAATTTAGCTAGAATGGAGGAGCAAGTACTAAGTCGATCTTTCTAAAAGAGTTGCAATCTACAAGGATTTATTTTCTTTACGCAGACAAGAGCTGGTGCTAAAATGAAAGAGTTAGAGGAGGAGTGGGGAGATCTCCTCTCTAAAAATTTAGAAATTAAACAGGAATGCAGTTCACTTGAAGAGGAAGTCGAGTTTTTAAAGCAGCAAGCGTCTGAAAGGTTTTTTTTTAAACTTTTTAATTAACCTTTTTTAATGCGTCAAGTTTAGGGGCATCGACCTGTCCGGGCTATAGCAAGTTCCATTTAGGACCGTGCTTTTATGTTTTACGCTTTTGATTCCTTTATTTACATTTAAATTGTATAGTAGGACTTATAAATTTATAGGGCTTTTTAGAAAACTTTATATGATTGTACTTTTATAACAAATTAAATTCTTTTATGATTCGTCTAATTAATCAACATGACTAAGAATGCAGCGAATTTTTTTTCTAGTCATTTATTTTTTAGGTTTGGCGTGGTGGATGCGTATTAATTAAGATGCTTTAGTAATGGCGTTATATATATTATAATAAAGTTACTTGGGTTTAAGACTTATGCTGATTTTCGCATATGCCCCTGTAGAATTCTGCTGCGTTTAAAAGGGAAGCCGAAATAATAAAATAAAAGCTTACAAGCATGAGGAATTGCATTAGCTTGGCGATATATAAATTTCATTTCCTCATTATTTACGTCCGTTTTTATTAGCGTTAGTTACTTAAAAGATTTTCAAAACTTGCCAATTTTATTATAACTAAAATTTAATTATTTACGTCGCTGTTTAAAGTTGCTCATAGGAGCTTAGAGCCGCTCTCATCCACCCTATAATCAATAGTTATAAAGTTGTTTTTACCGTAAACATCGATGAGATACTCTGCTTATCTTGCAAAACAAGCTCTATTTTAGTTAGATCCTTTCTAATTGACTGCCTTGTTTATTAACGAGATGCCCCCCCCCCCCCCCTAGTGTGTGGTAGGGTGCTTTCAATTAAAAAAATACGAGCATTTCTATATTCTGGAGATAGAATACTTAAGAGAATTAATTCGTAATAAAGTATTTTTTTTTAAACAGTTCAGGTTTATTTAACTGACAAACATTCTTTCTATAAGTACTTCCTTTTCTTCCACTCTTTTTATTTAATAATAATAAAAATATATAATTTTGCGTTTCAAGTTTTAAAAAGTTGGTGGTAGACTAGTAGAGGCATTCCAATAGATCCACACATTTTACGCGTAAGTATATACCGGTCTAGCCAGGGATTGGAATAGCATTAGCTTAATTTTGAGGTTCAGTTTACTTTTTTGCACAAAAAGAGGTCGAAAGCGCTTCTCTTAGCTTTCGCCTTCTAAATTCTTTACCTGGTACTAATATATGAATACGTTGTAAGCTGTGGGCTTGGACGGGTGTAACCGTGCGGATTTATGTGCAACGTTCGTAAGGTAGCTCATTGGATAGACCCTTGTTTTATGAACTACTTTACTCAGAATTTTTTGAAGTTATATAAAAAACTCTAGAAGAAAAACTATTTAAGCTCACAGTTTATAAAACAGATATACGTTCGTACCAGTTAAAGGGTTCATAACGTAGGTATTGTATCCTAAGTTAGAAGTCATTTATTATACCGGGGTATTAAACGTGAGCACTAAGGTGTCTCCGTTTGTAGCACGGTAGGGTGGTAAGATCCTTTACGTTTTTTCACGATATAAAGGGGCTATACTTTTCGCAACTTTAACTGTATCTTGCAATGTGTTAGACCAACCCAAAAAAAAATTCAAGTATAGCTGGAGAAATTTTATATTTGTAGGAACTAATTTTGGGATCAGTGATGCGATGACTTCCGCGTGTTGTGTACATAAAGACATTGATAGACGTAAGGATATCATAAAGGTAGAGGACAAAAGACGTAAAGAAAGAAGAGTTTTTTTAGGAAACTCCACCGGATCTTTGAGTTTGTTTTGTTAGAAAAAGTTCTTCTATGGAGAAAGGATTTGATTATAAGTATAAAAGAATTGGGGATTCACACTTAATTTAAAAATAACGTTTTTCTCCATCCCTTATCGAAAGTTTGCTCGACTACCGCTGTTGGTTTTCATTACTCTCTTTTAAGGAGTGGTTATTTACGCCTAATTCTAAATGGCAAACTGGTGCTATATACTATTTTTCAACAAAAGCTTGTAGTCTTAGTATTACAGCTTTCAGTACTTTGACTAGGACTGAAAGTAGACTAACTGATCGGTAGTTTTATACCAAATTACTAGAGTGGAAACAACGTCAGCGATTATTTATTGTCTAAGAAAATAAGAGAAGTTAATTTAAATAAACAGTTTTGTTGTAAATTAAAGTGTGAAATGTTCAAGCATGTTAGCTTTACGGTATGAGTGACTAGATAATGTGCAAATTTTTGTATACTAGCAACTTTTCTACATCTTGTGTATAATTCACATAACAGGGACATCTCGCCCATTTTATACCAACTCAACTCCGTATATGTCTGGGCGGTATTGTAGTAGCAGTAATAATAATAATAATAATAATAATAATAATAATAATAATAATAATAATAATAATAATAATAATAATAATAATAATAATAATAATAATAATTTTGTTAGGTAATATGGTCTGAACTGAGTTGTAACAATAACAACCACTTTGTACGCAAAATGTGGCAGAGTGAAAAGGTCCAATCCTAACCCTCGTCCTCTGTCTTGTCTTCGCGAAGAGCTTCATTATCCGATTCGAGCTCGGCGTCCGAGTTTGTGACCTCGTCCTTGGACTTGTACTAGCGATCACAGCCTTAGCCAATCGGGGGAGAGAAGCGGACCTCCGTGACCAACAGCAAACCTTCTCCAGTTTAGGTCTGTGCTCACGCCGCTGCCGTTTACCGGGAGGTGACTTCCGAGTTCTTCGTTGCTCTTCAGTCTCTTCAGCGTCACTATTCACAGCGTGCAAGATACTGATAGCAAGGCAGGGCACACGCGGCCAAGCAAAAGTACGCTCGCCGCCTAAGCTTTCTCTTACGAGGTGTCCGCTCAACTTTTTCGGTGTCGGCAACGTCGACTATATCCTCATCGCTATCGACTGTTTTCTATTGGAATAGTAGAGTACTAAGAGAGTCGCTTTTGGATTGTTTTAATATTACGTGCCTTAGATTTGATTCGCTTCACCAACTGCTCGGCCTAAGCAAATGAAACATCGTCATTAAAGAAAAAATTGGTGATTGGTCCTACAACACTGCACCATTTTTTGTGATTGCTCCTGAAGAACGCGCTGTTGTTCTTCTAGAATCTTATTTCTCGCTTCTATAAGAAAAAGTTCGTTTTTCTCTTGAAGCTCTTTACGGCGTTTCTAATGGTTTAAAGAAATATAAAAGCTAACAAAAGAAGCAAGTAGGCAAGATAACAAACCTCTTCTTCTTCCTGCTGGGCCTTTTGCTGCTCTTTTTTTTTCTCAATGGCCCTCTGCAGCTCCCTTGCTGCGTGCTCACGTTTCTTTGCTTTCACATACGAAAGATTCGCCTACCAACGCACAAGGTAAACACAAGTACCAAGCAACTCTACGGAAGCATGCCTTTTTGTACAAGTCTCGAGACAAGCGGAACTCCTCGGCCGCTCTCTTGGGAGTGTGCAAGTACTTAGACTGCTGCTTTGTGGACGCGAGAACTGTGAAGATCCTACGTATCCCAACAAAAAAAAAGGTTATGCACAAATAAAACTAAAAAGTCTAGCAAAAAGTACCGAATAGAGTGCTTTATTTCTCTCTTGGCCGTCACAATATCGGCGGGCTCAACTGCGCCAGAGCGAAGTAGTGACAAGCACCACTGCTGGTGCGCCAGCGCGAGGTTGAACTGCAGATCTAAATTCTGGGGCGAAAGATGTAAAGCCTGCAAACAAATGATTGGATAAAAAGCATGCGAGTCCGGAAGAGGTACATTAGGACCTTCGTCAGCACGTGTCGGGACTCTTTAAAGTTACCGTGCTTGTAATGAGCGCGAGAGAGCAATGTCAAAAGATCAACGTTATGGGAAAAGGAAAACTTCTTCATACAATTTTCATACTACAGTTATAAGTATTAATTGATTGCATTTATGAATACAATATCGCGCAATATAACCAATTTGACGGCCTGCACGTACTTTTTCTGAGCCACATAGACATTAGCAACCACATAGACATTAGCAAGGTTGATCCACACGTCGGGAAAGTCGGTAGTGGCTTCCCGGACCTTAAAAAAACGCAGACCACATCAAGCCTCAGTAAAACATGCGCAAAGCACAAAGACCAACCTGTAAAAAAACGTCTCCCGCTTCATCCAAAGCGCCCTGTTCAGCCAGAATGGCTCCTACGCCGTTTGCCGCAAAGTAGTTCCTCTGGTCCGCCTTCAAAGCCCTCTGAAAGCTTTCCAAGGCGCTTTTAAAATATCTCTGTTGCTGTGGCACACGTGAGCAGGAGAAGCGGGCGGACGCTCGCGGGTGTAGAGGACCTTCTCACTCTTCGACATCAGCGCATACGACAAGCATATGTTGCCGATGGCAACCCAAGAGTACTGGTCCGTTGGCTTCAAGGCTTGAATGCCTGCGCGTCGACACTTCAGCCACGGCGAAAAGGTGTGTTGAGAATAGCTTAGACGATATGTACCTTGGAAGGTTTCCAGAGCGGCCTTCCATTCTGAGCGCGCGAGGTGCAGGCTGCCCATCAACGAGCGCGTTCTATGCGAAGAGCGAAAATTCGGGATACTCAGCAAAAAACGCATTACAGAATGTCAAAAAGAAAACAGAAGATTCTCGCTATTAATGGCGTAGGAGTCTTTGAACCACTCAAAAGCGCCAAAGAGCTTCCCCTTATCCCTCGCCATGATGCCGAGCCGCAAGTAGCCTGAGGCAGGTGCACGTGGACGGGCGCTCGAAGCTACGGTAATAAGTAGCGTATACAGTCCACATAGTTGGGGTGCTCTTTCAGAATCTTCTTGTAAAGATCCTCCGCCTCCTCGTACTTCCCTGCAGCCTCGTAAGTACGTGCCAGGTTGAAAGTCATGGTCACCGATATCAACTCGAAATACTTTTTTTGCTTTACTAAAAAAACGAAAAGAAGAGGTGCACAAAGCAACTGTTTTTCCATCTGATTGGTCCTCTTCAATAGCACGTAAACCCAATAGAAGACACTCAACCGACTTTTCAAAGTTTCCGCGGTGGAAGTGCAGAACACTCATATTGTTTAAAAGTTCAGGAATTGGCTGGATCCCCTGCAGCGCCAGTAGAGCACTAACCATGTGCACAGGGGAACAAATCTAAACTAAAACTTGTATCTCGTATATTTTTAAGGCCGTTGCGTAGGAAAGAAGGGCGTCCTCAATATCGACATGCTCGGCCAGAACGGCCCGGTCCACCCACGCTTCCGCGTCGTTTTCAAAGGCTTCAGTGACCTAAAAAGGCCAGAAAGGGGTTAACGCTATATTTATTCCCATACTTCAACAAAAAAAAACTTTTTTAATAAGTTTGTAAGCTTTTCCAGGGCTTTTCGTAAAATATAAATGCGCAAGAAGTTTAGTGCACTCGTAATTGTCCTTGCAGACGTCCAACACCTGAAAAGTTGGTGTACTTAAGAAGCCATATGACCCCTTTTTATAATAATAAAAACCTTCTCTAAATAATGTCGAGCGTTGTCGTGGTCGTTACGATAAAGGTACATCTGCCCTTTAAAATTGTATAAAGCAGCTTAAAGCAGGGATAAGCAACATTGAAGAATGCGAGACGTACCCAAGCCATACTGGGCAGGAAGAAGATGACTGTCCAGCGAGCAGGAGCGGTAAAAGTGCTGGAAGGCCGAAGTGAAATCTACAAAACACCAGCTAAGGCGAATCTCGCGAATCTGAGAATCAGAAATTTACCGCCGTGAAGCTGGAAAAGACGCCCCAAGTAATAGTGACTGAGCGCCTACATGCAAACGGGTTGCTACCAGTCACGTGAAAAACAACTAATTAACGCTTACTTTGACCGGCAGAGCTTCGGAATTTTCCACGGCGGCAAGGGCAAAACTGTACGACTGGAGAAAGAGAGGCGTGTGAGGGAATAACGGTGTGAGTAAAGTATTGCCTACTTATTTACTTTGCTGTATTCCTTTTTGAAAAAAAAATGATCCGCCAAAATGTTCAGCACAAGCGAATTCTTCGGCTCCAACTCATAAGCTTTTTTTATATGCCTTAAACCTTTTAGAAGGCCATCTTTCTCGTTACTACCAATTATGAATGCAAACTTGACACCTTGTGACTCAATAACGCTCAACCTGTTAATTTCTAAAGTTCCGAGAGCTACGAGGGCACCTGCACAGTCCGGTTTTAAATTCAACGTGCGCTGAAGGGCTTTTCTCGCGAGATCTACTCTGCCTAACTTCAGTAGACACTGGCCAATACCCAACCGAAGCTCAGCGGGGCCACCCGGATTTAATTTTAAACACTTCCCAAAAAAAAAATTTGAACTACAAAAATTGAATAAAATGAATTTGTAAGAAAAATTAAAACCTCTCGATAAATTTCCAACGCTTTATAATATTCACCGGAGTTATAATATATACAAGCAAGACCTAATTTAGCAGGCACGCAAGCAGGATGCTATTTACTAACTTTTTTTAATAGGCATTCAAAACTTAAAAAGTAAGAATTAACCTCTTTTAAAACAAACTCTATGGATTTTTTTGCGGCCTCAAATTCACCTTTTATAAGACCGACAACAATTCGACCAAGCCAACATTGTAAATTCTTTATCGAAAAAAGGCGTTTTAATTATGAGAATCAATTAATTATTATTAAAAATAACTTACATTCATATCAAGTTGACCAGTTCGATTATTATAATTAATAGCTTGTTCAATGTAAGATTCTCTCTGAGTCCTATCTTTTTCGTTTTCAGCAAGTTGCAAATAGTAAGCGCTCAATGTGGTAAGGCAAGAGATCTTATCCGCTGTCGAACCTGAATAAAGTTTCGCATTCTCTTTTTAAAAATGAATTTAAGTTATAATAAAAATATGGAAGAAAATTAGGGCAGCAAGTAAAAAAACCTGGTTCAGTTGCGGCACTAAGAATTTGGCATAGTCCCAGAGATTGACCTTGTTCTAGATAGGTTTTCTATCAATTAAAATTCTAGAAAATAAGGTTACACAGAAATAAAAAAATTTAACTAACAGCAACGTGTAGCCAAACGCTAAGAGGAGATTTCTCTGCTTTTAATACATAAATTAGTTCTGCTGCTTCTGGCAGATTATCTTTTTCAACTTCTAAAAACTCTTCTTCACCAGTATGAGAAGTGAGTGGGATCTCAAGAACGCCATTCATTCTACAAAGTAAAACTACAGTTTATTTCCTTAAACTAAAAAGCATCGAAGGCACATCTGAAAGCACCAGTTGACACTCTTTAAGCCTATAGGAATTGGTGTTATGTAAGGAGTTTTCTTATTCATTGCCTATAAGTAACACGAGACCAATGCCCCTTAATAAAAAGTTAAGTTTTGCAAGGTTGATAGATTTATGAGGCAGCCTTTTTGTTTTTGTTAAAGAATGGGGAAAAATGGTAGTTATCTAAAGCAAACTGGCATTCCAAACGTTAGAAAGTTAATAACAGAGCGGGCGCAGAAAGGTTTATTTCATGGCCTTGACGAAATTCGACGGGTCAGAGTCAGTTTTTCAGGGAAAAAGTAAACTATCGTTATTATATAGTCTATTATTTTTTATGTTTGGTAGAGGTATATATTTTGGGTTCTTCTTTTTTTTAAAGGTATTATACTTATTAATTATAGGTCCGTGCACGTGAAGCAACCGCAAGTTTATAATAAAAACTTATATAGTAAAATTCTAAATAAAACGTTGAAGTAAGGATTATTTATATATGCTTTGAATTTAGATACGTTTTAAGATAGAAAATGAATATAGTTATTCTTGTTTAAGCGAACATTATTGAAGCATTATTTTTGTTACAGCGTGAGGGGCGTGTTAAGTAAATTTTGTTTTTTAAATCATACTGGAAAGATAAAATAATTATTTAAGCCAAATTTTGAAATTTCAGTACTCTAGATTTATCTTCTAAAATCTTTATTAGTTTAGAAGTTTCTACTCAAACTCTTAGAATGATTGATAAAGCAAGAGGCTTTGATAATTACATTTTAAAAACACCAACTTTTATTTTGAAATCAAAAAAAGGGGAAGAACTTAAGGATCTTTTAAAAGACGAAATAGTTCGAAGGAATTTAATGAAAGAAGCTTTAAAGGAAAACTGGACGATCTAAACTATAATTAAATTGTTTGCATTATAATTTAAATAAAACTCCATTCTAACAATTTATTACTGACTTTTAAGATTTAAGTTAGGAAAAGGTTAAAATTTACTCCCTAGACTTAATTAACCTATTATATTATTAAAATAAGGCTTGGTAGGTATACTATTTACTTGGAAAAGTTATTAGTAAAACTAGAGTTTTCCAGGTATAATAACTAAATTTTGAAACTATAAATATTAAATTTATCTGCTTCCTAAATTTTGTAAATAATAAACCTTTTTTTGTAACAATGAAACCTGTATTACGCTTAGGGAATTTTAAAAATCCCAGATTTATTATATTCTTGTTTAGTGAATGGCCCGTTTGTCAATTTAGGAGGTGAAAGAAGGATTAAAGAATAAAATTATAACTTTTGCGAAATAAATAAGTGTACCGTTATTAATGAGTAAATAAAGGGGCAAAGATAATTGAATAAAGAGTTCAGAAATTATTAGCAAAGAGGATTTGATAGAATATTTGATATACTGTTGGCGTTACCAAATATTTGGGGATCGAGAACGACATTTTTATTTACGTATATTTGAATGAAAAGGGCTTGTATTTCGATGGCGGGTACTAAATTATATGCTACATATCTTACATGTTATTTAGAAGTTTAAGAAGCTATTACCCAAAACAGTCGGGTTCACAAAAACGCGCTTTTTACTTATAAAATATCTTATCTACAATACTAAAAAATGATCTTTTTGAAAATTTTTAAATATAATTTAAAATTCACTCCACCTTTTCTTTATAAAAAAGTCCCCATTATCTCACTATTCAACCCTCGGGCCCATCTTAACAGTCATCTTATTATATCTTAAGAACACAGCTTGTTATTTAGTACAACCGATTATTAAGACGGGCAGTAGATAAAAAAGTTCATGTTATAATATTGTGCATGAAGAGAGTAAAAGTACCTTTTTGTAATTTCACTTTCAAGTTTTCGAGTCTCAGACTGTTAGTATTATCTTTAGTATTTTTATGGCTTTTGAATTCTTTGTATCTTAGTAATTTAGTTTGGCCCTCCGAACAGAATAGTAATTTTTATTTTTTCTTAAAAAAAAAGAATAATGTTACCCTAATCATAAATTTTTGTTTTGAGTAGGAATAAATTTTGTAGTCGAAAAAAAAAAAGTAAGGCCATCACGGAGTACTAAATTTTTTTACTTTACCTCTGGTGTTAACTATTTCGGCTATCATCTTATAAAATCAGTAATATGTTACTTTTTACAAAAGACTTTTGTTATTATTTTTAAGCTTTTTAATGACACCCAGCTAAGCAGCCGCGGAGATAAAGTAGTAGTAATTGATGATCTTTTAGAGGAGGAACCAATACATCAAGTAGAATATTAACTTTTACACAGCTTTATGGATTTACTTGTAGAGTTCCTTTCATAAAGGTAGAGTTGACATATTGGGTTGAACAACTAAAGTATTATAACGTGAAAATTTTGCGGGCTGATCCATGTGACTTTGCTTCGACGATTTATCTTTATAAGGAGTTCATTCAGGAAGAAGGTTTTATTAGGATTTATAATTATAATAATAATTGCCTTCATGTTTTTTAAAATCGTTAAAAATTTATCTATTTCATTTTTCTAAAAATATAGATGATCTTAACTTCTTCCACTTTCACCGTAGAGGGCAGTCCCCCGCAGAGGCCTTAACATGTTTTTCTGAAATATTAAGCTTCTATGCAACATTAAAAAATAATTTTACTTTCTTCTATGGTATTTCAAAGCAAAGGATATGGAACTTTGCTACGTATTTATGACTTTTTTGTAAGATGCAAACGGATTTCCGGGTCATTTTGGACAAGGATTTGAAGAGTCCTTTAAAACAATAGCCGATTACAAAAGTTCTGAATTAAAAAAAAAGGCAATCTTTATAAAGATGAAAGCAAAATTATTGTAATTAATTAATTCTTTATTATTCAGATAATAGGGGTAAAGAGGGGAGTTCTGTTTGGCCAGGGGCTAGATTCCCAAAACAATCTTCATCATATTTTAAATAACTTGTTAAAAGTGGACGATTGCAAAACTTTTAATTCATATTTGTGTCCTAAAGTTAATATTAGTAATACCATAACTGTTTATACTTAAAAGCTTCTATATATTGTTTGTACTTGATAATTTACTTTTTTATTAATAGAAGTGAATTTTTTTATAATAATATTATTAATCCATATGCTTAGTTATTACTTTAATATCTTCTTGGCTTATAAAAAAAATAGTAGTTATAAAAAAGTCTGGCGTAGCTATTAAAATTATGAATTTATAGATTAGTATTTATTACAAGTATTACTGTAGCAAGTCACATAGAAACAAAATATTTCAAAGTTAAAAATTATGTGACACAAGTGTTTTCAAAAGTAAACAATAATCGAACATTTGATCAAGTTACGAGTTATACTCAAACAGAGAGGTTCATCATTTCCGCCACGCTGAATTAACAAAAAACCCTTTTTATAATTTATAGTTTCTATTCTTCCCTTAATCTTATAGAATATAAGCAAAACGCAATAACGCATCGCAGTTTATAAATGAGGTGAGTACACTTCAATTTTCGATGTCCTCCACTTGCATAAAATTTGCCAGATTTGCTTTGTTACATTCCCCTCCCAGCAGTACTTTCTTTTCGTAATTCTGAAAATAATTTAGCACTTGGTTAGCAGCAGGGGTTACCTATTTAATTAATTAACACTTATAGTCATATAATGGATAAATAGTGTCTTTTTATTTAGAAGATATATATAATACAAGAATTATCAAAGCAGTATCTTTTTAATTGTTAGGTATACTCTACAAGGAATATTTCTTGTTTAGTTACGGTTATTACACAATAGTTGTATTGATACTCACACAAGCGAAAATGCGATTTTTAACATTAATAACCTGCAAAAAAATTAAAATAGGTCCAAGTAAAAAAAACTGATTCATTATTGTAAATGTAGAATCTACTTTTATTTTAATAGATATATACATATATAAGATTTTGTTCAATACCAACTTTTGTAAGAGTTATGGAGGGAGGTATGTTATAACCTTTTATTCTAGACCGATTTAGTATACAGTTATTTTTTTTAAATGTCTGTTAAAAAAACTAAATAGTTGTGGATAAAACTTTTACCGTTTACCATACTCTGTTTTATCATACATACAAGCTTAATTTACAGAAAATTTCCTAAAGCTTTTTTAAATATTTTTATAATCAGCTATAACTAAAATCTCTTAAAATTTTTAAACTTTAGGCTATTTAAGCACAGTATGTATCTTTGCAATATTATATAAGTATCCAATAGGAGTAGTATGTCCCTTATGTTGATAATAAAACCCTATATTTAACAATATTCTATTTTAAATTATTATATTTAGGTGCAAGCGTGTACTTATTTTAGTATTTAAAATATAATTTAACATAGTTTGGCCTTTATTATGTTGAAATTTCTTTATAGGCTACAGTAAAAATGCTTTTTTATATATTTTACGGCCCTTCATCATTCATAAATTAACTTTCGCTAATAATTTTTTACAGACGAAAAACTTATTTTTCAACATATAAGCGAGGCTGTTTCAGCAGTCACAAACTTAATCGACGAACCATTTTCCCACAGTTATACTCAAACTTATCGTATCCCTTCCTCGTCGGTCTCTTTATAATAGTATAGTTTAGAGTCGTTAACTTAATAAATTAATTAATAAGTGCAAAGGATGCATGTATACTTTAGTTTTTCAAAGTAATTCTTAGGATAAGTAAAAGACAAAAACAAATAAATAGATAAGCAAGTAATTTATTTATTAATATTACGGTAAAATAATTATTTATTTTCTCTTCTAGAACTCTATCTCGGCCAGCATATCAGAAATTTTAGAATCTCTCAAAAACAAGATTAAGGTATACCCAATATTATAAATTTGAGTTTATGGTGTAAATATTTAAAAAAGTTAAGGCTTAATATGGAGTGCAGTCTAGTAAAATTATCTTGTACGTTTAACAAGTATGGCTTGTGCTATATAGACTTCACCTTGTTTAAACATAGTGTCTCACGTAGAGTCTATTTAGCTTAATAGAAAATAACTTTAGATTAAATAAAGAGGAACTACAACTATATTGCCTATTCTTGTAAAAATCTTTATGGTTCTTAAGTTATTATGAGAAAAGGGGTTCCTTATACTATTATTGATCTATAAAATTAATATATATATATAGGAGTTTTCTATATAAAGATATGCACTTTTTAGACTAACATGCGCAAACCAACCTACACGTGAGTTATCCGCAAGGAAGTAGTAGCAAATAATTTTACTCTGACCTTTGCGGATGCTCGGTAAGTCGAGCGCAGACCGTTTGGATTTGATTCGGGCGCGAGTAGCACGAGTGTTCCGATTTTCTCGGAGAAAGTCACTCCGCAGCACTATCCCTGCCCCTGGGGATTAGAGATTTGACTTGTCAGGGGGCTGAAAGTGCTTCTCGCCGGTGCACACGCCCCAACCACTAGATAAATTAACCAAAAACATTATAAACTAATTTTTCTAGGATAAACGCAATTTTGGTACCAGATATTTATATATTTAAGTATGGTAAATATAACGACTTTGTCATTTAAATGCAACCTTAGTTAAACATGTACATTTAGAGAACCAAATTTAAGATAAACAAATTATCCATTAATGGAAATTCTTTTAACCTTTTGCGAAGGTATATACATGCGACTTCATTGTTTGTAATGGCATTAGGTATTATTATACTATTCTAGTATACCATAAAGAGACCTGTGCAATGCCAAATTTAAACTATAAACTTTATATCTCATGAAGTTTCTCGCTTTATCCTCAGTTATTTTATATTACGTCACCACTTGCAAAAGGTTTCTAAACTGTTTGGCTGGTCGGGTAAACGTTTAAGTAGAGTAATGACATGACATTTAAAAGATTGGAAACTTTACTACTTGGTAAAACGATAAGTTTAACTAAGAACTTTAAAATATTATACAGAGTAATATCATATAATTAAGGAAAGCTTGAAATGGAACAGTTTTTAAGTTTTAAGGGATCTTTTATTTCAAATTTGTTTTAAGTTATTTTAATGCTGTTACTAAAGGAATTTAGTCGTTTCTCTAACTTAAAAGCGCTTTTGAGTATGCCTGGTTATATCTTCATACCTTTCGAGTTCTAGTTGTTCTAGAAAATTGACGTGTAAAACAGAAATCGTTTTACTTTAAGAGAAAACAGGTGAACGAATTTATTTAAACCGACTCATTTTTATATTATATAGCGGTTTACTATTAAATAATATTTAAACTGATATAATTTTTATATCATTATGCTTTTTAAAATTTTCGTGTGTGCTATATAGCTGAAAAGAACACAATTAACAGCCTGACTCCATATCATTAAAAATTTTTTAATATTTGGGTAAGCAACAAGTCTAGCTAGTTACTATCTGCAACGCTTAACCTTCCTCCTTTTATTTAAACGTTTGACATATAAACAAAAGAATATTTTTTTTCTTCTAAAAAAATTTATTAGGTTTTTAATTTTTTTTTTGGGTAATTATATTGCTTATAGATATCTCAAAGTACTGCTATCCCAATAGCTACACAAATGAAGTGTTTAGAGCTCTTTTCGACCAGGAAAGGTCTTGTGGAATCTTTTTTAAATAAAGTTAAACAGATCTTTTCTCGACGAAATGAAGCCTTTAAAAAGGGTTTAAGAGAAATTCTCTTTTTTTTTAAGATCATAAATTATTAATAGAATAGTGGGTGTGTATATTTATTCCAATAAGTTTTTTTGGAGAGAGTTTCATCTTTGAGTATTTTTGCTAAGTTTATTAATTTAAAATATATAGATTTAAATCTTTATAAGCTTAAAAAACATAAAAATAAGCTCTATTTTTGTAGTATTTAGTAAAGTTGACTAGTTTTTATCTATTATTTAACATAATTATTTTAAAACAAAAAATCTGTCTTACCTTTTTTACTGTTAAACTATTAAAAAAAAAATTTAATAAATAAAAATTCCAATTTAAATTTTTTTTTTTTTAATTTTTTTTAGCTGCTATTGAAGCACTTTTGGAGTGGTTTCTATCGGTTTTGTTAAAGTTTTATAAAAAAAAAGAAAATGTTTCTTTAGATAAGTCTTATGATAAAGAAACGTTGAAGGGTTTGCTTTTGATATCCTAATTATTAAAAATTAAATTGTATTTAAAACAACAGTTTTTTATTTATTTGTTATTAAAATAAAACCATACTTTTTTCATATATTTAAAATCATCATAATTTATAGTTATTTAGTTATATTTTGTAAATTAAAAATGGGGAATTTTATAAACATTGTCTCAGAGACTATTGTTTAAAGCTTTATTTACTGATTTTGTATATAAATATATCATAAAATATATTTTTTTATACATAAATTTATATTTTCTTCGAAAGACATGTTATAAAGCCATTAAAATATTTAAAAATACAAATATAATTATTAACGATATCCTAATTTTTAAAAATAACAATAATAATTAATAGCTTATGAATAAAAATAATAAGATTAAACAAGATAAGTAATATCTAAAATTATTTTTTAAAAAATTCGGATTACAAAAAGTAAAAATAAATTATCATTTTAAAGATTACGAAGTAAAACATTTAGGATAAAATAAATAAAAATTTAGAAAAATAAATTTAATATAGCAAAAAAAATTTAGAACAAATTATATAATAACTCAATATATTTTTTTTCAAACTATTTTCTTATGTATAGCAAAACAGTTATCAAAGGATATTAAAACAAAAAAAATTTTAAAAATTTTAATTTCTTTATGACGATGAGGGCTAAGTAAAAATATTAGTAGTATGTAAGAGTACGTTGAGCTTGATATATCAATTTTATTTGTTTAATAAGTTTCTTAACGAGTAATACAAGTAGTAAATCATTACTATTTTTTAAAATTTTATAATTTATTTTTTGTGCTTGCTTTCGTTTAAAATAATAAGAAAATTTACTCTTTTTATATTTGATTATTAATTTTGTATTGAACTCATTTTACAATTCTTATAGTTTTTCTTATTTAAACATTTTTTCCCTTTAATAAAATATTTCGTTAGATTTAAATATATTATTAAAGTTTTTATATTTTATTTTATACCATTAAAAAATTTGACTTTTTATTTTACATGTTGAGGTAGCCTTGCTAAATTGGAGTCTAATTGGAGGAGGTAACTTTTTTTAACGACTTTAATTTTTAAGGCATGCTTCGTGTTTCCATTTAGTTTCTCCAAAATTTACATAGTATTTAAATTTTATTTATAACACTCAAGGAAGTGTTAAACAATAGAAAGTCTGGTTTAAGAATATATTTCACAACTGGGTTATCGATAAAATATATAAAATTTAAGAAGCTCGAGAGTTATTTAGCGCATAATCAATTTAAATACTTATATCTAATAAAAACATTGTATAAAAGTTTAAAGGTGAATTGGCAACTTATAATTTTTTATAAAAAAAATATTTAAACAAAATGCTTTGTTAAAAGGATCATTCTAAATGAATCAATCTAAATTGTTTATACTCTTCAATAGTGAAAAATTCAAATAATTTTTGTCTCACTACTTTATTGAGTGACGATATATAAAAAAAAGGTCCAGAGATTGTATCGATATATGCACTAACTAAAAATTTCAAAAGAATTATTTATGTTTTTTAACGACTTATCCACTTATCACATTTCATTTTCGAACAAGTCAATTTTTAAGATATTCGCTGTATTACTGTCTTATTAAAATTTTTATTTTGAACTTTTTCAAGCACTAAAATTCGGTTGTATAAATTAGCAATACTTTTTCTTATACTTAGTTTAATTTTTCCTTAACTATTGACTCTGCACATACGTAGTAAAAATTTTTGTACACACCGATAATCTATTACTACCGTTAAGTAATATTTCTACTAATTCAAAATTATTCTTATGAAAGCTAAGGCCACTTTTTATAAAGTTTTACTTTTAATAAATAAAATATAAAGCAATCGTTTTTAACAACAATCTTTTAGTTAAAATTTCTATAAGGAGTTGTCCTTTTTATTTTCTTTTTTTTTGTTGCAATCAGCACTTAACTTTTTGAGGCGCAAATTCTGTATATATTATTATTAAGGTTCAGGCCGTAGAGTAGTCTTTGCGTGTTACTTTTTTTCAAAAACTGATCCACAACGCGGACGTTCTGTAGCGGGAGATAGGTTTTTCTCTAGGAAAGTATAGATATTTATAAGGTTTAGTATATTTAATATAGTTTTTCTTATATCAAACGCTGGTATGAAAGCGTGCGTCGACTGAGTTTAGATGCCGTTATTTTTCATGATGGTTTACAAACGGATTTTATAGGCAAATTTCAAACAGATAAAGTATTTTAATAATTAATAACTGTAATCTTAACCATATAAGGTTAAAATAATTATTAGATTCGCTTTGTAAAAGTAAAACTGGGTAATCGCTCTACCAACGATGAGCGATTCTTCGTTTACCAACAGTATCTTCGCGAGCACTTGGATATCAAAGCGGTTTTCTTTACAGGTTTTTTTAAGAAATTTGGAAAAAAGCTGGGACAAAAAGTTCATATCGAAAGTTAGATATTTCCGATGTTTATTTTCGAATGAATCCCTTTGAATTAGTAAGAGTAATTGGAAACCGGTTATATATCGGTCAGGACAGGGGACAAAATATGCGTTCTAATCTCTGGATGAAGTTCAGGTTGTTTTATTACGGGCTATAATAAAAAATTTATAAAAAAGTAGCTTTTGATTAGATTTAACTGGTGTGTGACTGAAGAAGCTAATAAAAAAGTTCTTGAGCGAATACAAACTCATAAGCAGGTTTATTTATTAGCTCGTCGTAAACAGATGAACTTTCTAATTAAAAAAACTTCTATAGGTTTATAATGCAGGAATTATAGGTGGTTACACAGCAATGGTACTAAGTTTCGTATAAATTTATATCTAGTCGGCTATGTCATATATATATATATGTAAAGATACTCCCGTTTTTAAGTAAAGTGACTGCTTACTTGAATAAATTGGATAAGAATTACAACTGTAACATGTTGGTGGTAAATTGGATAGTACACTTACATTATAATTACGACGTATTCACCGGTTTTCCTTTGAACAGGTACTGAAAACTTTATATAAATTATATTATTTTCTATTGCTTAATGTTTTACTAGCTTGTTTTTTGAAAAGGAGCAAGATCCTCAAGGGATCTTCATCGTCCATAAGTAAATTATTAAGCGAGTCGCCCATTTATTTTAAAAAACATTTACTAATCTCTAAAATCTTTTTCATTTGATATTTCTGATGAAAATTCAAAGTTCAGTTAGACAATAAAACCTTTAGATTTCCATAATTTTTTTAGCGATGGGACTATAAATATTTCACTAAATGAGTTAAAATTATATTTTATTAGTATTATAAGTATCTCACAACCTTATTAAGTATTTTGCTAAATCCATAAGATAGATCGCATAGTAAATTAGTAATAGGGCGCTTCTAATTAAATAAAAGTTCGCTAACTATTCAAGATTTTAAAGATTGTAATTCTTGTTTTTTATTTCCAAGGAAACCAAAGGGGTTCTCTTATAAAATAATGTCAATATCTTACTTAATAGCAACCATAAATACTTAAGTATTATATTTCGTTGCCCAATTATCGAGATCTCCGCGGCAAGGAAGCATCTTAAAGTTCGGTAAAGTGAAGTGATAAAAAATTGTTATTTCTTTATTGATAAACCGCGATAGTAATAGTTCTAAAATTCGTGCGCTCTGCATGCCCTTAGGAAGATGCTTTGCCCCTATTTAATATAGCGCTCTTCTGACAAAGAGATTATTGCAAAGCATATTTAGTAGTAGATAGCCGTGAGAATTGTGCAATATGAAAATTACAAAGCAATAGAAATAAATAAATACAAGGTTATTACTATTCGTACCAACCAATGTATTTTATTAACTATGGAAAACTCAGCCTCGAAAAAGTTAAATTTAGTTAAGTAGAAACGTATTACTTACAGTTTTTTTAAAACAACGTGGCGCCATACTCATTTAAGTCTATGTAGGTTATAAGGTAATATTCACGTACAAATAAATCTTATTAGTAGGCCCGTAGGAAATTGACCATTTGAAATTTATAATATAAAAATACCCATTATAAGTTTGCTTTTTTTTTAAACTGCTAAAAATTTTGTTCACTTGAAAAATAGAGTGAAACTAAGGAATTTGAAAATGTTTAATATTTAATTATACGAAATAAACAAATAAAATAATCATGAGGAATTACATATTATTCAAGTTTCACAAAAAAAAAAAGTTTTGTTCCAAAAAAATTACTTTGATAAGTTCTTTTCTTGCATTAATAAATATTAGAATTTTTAAATAACTCGAAAAAATTTTCAGAATTTTCGGTAGTTTATGTTAGAGAAACCACCTAACTTCTAATCATTTATATATTTCGGTGAGTCCATCCGGCGTTGTCCTTTCGATGTTGAGCTCAGTGTCATCTTTATAACTTCAAAAAAAATTAAGCTGCCGATATAATAGAAATAAAAAAATTGGTATAAACAGTAAGGTTTGCTAAATTTTGCAAGTTTTCGCTACGGGTTTTAAAACCAACAATTTTGCAGATAATTAAGCTAATACTGAGCTACAGAGTCAGTTTACATATTTAATAATCCCTGCAGTATTTTGAAATTTTACAGAGTTGTAATCTACTTTACTAACAGTAGTTCCTTCACTTGATATAACTTATATATAGTTTTATATAGTATAGTAAAGTAAGCTTCTTGCTTTGCCCTCTGCATGTTTACTTTTCGATTTACCTTATTTGTTTAGTTTTATACTTTCGGCTTTACATATAGCAAATGCTCCAAGTCTACACTTGAAGTTTTTAAAGCATTTATATACCCAAATAACTACAACTGACGGCTCTAAAACAGTTTAATTACCGGTAAGAAACTATATCAATAATCTTGTAATTGCTTTAAATTAAAATATTAAACCATAATTATTAAAATTATACATAAATTATGCTGACTTAGTATTAGTATGAATAACTTAGATAGTACAACAAATGATTCTGAGTTAACCCTTGTTAAAGCTGTCCAAGAAGGCTTCTTGGAACTCTGCAGGTTAGCTGAACACTTCTATTTTTAATACATAATCTCTTTACTTACTTATTATAGACAAAAAATAGAAATTGAAGGTTATGATGTAAATCTATTAGACAGTGAAGGTGTTTCCCTTTTGCATTGGGCAGCCATAAACGACAGAAGGGAAGTTGTTAGGTATTTACTTTCTTTATCCATAGGCAATGTAGGTAGTTCACAATAACACAAATAAAAATTATACAAAAAGGTATTTGCTTCAAAAGGGAGCAATCTATGATAGACATTGCGGAGAGTTTGATTCTACAAGCCTACACTGGGCAGTTTACCGTGTAAGAAAATGCAGCTACTATATAGCAAACACTAAACAGAATCTTGTTACACATATGCCCGTTCGTATGGATGTAAAAGTATTCTTTTCCAGGGTCACCTGCACACGATTATTCTTCTTCTTCGCTACGGTTCCGATCCCTACGAAGAAGATAATAGAGGGTGCAATGCGCTTCATATAGCTGCTCAGTTTGGATATCCTCTTGTATAAAATACAAAATTTTCTTGAACAATTTTTTAAGCACAAGTATATAGCAAAAATCAAGTTTTTAGCTACTATTATATATATATAACTGGCAATTTTTTTATTTAGATTTTTATTATAAAAAACTTTTTAGCTTTGCATTTATTTTGTTGAAAAGTGTTACATGGAAGTAAACACTCGAGATGCGTTCGGGATAACACCTTTAATGTGGGCGGTGACCAGGTCCACTTTCTTAACGGGTCAAACGCTCATATTATTAATATCTACGTGCAGTTTCACAGCAGTTGATACAGTAAGAGCGCTGTCCGGCCTGGGCGCTGACTTAAATTTGCAAGACAATAACGGATTAACAGGTGAAAAAAAATAGGCATTCTTCAAATTTATAACTATTTTTTACGTTTAAAAATATGAGAAAGCGCTTCACTGGGCAGTTGATAAAGGGAAATTAAAAGTTGTTTCGGAATTGTTGGAGAGAGGCGCGAGAATAGACATAAAAGACTGCTCTGGCCTGGATGCTGGTTTTTATTAAATCTATGTAATCGCGACGCTAGTGTTTAGTTACTATTCATACTTATTTCTCTTGAAGAGGCGTTTTCAGAAGGAAAGAAGCAAAAAAAAATCACTGCATTTATAAAAAGATGGCGCTTCTATAAATTTTCTCCGCTTAGCAAATATCAATGGCTACATCGACTTATACTATTTGTACTTCCGGGTCGCCCTGGCTATTCCCCTTCCTCCACTCCTGTTCGTTTCTAACTGCACCATTAACAATAAAGGGGTCGCACTGCTAGCCAATCTCCTTCTTGTAGCCGCCCTCCCGGCTATAAAGGCCTTCATTGGTATCATTGCCGTATGGCTGCTCCTGGCATTCACTGCGAGAGCTTTCTGGCCGCTGAATGGCAAGAAGCCCTTCTCGTTCGGGATTGTGGTTGGAACGTTGACGCTCTTGTTTGGTAGGAACAGCGCCGTTACAGAGCGTGTCACACTTTTATTCATATTTTTTTTTAGTTGTCTTTGGAGTGTGGCTTGTTCCTCTTAACAGCGAGCATGACTTTCTACTAATAGCGTTTATTATATCGTTCTACTGCTGCTGCCACTCGCTGTATCTCTCGTGGAAGTGGTGATACACATGCTATTGGTCAGCGTGAGTGCGTCTGCTAAACTTTTATTCCTTCTCCTTGGAAGTGATCCTGGCTTCATCCGCGAGGCCGAAGTAATCAGACTAACTGAGATCATTACCCGCGCAGAGGAAGAAAAGATAGGCGAAGCCCACGTGTGCTACACTTGTTTGGTTATAATTCCGTGTCATTGCGAAAATGCACGCCGTCTGACTGCCGCAATGCACAGCTGCTAAAGCCTACCAGAAGCAAGCACTGCAGCCAATGCGGGGAGTGCGTGCGCCTATTTGACCATCACTGTCCGTTTATTAACAATTGCGTGGGCGGGCGAAATCACAGGTTCGGTGTATTGTCTACTAGTTAATCCGAGACGGCTAATAATTCTACCGGCTAGTAGATATTTTATTGGTTTTCTCATTTTCCTGCCGCTCGGAAGCTACTTTTACCTTTGCTTATGCATAAACTGTAAGCTATTACAAGCCAAGAAGCGGTGGTACACTAACTAAAAGGGGGTGGAAGATCTCAGACACACGTGCATGAGCGCCGACAGTAAATCAGTGCTATCTATGCAGTGCCTTCACGCGGAAACAGTGGTAGCCTCATTAAAAAAAACGCCAAAGCTTCGCTATATAAAAGAGTGCTGCTCTGTATGGCAGGTGTGCTGGGCGGGTCTAACGGCAGCCTTCCACGGGTTTTGGGTTTTTTTTATGAATCTCTCGCAACTGTATCAGGTCCCAATGGCGTGGAATTCCGCCCTTCTGCGAAGAGACACTAAAGCACGTGTTTTCTATGTAGATTACGGTCAATTTAACGACCAATGAGCAAGTTCTTCTCCATGCTCGGTCGGTTAGTTACCTGCAGGACGCCAATGTATATCTTTGTACTTTTTCCTGTTTGCCCCTCTGAATGGCTCCTTCGCTGTGCAGGGAAAATACACAAACAAATACGATCGCGGCTGCTGGCGCAACTTTACTAGTTTTTGGGTAAGGCCCACCTCCTCTTGGTTTCTTATATGCATTATTCTAACGATTGTACATAGACCAATCGGCGTCTTAGAGAAAACTATGGGGATGACCAAGCCTTGCAAGTCTAGCGGATGGCGACCAGATATAGTTTATTCCTTGTAAGACCCTAAAGAATACGTACTGGTTCGTAGAATTCATTCCTTATTTCTTCTTCAGCCTGTAACCGATAGAGGACATTCGATACTTTAAGAATATAATACAACCAATAAAAGCCAATACCTTAATTTTTTTCCCCGAACTTTCTTAATGTGGTTCCGGATTTTTTCTTTTCTGCGCCTTTCTTTTAATATAACCTCCTTCGTTTTGAGCTCATTCCTGGCACGCACTCCTTTATAAGGAATGCACGTGGTGAGTCTTTGCTCGAGGGTTCTGGACGCACTCGCAAGAAGTAATACCTTTACAACCAACCCTCGAAAGGTTATTGCGGCGGCCATGTGGGGACACGTGGGGAGAATGGTCCAAAACTTCTCCGGAATGACCGATATTGTGCTTCTCCTTCCATTCTTTGTATCTCAAGTGCGGATAAAGAAAGTATAGCGAAAACACAAATCCACAGAGGCGAGGGCAGAAGTACTTGTGCGTATTATAAGAAGCGCTGATCCAGACTCCCGCCTCGTTCTTGATTCGTTTTTTTTTCTTGTCTTCTTCAACACCAACGAACTTTTTCTTTTTTCTGTCCCATTTTTTCTATATATAATTTATCATTCAAAACTGACCAATGGCGTGTCTTTACAACTAACAAAGTTGTTGGGTTTTTCATGCTGCTCAACTTCGTCTTGAGTCAAGTCGAGAATCTGACTGCAGACGGAAGACTGAAAGCATTCCGATGAGCGCAATCTAAAGAAAACTCTGTAAAGGGAATGGCCAGAAGCCACGCGATGTGCGCAAAAAACCCTTTTTCTTGATAATAATTAGATGGGCGATACGGAATGAAAAATTCGCTTCGCTCGCCTAAACGAAGAGAATAACCGTAATGACTCTGCACAATAAGACTTTAGAAAAAAGTAACTTTTGGACTTTGGCACGTTTATCACTATATTCAGCTCGCAAGCCGGCTTCTCGCGCCCGTCGCTGGGAGGTTGCACCGTATCTTTGCCAGCGGTTCTTTCCCGCCTGGCCACGTGGGATACCAATAAGCAAACTGGCTTGTATTATATCGAGGCCAAGCTAAATACTTTCGCCTCTGAATAGAAGCGTCATGTTGCTTGCGCTTCAGCTTCATCAAGTCCAGCAGTTCGTTTGAGGGGTGCTTGATTTTTTTATACTCAAAAATGGTTTGAGACGGCCGAAAGTTTTTCACTTGAGCCAAAAAAGTTTCGCGAGTCGTGTCCTCTGTAGATTCTACTATGCTCGTCTAGTTAACAAAAAAACACCAATGAAGAATACGAGCGGAGGAGAAGTCCGGGTGGGCCCCAAAATTCTGTTCAAGAAGTTCTTTAGCGCGGCGCACTGACTCAGTTGAGGGTTTCTGCCGAGAACGGAGGTACATCTGCATGGCATTTTGACAGACTCGAAAAAGAGATTGCTATCGGTGGACATACATGTGAGTTTCTGCTAAAAATACTAAACTAACATAAAACTGTTGCATACCACATCGGTACTGCGCGAATGAAGGTCGGAATAACACTCGCGAAAGGGCTCCAGAATTCCTTCTGAAACACACCAAAAAAAATTCGCATCTGGGGTCTCTTTAAGCAAGGGGCCTCTATTAGCACCACCCGATTGGGGCCTTCAAGTCAAAAAAGGGAACCGCTAGCGCTGGTAGAAGCGATTGGACGGCCGAGATAGAGGTGAAGGTCAAGCATATAAGGCAGTTCATCCGGAGCAACCAATGCATAAGCAGTACCGTGACGGCCTGCCCGAGCCACGCGACCTGACCGATGCACAAAGAGCTTGCAGGGAACGAGCGGATCCCGTGAAAAAATTAGAATTTCAAAAATTGCTTAAGGGAAACCTTGGGAGTAGCAGGAAAGTGATAGTGAATCACGCATTCGAGAAGGGGAATGTCGATCCCCCTTGCAGCGACATCAGTAACGACAAGAACATTGGTTTTGCCCTCCCGAAAATTGGCGGCTTGAATTTTTCTTTCTAGTTAATCAGCAACAATTTAGTTTACTCATAGAAAATAAAAGATTTGCGGACCAATGGGATCGAGAGATCCGTAAAGGTACGAACAACAGTGGCCATTCCGAACAAGAATTTCCTTTAGAAGTTCCACGTGATGCCTCGTCGCAACAAACACCAAAGTTGGAGCATCTGCTTTGACCTAGAGAGAAAAGATTGACCATCGCGTGAAATGATAAACGCGCACGTCTGTGCGCAAGTAGATGCTAATTATAACTCCCTTTACATTATACGCCACAATATATACATGATGTTCAAAAGCGAACCTTGATCGAAAGTAAATACAACAAGTGAGCGAGTTTATCCTCACTTCTTACTTTTATAAAAGAAAGCTAAAAGAATCAATAATATTAATTAATAATAATTTTAAAAAATTTTAAAAATTAAGGTACTTGGAGATTTTCACTTAATTTTGTTTCCAAATCGAGTCTAACTAGAACGGGATCCTTTAAACCTGGAATTTCAGTAGTCAAGAATTAAAAAAAAATTAAAAATTTCTCTTACCTGCTTGAGTAAAATCTGCTAAAGCTTTAGGCATGGTAGCGGAGAACAACAAAGTTTGTCTTTTTATAGGAATCTGCTTGATAATATCGTTTAGTTGCTCTTGAAAGCCGAGCTCAAACAATCTGAGGCGTTTCAATTAA